CGAGTGACGCACGGGCCATACAGGACGCTCACCCCTCTCAACCTGGCCTCTTTTCTCGAGCACGCGCTTTATCTTAAAGCTGCTTACTGTACGTTGTGCCTTATCGTCATTGTTCAGTGGCCTCACCCTCCCTTGTACCCCCTTTTGTCAGGCTGCCTTTTCTTTTCATTCTTTTAAAGACTAAGTATTATACTTACTCTAGTATTTATAATCAGGAATGTCACATGGTTTTTACACTGTATTCATAGTTTTAGTTAGGATTGGTATTGATTTGGTACTGTTAGAAAGTTGCTGTAGGTTTTGAGAGTTCAAACCTGACCCTGTTTTCTCCATAATCTCTGACACTTTTGGTGCACAATTTTGCAGAAAGCACTGTTCCAAGAAAGCATATTTCACATTTCAGCCAAAATACCCTGTTTGCAACACGTGTATCTGTTGTGCTTCGTCAATATTAAGGCAATTTCACATTTTTTAACCTCTCTGCACTTAGAATACATCTTCAATAGATGGCATCTTTCAATTATAATTGCCAGATTTTTTGGTGAGGGGATGGGGATAAATAATGGTGCTTTTTAGAAGCTGGTGTTTTCTTAGTTTGACGAAATACTGTGGTGTCCAGAAAGTAAAGAACTACACAACATATTTTTAAAAGACAGGCAACCCAGGCCCTGACTGATGTGGCTAAGTGGGTCGGGCATTGTCCTGCAAACTGAAGGTAGCCGGTTCGATTACAGGTCAGGGCACATGCTTAGGTTGCAGGTTCAGTTCCTGCAGTTCCTGTTGGGGGCATGCAAGATGCAACCGATCAATGTTTCTCTCACACATTGATGTTTCTCGCCCTCTCTTTCTCCCTCCCTTTCCCTCTTTCTAAAACTAAAGCCTTAAAGAAAGAAAAAGAAATGACAGGCAACACAGCAGAGAAGTGGCAAAAGACTTGAACAGCCACCTCACAACAGAAAAATCTCTATGGCTAGTAAATATATGGAAAGGAATGTGTCATCTCATGAGGCAGTTGCTCAATAAATACCTAGGATGCTTTTACATACTTAGCATGTTGACCAAAGTTTTAAAAACCTGGTAAGTGTTGATGTGGACACGAAAGTATGTCTAAGGTATGATTCCATTCACGTGAAGTCACAAAACAGGCACAGCTAAGCCGTGTTGCTTAGAAGTGCATTGTTTAGTTAGTAAAAACATTTTAATAAAAAGGAAGGAAGTCATCACCAATGTGAAGATTGTGGCTACCTCTGGGGGTCGCGGGAGGGAGAGAGTTTGGATTGGAGGCGCACAGTAGGGCTTTGGTGTCATGGGATGTTCTGGCTCCTCACCTGCGTGGGTTTGCTTTCTTATGACATGTTTAGCTTTACATACGCACTTTATGTTCTCTTCTGTAGACTTCAGAGTAAAATTAAAAAGGGGAACGAGCCGTTCTTCTGTCCAGTGTTGTTGGTGGGTCAGGCAATAGGAGCCTTGACCATGGGGGTTAAGCAGAGAGGGGGCTACCGATGGACACAGCTAGCCGTGGCAGCGGTGTGGTTGGGGCCAGGGCCCGCCGGGAGGGCCCCAGGGAGGGTGAGAGGAGAGCAGTCAGGGATGGCGAGTCAGCGGAACTTGCCGGAGGCATTTTTGTGTCAAGGAAAATGACAGTGGTGACCGGAGGGGGGGGCAGGAAGCTTTACATGAAGTATATTGAGCATCAGAATAATACGCAGGTGAATTTTCTGGAATGCTCAAGGCAACTGGGGTAGGATGGGGAAGGGAGAGGGGTTTTTATGTGTATGGGATGACATTTGAGGGCAGGATGTAAAACTTTGTAATACTGGAAATATGTATGTTGGAATCATGCATAACATTTCATATTTATTAATGGAAAGAAGCACGAACACCATCTTGCTCAACACTACTCTGCAGAAAGGGGATGAAGCCCAGAAGAATTAAGTGTGTGCTTAAAATTGTGCCATTAGCAGTAACCCCAGATGAAAACGCTGAGTTGCTCCTGCCCTTTGGGTCCGTACTCTTTTTATAGTATTATCTACAGTGTGGTTTGCTCTTAAATTGAGTTTTATATAATCATTATATTTTATAGTAGACTTTATTTGGATAACATTTCAGTTAGCCTTTTCTGCATAACAGACCTCCCCAGATTTAATGGCTTAAAATAACCATCACACATGTATTTCTCATGATTCCACGAGTTGGCCAAGCTCAGCGGGGACCACTCACATGGCTGCTGTCATTGGCAGCTCACCGGGGGTTGGAGGGGCTAAGATGGCCCCACTCGTGTCTGGGCCCTTGGTGCTGTTTGTTGGCTGGGAGCTCTCATCATTCAGTAGTCTAGGCTGGACTTCCATACGAGGCAGCGGGAGCATTCTAGGAAGGCCACGGTGGGAGTGGAGACTCCCGAACTTACAGAGCGTCCTGTCTCCCGCATTAAATTGTGCAAAGCAAGTCATAAACCCAGTCCAGATTCAAGAGGTGAGACAACAGGCCCCATCTCTTCAAAGACGGTGATGCAGAGTGCTGTGGCCATCATTTTCCACTTATCACAGATAATTACAAATTTTGGATTTAATCACTGAGTTTATTTTCTAACGTTAATTTTTACTTACTATGGGGCTAAAAGCTGTTGATTTGGAGAGTCTAACAATGTAGTTTTTTTAGTCAATATATGAGAAACAAAAATTTGACAATGAAAAGTGTGTTATGTTAAGGGAAAGAATTTGTTTTCCAGATATTGTATCTTCTGTGGTGTAAAGTAGATAAATGACAATTTTTATTAAAAATATGGAGGGGAAATGTATTAAATACAACAGTCTTTGTTGCTTAGAATGAATGTTAGCTTAATCATTTTCTGATATCATTACCATTGATGTTTTATCATCACCTTTGTGAATTTTTCTCACATGTTACAGATTATAATAGAATGTAATAACAATTATAAAGTAAGAGCAATAGATATTTTCCCATGAATGAATTATAATAGTGTATTGCTAGGCACTGTGCTAATTACATTAATTTGAGTAAATGTTTACTTAATTTACTTGACAACCATCCATATTGTGTACCTATGCTGATCTCACAATCCGCCACAACTTGGGGCCATCACTCTGAACCAGGTAGACGTGGTCCCCGCATGTTGCCATATCCTGGATGGACCCAGGGAAGGCTCTCTAAAGAAACTTCTAAGCCAGAACCTGACGGATGAGCAGCAGTTAGCTGAAGTAAGTGGGGGAAGGGAATAGGAAGTCTGACTTTTTCCTTCAAGGAAAGGGAATGACTTGGTCAAAGGCCTTGCAGACAAGCAAGGGCAAAAAGCATTAGAAGAACTGAAAAAAATCTACTGTGCTAACACCTAGAATGTGGAAGGGGCGGGGCAAGAAAGGCACTGGAGAAGTCAGTCTGGGTTTTATGCCAGGGATCATGGGGAACCATTGATGGGTTTCGTGTCTTTGCTGAGATTATGGCTTTAGAAAAGTCACGGCCGTGGTTTGGGTGAGGGGTGCAGCCAGGGAGAAGAAAGGAGGCAGTACAGACCACGGCTGATGGCAGGGATCAGGTGCATGTGAGAACGAAGGAAAGTGGAGAAATGCTGGAGACATTCAGGAGCTGGAGCCAACCAGATTGGGTGACTGGAGGTGGAGTGCAGGGAGGAGCCCAAGGGGACTCTCGGGGTTCTGGCTTAGAGTGCTCTCAGTGAACAGGGAGCAGGTGTGGGGAGACCTCCTGGCACGGGACTTGCTGCAACACCCCAACTCTATTTCCAGGGTGAATGCCTTGATCTCTTTTTTGCATCCTCCAGTCTTTGAAGTGACATCTTTAGCATTGGTTTATATAGTTATCAATTCTTACTCAGTAAGATTCAAAGGGAGAACTACTGTTATAACCTGAATGTATACCTTGGGTCTGAAAGAGGGGTTGTACAGCTGACCTTTGAACAACACAGGTTTGAATTGCATGGGTCCACTTATATGCAGACTTTTTTCAATGAATATACAGGTGGCGATCCATATCCCCAGGTTTTGCACTGGGCATCCAACCAAGGGTTGAAAACAGTGTCTTCCGCCTGCAGTTGGGACTCCACGGATGCGGGGGGCGGACTGTGTGCATTGTTCTGCACCCTAACATGTAAAACACTGCAGTATCCATCTAGTTTGGCATCCACAGGTGTCTTGGAACCAATCCCCAAGGATACCGAGGGGGAGACTGCAGTTAAGTTTGGGGCAGTCAGCAGTTATACCTGGATTTTCACCTGTGCGTGAGGAGAGGCGGGTCAGTGCCCCAGCCCCCGTGTTGTTCAAGGGTCAACTGTGCTTCAGTAGGAATTCATTAGTGGGCTGAAATTTAGTGTTCTATTGCTGAATTTCATTAAACAGTTTACTTACTGCTTAATTTTTTTAAATTACTTGAAGACAGTCACAGCTAAGAAGCAGTATGTGAATACCTACCTTAAGCTTCCAGCCTTTTAATTCATTTGTCTACAGTAATTTCATAATTAACATTTATCCAAGTTTTAAAAATAGAGTTCATTAAAAGAACTGATTTTTTTTTCTGTTTTAATTGTTCTGTGCCTCTAGTAAGAAGAACATTAGTTTGTTTTCTCTAAGGAAGAAAAAATGTGTAAGATAGCTACATAAAAATGAATCTGTTATCGGTGGGTTCTATCAGGCAATGATAATTGAGGTTGAAAAGAATTTACTGCTGTGCCTTAAGAAGTGCAGCTTTCTCGGTCACAAAAATGTTGTAGTCTCTGTGGTTTTGCATTCCCCGGCTCTCTGCAGATTTTATGAAAGCGGATTGACTCGTCCTGCATTGTTTATTGTCCTGCTTCCACTTAGGAACGCTAACTCCCCTCCGACTTTCAGGTCCTCGTCCTCGTCAGTACCGTGGTCTGCTCCTCCCGCGTGTGTTCTATAGGCTGCATTGTCTATTATTTGCAATGTTTTGTAACTTGAAAAGTACTTTACAACCTATTTCTTTCTTGTGTTTTCTTTTTCCTTTAGGCACCACAAGGGCCCCCAGGGATGGGGAAGTGCCAGGGGTCGACTATAATTTCATTTCTGTTGAGCAGTTCAAAGCCCTGGAAGAGAGTGGAGCATTATTAGAAAGTGGAACGTATGATGGTATGTCCCCAGATATTGACAACAGCAACCCAGAACACTATCTGAACTATGATCTTGGACTGGAATTATGATTTTACCAAACAAAAAAATTTTCTATCGGTTTTGGGGAAAATTGTCTTTTCATTGGGGTATCTGTAATTTACTAGTTAAAATGAGATTAAACAATAATCAAAAGCATTTCATCATATTATTAAGTTAATTAGCCCTGGCTGGTGTGGCTCAGTGGATTGAGTGTCGGCCTGTGAACCAGAGGGTTGCTGGTTGGATTCCCAGTCAGGGCACATGCCGGGGTGCAGGCCAGGTCCCCAGTAGGGAACACTCAAGAGGCAACCACACATTGATGTTTCCCTCTTTCTCTCTCCCTTCCTCTCTCTAAAAATAAATAAATCAATTACAAACAATATACCAAAATTATTCAAATTAACTAGTTTGTATATTTCATAGTAATTCACATTCATCGTTTGAACTCAGCAGGTGTTTGTAGATTGCTTTCTATTTGTGATTGAGAATTAGAATACTGTACACTTTAAAAAATCTATTTATACCTTGGCTAGGTTGGAGAAAAATGAATATAGAATTGGAAAAAAACAAGAAGAACAGAAAAATTGGTTTTCTTTTTATATCTCTTTCCTCTACCCACTTGATTCTAAGAAGTGCAGATTTAAGATCAAGTTCAGTTGTTAAATGATTCTGTGTTAGATCCTTTCATTCCCTAAGTGGCACTTGTCCACTCCCGTAGTACCCTGCACTGTTCTATCATTGCTTTATCATGCTGCTGCTGTAATTGCCGTTTTCACAAGCTCAGGGAAGGCAGACATGGTGTCTTTCTTACTCAATTTTATCTTCAGCGCCTAAGATGATGTTCAATGAAATCTCACTTTCATTTCAACATATCCAAATATGTGTTTGTGTTCTGTCCAAAAGAGGAACTCTTCCGAGTTTCTCTCTTTAGCAGCTCCATGAGTTCAAAGCAGTACAGACACCATTTCTTCCTTCTTCTCACAGTTCCCAGCTAGTCTGTCACCAAACCCGGTCCTCTCTGCCTTTGCTGCAGCAGCTCGCTCAACGCCTGTCTTCTCACCTCACCGCCTCGTGGTAGGCCCGCTGGGCGAGCTCGTGCCGAGGGCGCTGAGTTGGTGTCATTTGTTTCCCTCCCTTCCCCGTGTCCCCTCCACCCTGCCACTGCTGCCCTGCCGCTGCCCCTCAGGCACAGCTCTGCTCGTGCCCTCTCTCCTCCTGAGAATCTTCAGTGAGCTCTCTGGGCTGCTAAGTTCGACCCAGCTGCCCTTTCCGGACTTAGTTCCAACAAATTCTTTCATTTGTTCCTTTTTTTTTTTTTTTGGACCCATTTTTTAAGTATCTTCTATGTGCCAAGTGTTATCAGAGGGACTAGAGATGCTGTGGTGAACAGTATTGAAATAGCACTGTCTTAATAAATCCTATGCTTAGTGGGAAAGGCAGTCAGAACAAACAAAGGAACGATAAATTGAGGTGTTATGAAGGAAACAAAAACAAGGGATTTAAAGAAAATCATAGGAATGCCTTATGTAGATAAGGTGGCCAGTGAAGACTTCTCAGAGGAAGCAGCAGCTACTTGTTTTTTATTTTATGCAAATAGCCTCCTCTTCCTTCACCTCTCTCTTAAAGCCAGCCATTGCAGTGTTTCCCATGTATGTTTTTGTTTGTACGTGTTCTTGCAAAATGTGTCGTTATTAGTTACATCCGGACTGTGTTCTAGATCTCATCCAGTTGTAACTGTCTTCACTTACTGCTGTGATTTTAGAGTCCTCTGCGTGGCTCTGCTGTGTTCGCATGTCACTCGCTGCTTCCTAACCGCTGCACAGCGCTTTAGTGTGCATCCCCTGCATCTTACCTACTCTCCCCCCATCCCGCCCCCCCCACTGCTGGACTTCAGACCGCCTCCAGCTCCCATCACCACCGACTGAGTTGCAGCAAACATCCTCGCACATGCCTTCTTACAGACCCACGTGAGCATGTCTGGCCCAATACAGACCCAAGGGCAGGCTTGTTGGGTTGTGTACTCTGCAGTCTCCGTTCCCACCGGCCCTGCATGAGCACTTGCTCCGGTAGCAGCTGTAGTAATGACTCCGCATCCTCGGCAATGCTGGGCCTTGTCCAGCTCTATCGTTTTGCCGATCTGATGGTTGCAGAAGCAGTTATCTCATTTAAACTTCAGTTTTTCCAGAAGTCAGGGAGCTTGAGCGTCTTTTCATTTGCTTATTAGTTTTTTTGGCTTCTGCAAATTGTTTATTTGTTTTGTCAATTTTTAAAAAATGGGATCTCGATTGCATTCCAGTCAGCAGACATTCCTTAGATGTTTAGATATGTATTTAGGTATCAATTCCTTATCCGATATCGGTGTTTTCTCCCAGTCTTTTACCTAATAGCCTTGTCCTGTGTCTCTTCATCAAACAGAAATCCTTAGTTGCAGTCTGTCCAATTTTTCACTGTTCTCCTTATGACTTGTATTTTTGAAGTTTTGTCTAAGAAGTCCTTCTCTGCCCTGAGGTTATGAAGATACTCTCCTACATTTTCTTCTGCTAAGTATAAAAACATGTTACATATTTGACAAAGTAGCATATTACATGTTACTAATTACCCTGTGCTCAATTCAAAGGAAATGCAAATTGAAATGTCATAAACCATTTCACATCCATCATATTGCCAAAAATTTTTAAGTGTGATAATTGAAGGAAATGGAAACTCCGCCCATACACAGCTGGCGAGAGTATGAAGTGAAACAGTCCCTTTGGGGGAGCGTTGACTAGCTGTCTTGGCAATAGCTGGTAAATTCGAAGGGGCACGGAATTCTAGCCCAGCAGCTCCCTCTCAGATGCCTGCCCTAGAGAGACCCTTGTCTGCAGGCATGTGTAGACGGTACCGGAGCAGACGCTATAGCACTGTTCAAAACAGAGAGGGGATGGAAACAACTCTCTTTTGATAGGGGAATGGATAAAATCCACTTTAATCTGCTCATTAAAAAACGGACTATTCCACAACAGTTAAATGAACTAGAATCTACATGTCAACACAAGTCTTAGAAATATAACTCTATAAAAAGAAAGTTGCAAAAGGATACATACAGTATACTGTTCAGAAAAAAATATGAAATGTTATTAAGAACACTTTTCGGACGGTTTTATGACCAATAGTATTTGTATGTCATGTATGCAGATACATTTGTATTTGGTGTATTCATGTGCAGGGACGTGACACATGCTAACCCCCGGATAACTCGGAGAGAGCGGGCAGGACAGAGACAGGAAGTTAGGGCTCTAATAGTGTATGTGACCATATGTGTATATATATATATATGTCCTTGGGGGAGGAAGGGAGACCTGAAAGAATCTGGCAAAAGTTCATGTCTGGAGGCTGTGTAAATAATAAATAAGGAGGTTTTCTAATACTACTCTAATACTGTTGTCTGCAACTTCATGTACATATTTTGCCATGCGCACCCACAGTTCTTGTGCATGTCATACACGGGATTAGGGTGCCCGTGGTGCGCAGTCATTATACCCATGTACAGTGCGCATCCTTACTTTCCCTCAAAGATTTGGGCAAAAAAAGTGCGCGTTATCCATGGCAAAATATGTTATGTCTGAAATATCTAACAGTTCCAGTGTAAAAATGAAAATACCTTCAGAAAAGAAAAAGAAAAAGCTCCAAAGCAGCTTCAAAAGGATGAAAAAAATTTGTTAATAACTATCATCAAAGCTCACCAACTTTGTAATTTTATACCTTGCTGTAATCTGCAACCTTGATGTTTTCCAACAACTCAAGTAAAATAGATATGATTTACTTGTAAGCAATGCTTATTATTAAAACCAATACTTTTTTGAAATAAGGAAACTGCCAGAATTTATTGTGAAGTCCTACAATGTGATCAATGATTATGAATAACAATCACAATGTCCTGAATTTTTCTAATTTTCACCCTGGAAAAAAATTAAGCTTTCTCGAGCTCGATAATAATTGCTAAGAATACACACTGAAATGTGTTTCTAGTAAAAGTCCCATCCTTAGAAAAAACGGACCTTGAACTTTTGTCCTGTTCCCTCCCAGTTCCATGCTAGTGGGATTACCGGGCATCCCGCAGGAGGTGCTGGTGCATCCTCTTCCCCACGCAGACCTCAGTTTGGAGCATTTCCATGCCCTTTGCCCCAGAGAAGTGTGCATGGGCTTTTTGTCATCAGTTCCTTGCTTCATCACTTCCGGGTCGGAAAGTTTGCTGAGATCCCATTAGTCTGTTTTAATACGAATCTTTGCCTCCGTCTGCATGACGGGAATAATTCCATTCCAGACCTGGATTTGAAAGCCAGGGAGCAGTGGAGTAGGGGAGAGGCCAGAAGTAATTGAAAAGCTTTCTGGTTTGATTTCACTGTTTTGCTCTGAGGATTTTAATAGCAATACCGCCTAAAGTCAAATTTCCAAAGAATGTGTCTTAATGCTTTCCCCTCCAAAACATGCCCGACCTACGGTAAACTATGCTGTCTGTAGATGTGCCACAACTTTATGATTGGCAGCCTGTGCTTTTTCATCTAGGAAAAAACACCCCATTGTATACCCCATTAATTTACCTCATGGGGATGAGCATCTTCACTACCTCCTCAGGAGCCAAGGAGTTTGTTTAGAAGATGTGATTTAAAAAATAAAATAAGCTCAGTATTTTACTCCAAAATCCTGTTTATCTTTTTATAACATCAGAAGAGGGATCGAGGCAAGGTCAGAGCTAGCAGGAGCCGCAGACTGCTGATGTGGCTGCATCCACTGAGCGCTTTCCCATTATGTCTGGCTGCCTGATGAGAGCCACATGACAAGTGGAGAAGATACTCAATTGTTTCCATTGTATCCTGGAACATTTATTTTTACTGCAAAAATTACTGATCCTCAAGACTTAACATATTAAAGTATTCTTGCTTTCCTGAGAGTATGCCAATATTGAATTATGCTAATAATGTCTCTATTTGTTCAACAAATTGTCAGATAAAATGATATAATTAGATTCTCAGGAAAACTTTCAGAAATTACTTTTACATAAACAGCCTACATTTCACCGCAGACTGGTTAATTCTTAGCCTTATCCTTTGCCCACGTATTTCCTCATTTTACCAAAACAGTTCATTTTGTGAGTTAGTTTTCTTCTCCTTTACTCCCACTTTTACGCCAATGAGTCTCACACAAGAACACCAGTGCATTTAAATTCACCAATTAGGCCCTCCGTTAGAACCCATGCAAAAACGCAAGCCCTCGTAGAATAAGTAACCTATACACACTGAGTCAACTTCCTGGCTTTGGTGCAAATAGTGTTAAAGTGTTAGATAATATATGGTGAAGGGCTCTTGAAAAATTAGTTATTTTTACTCTTTCTGCCTCCTCCTCTTCCAAGAAGTGCTTTGACTTCCATTTGGCTGGCGGTGGTCATTCAGAAACTTCAGTATCAGCCAGCAGGACAGAGACATACACCTGGTCATGTTGTCGTGACTCTCGATTCCACGTGAGTATTTCCAGCTGCTGTCACTTGGTTCATTTCAGGAAACTTCTACGGCACTCCCAAGCCTCCAGCAGAGCCCAGCCCCTTCCAGCCCGACCCTGTGGATCAGGTCCTCTTTGACAATGAGTTTGACGCCGAATCCCAAAGAAAACGAACTACATCTGTCAGCAAGATGGAAAGAATGGACAGCTCTCTTCCTGAAGAGGAGGAAGATGAGGACAAGGAAGCTGTTAACGGCACTGGCACCGCAGGTTCGTAAGCAGACGACCGACTCCCACGTGGTCGTCCGGGTGGACTTCGACGTGATGCTAGGTCGGAAGTAGTAAAATTTTTCACAAAGCACACGCAGAGTGAGCGACGAGAATCTAATATTTTTTTGTCAAGGTTTCATGTGGAACAGACTATATTTCTGTCAGTCATCTTGTATGCTGAAGTGAGTTGCCTCAAGTGGCCATTTTGATAAATTAGTCATAAGCTATCGTTAGTGATAATGTAAGATGACATTACTACAGCGATTTTCAACCAGTGTGCTGCAAGAATTTTTAAAACATGCAATACCTGACTGTTTAGTCGGGGCACTGACCTTTTTCTCTTAGATCATCAAATAAAGAAATCACAATGGCCTACCCAACAATAGCCCTTGGGTGTGAATAAATCAAAATTATACCTGTTTTTTTTGTCAAATCAGCAAAATATCTTTTAAAGATTTTATGTATTTTTAGAGATAGGGGAAGGGAGGGTGAGAAACATCAGTGTGTGGTTGCCTCTTGAGCGCCCCCTACTGGGGACCTGGCCCACAATGCAGGCATGTGCCCTGACTGGGAATCGAATTGGCGGCCCTTTGTTTCTCTGTCTGGCACTCAACCACTGGGCCACACCAGCCAGGGAAAAAAATATATTTTATATTTAGTAATTAGTTTAACATGTGCCATGAGATGAAAAAGGTTGAAAATCACTGTCCTACTGCTTCAAAGATTTGAGATTTATTTCTGATGCTGGAATATGGAGGTCTTGTTGGCCTAAGTCCTCCTTTATGGGATATGAACAAAATGTAGATGTTTTAAGGTATAGCCTTGAACCAAAACAAAGTACAGAGGTTTGGAAATAGGCTAGTAAACGGTATCTGAAAGGTTTGTTAGCAGCACTTTGACTTTACATTCAGAATCAGTCAAAGAAAATTTCCGAATTGACTCGTATTTTTTAGTAAATGCAGAACCAACAGGAGTTCCCTGGCGGAGAATCTTCTTTGGAGTACCCCTAAAACTGTGGTGATTGTGTAGGAAACTCTCACACTTCGGATTGAGAGTCTGAGGCGGAAACCCCAGAATCACAGTAGAACTAACTCCAGTGCTATTTATTACAGCGATTCCTTTCAAAACACTACAATGTAAGCTTCATGAGGGTTGGAATTTTGCTTATTCTGTTCATTGTTGTATCCCTTGCACCATGGACAGTGCCTGACACATAGTGGAAACTAAAAAATATATGTTATTGGGACCCAGGACACGAATGGGCTTGATCACGTCCCCAGGTCTGCAGAACCCATCACCATATCACTTTCCTGAAGCTGCCTGATGTTCCCCTCTATCAGTAATCAGTTTGCTGTTGAGACCGTATTTATCGCTCCAGCGCATTCACCATTCGCTCCCCCTCCAGACTGTGAGTCCTGTTTTATGGTCCTAACGTCTCACGTAGTTCATGTATTACCCCAGTATATTTGGGCGAAAACAGGTCTGGAAAGGTTTAGGTGGGTTCCCATCTTGTTCTTTATGGGTTGTCAAGGGAAATCAGCTCTTTTGTTTGTTTGTTTTAGTTCATTGGGGTTGCATCAGTTGATAAAGTTATGTAGATTGAAGCTGTGCAGCTCTGTAACACACCGTCTGCAGGTTGTGCTGTGTGTTCACCACCCCAAGTCGTGTGTCTTTCCATCACCGTTTATCCTGCCCTTATCCCCCGACCTCCCCCCACCCCCTGTCGTCAGGCCTTTTGATGCTGATGGCAGCTTAGCTCACCCACAGAATTAAGTCTGTTAATTGTTTTAAGACTGGGATTAGAGACCGTGAATTTGTTCCAGTGTGGCGATTTACACGTACGTCCTGGGTAAGCAGGGCAAGGAGGACGTGGCCAGGGCATGGGTGGGGGTGAGGAGCAGGGGGAGGTGGCGAGTGCTGGGATGGCAGGGTTGTGGAGCCGGCCTGGACAAAGGCGGGATGGAGTGCAGATCCCGGAGGGATGGGGAGCGCGGCAGGATGATGCCCGGGGCCGCCTCTGAGAGTCTGATTCCGAGGCACTGGCTGCAGTCCGGGGTTGCTGCGGTTGTGAGGTAAGTTCCGGAAACAAGTTCAAGGTGCATGCAGTGTGCACCCCCTGGGCGGTCACGGAGTTTTAGAGTGTGTGCCTGCCTGTGGCCTTGGGGCTCTACAAGGATGCTAATGCCACCGGCAGAGAATTATATTTAACAATAGGAAGTCCGTGGAGTGTGATTCTTAGACGTTAGTGCCATTTGAAAGGCCAGGGTTAAACGCGTACCAGGTAGCTCGCTGTCGCGGTGAAGAGCATAGGGGTTGCAGGGGTCAGTATCCTGGCTCTGCTGTTTGTTCGCTGCGTGACCTGGACGGAATGAACCCAGCCTCGCCGTGCCTTAGCTTCCTCGTCTACAAAATGGGAAGAGCAGTAACGCATTCTCATGGGGGCAAGTGAGGGTTATGAATTAATGCCTGTGAAGAGCTTAGACAGAGCCTGACAGTGAAAGGTCCGTGTGGGTGCTCCTAACGGCTGTCGTCGCTAGTCTTCTGGGGGTTGGTGGGGGCTCGGTGTGCGCTGAATTGGTTCTGGAGCTGCGTTTTGCTTGCGGCAGAATGCGGACACAGAGCCAGGGGCATCTGCAGGGAGCATGTGGCATTCCATGGGGACGAAGCGCGCTGCTGGAAGAGAGTGTGCGTTTACCGACGTCCCCCCTGCTCTGTTCCGAACAGAACACAGGGAGAGGCATTCCGAGCCATCCGACTGGGCGAGGACCGTCCCGAGTTACAGCCAAACCAGCAGCGCCATGGACTTCCGGAACTACACGATGAGAGAGGAGACCCTGGAGCCGCTGCCCAAAAACTGGGAGATGGCCTACACGGACGCGGGGATGATCTACTTCATCGAGTAAGCGGCGCCTGCCCCTTCGCCGGCGCGCCCTGCGCTGCGGCACCTGTCGGGAGCAGCTCAGCCTCGCTCCTCGCGGCTTCCCTGCCTCTTTTCTTCTTTAAATCGTTCTTCATCCACGTCACAGTTGGTTCTTAATCCGACTTTTTCCCTGGAGGGTGTTTTGTTTTTATTTGACTTAGACAAAGGGATAGTGTAGTCAATCTCTGCCTTTAGGAAAACAGGAGGATTAAAAACAGATTCATCACTAATAATGAAAAATGTAAGAAATAAAGAGGGTTTTGCTTTGCCTTTTTTTTTTAACCTTCAGGTATGTTGTCCCTCTTAACGAGCATTTCTAGAAAGTCTGTTAATGAGCACCTCTAGAAAGGAATTATTGTATGAGGGAAGACATATTTCTTATCTGAGCTAAATATTTTTCGTCCTAGAGTTTGGGTTTGGTATTTTCAGGCAGATAGGATGAGGGAGGAAAATCACTGATCCTCCGAATAATTGGTAAAATATAAATCCACACACACACACAACTATGACATGAAAAAAGCACTGTGAATATGCCTACATCTACAGAGATATAGAATACCCTATGTATTCAGTCAGCCTACAATTTTATATTGCTTGCACCTGAGAATATTACATAAATAATTATCAGCAGTTTTATCATGAAGTATCTTTATATTTTCATGCAGCTATAGTTTCTGTCTGTGAACTAACCTACCCAGAGGTAGAATGTCAATGGAGGAAAGGCGCAGTATATGATCATTAAAACACCGAGGACTGGACACTGCGCCCGGAAAAGAGCATGTGCTCGGCAACGCGGCAGGGGTAGCAGATTTGCATGTGTTTCCTCGAGTGGTCCCAGATCCCACATCCTTCACATAGAATGAGCCTCTCGCTGCCCCGAGTGCGATTCTGGTATTTAAAGGATGTAGATTTTGTGTGCATGGTGTTCTTTTTACCATATGTGGTGAATTATTGATTTTGCTTTACATTTATATACACAGTAATGACGCGGATTATACACAACAGACAAAATGAGGTATACTCTTCTCGATGGGCAATTTGAGGAGTTTTTCGAGGGTGATTTAGACTTGTGACTTCCATGCTGACTTTAGAATCAAACCCCCAAGTAAGAGGCAGAGTCACTCACTGCAAGTAGCTAGACGATCTTCAGAAACCAATTATGCGACATTGAATCTGACGCTAATTCACCCTGGAAACAGGATAAGTTAGTAAAATTGTGGGGGTGGGGAATTTGTGTAAGAAATGTCTTTGTAGGCAAACATTATCAAAATGTAAGATCTGAAACTATTAAACTTCTAGAAGAAAACACAGGGGAAAGGCGTTACGACATTGAACTTGGCAAGGACTTCTTGGGCACAACACGAAAAGCACAGGCGACAAAAGCCAAAACAGAGAAATGCGGCCGCATCACACCTACAGAGCCGAGTGCAGCCGAGAGAGACAGTGGTCAGGGTGGAAGGCAGACTCCATGATCTCAGAAGGGGTCAGTCTCCAGACCGGAGTGGAATATTATTCGCTGCTGGATAGAGCTCTCTCGTTTGCCATAGCTGAAGCGTTTGGTCCGTGTCACTGGTGCTGTCAAAGCATGCCTCTGTGAGCAAGTGACTCTGGGCGGCAGTCTTCAGCTACTGTGTTCTGGGTGTCACCTGTGGGCATCTCTTTCCCTTCAGAAACAGTGGGTGAAATCTTAGTGGATGGCCTGCGTCTGCTAATGCAGCAGTAAAAGTTTTCGCTCATCAAAACCACACCTAGCTTTCCTAAAGTAACTGTTTTTCATTTGGTTTTGTAAGATACGCTCATGTTTTGTTTTGTTTTGTTTTTTAACAATGTGCATGTGCTGCTAGGCCTCTGTGGAGTCTTAATCCTTTTCATTTTGCTAAAATGGATTTAACTGGAGAAATTATCCGACAGAATGGGTAACAGACTTTCTAGAAACAACCCCAATGTCTCCCTCCTACTGAGATCACCCATATTCAGAATACAAAGGAAGTTCCTACCACTCTCCAGTGTGGTAGGGCGTGGGAGGGGCTGCTCTGCAGGGGGCTCAGGAGTTGGAAGAGGTGTGAGAGGAGGTGATTAATGCCCTGAAGCCTTCGCTCCCATCCCAAAGACTGGCAGGTGCAGAGATCAGTGAGTTGATCTCATGACAAAGACCCCAAGAAAACGCACCTTGTTCACCTGGCCACTCCCACAGTATTTGATGATAACTTTTCATTTTGTTGCCTCCCTGTATATTTTCTACTGTGATTTTATCTTTCTTGACTCTCCTCGTATTTCAGATACTCAAACTCCAGTGTAACACTGTTTGCCTGCAGTGTGATGGTTTTGACTCAGCACTGGCTTCTGCTGCGCGGTGGCCTGGCGTGAGGCTCGCCGTGACCTCTAGTGAAATTAAACAGATGCTGCCCTTTGAAGGCATCTGTGGCCTGCCTCCTAATAAAATGGGGTGTGGGGCCATCTTTCTGTTCCACCTTTTTTTTCCTATTAAATATATGGTCCATACTGATGAAAACTTAGTTTCACAGAGTTGAGTTTAATTCTACCCATCATTTTTACTCAACATATCGCAGAAACAGACACGGCGACACTTTTTATTTTATTTGCCTCTACATTGTTTTATTTCACGTAGCCCCGGGAGCCCAGAGGCTGTGTCTGGCTGTTCATCTCTGTGTTCCCGGGCCCCGGCACAGTGGCCCCACATCACAGGGGCTGGAGAAATGCGGTGTCTTTTGTGGGGGAGGAGGAAGGAATTCAGCCAGCAAGCAGATACGGTTCTCAGCGATAACTCGGAGCAGAGGGCCGTAGCTCACGCTCTGAAACATTTTGACCGCTTTAAAGAGTGTCCCCTGCACTTGTCACCTTACCCCTTCCTGAGAATCTTCGCTCTCAAAGCCGTGCCTCCAGCCTTGCATTCCCTTTAAGGCAGTTTTGCAGTAACAGACCGAGAGCAGCAGGATTACTGACTCGGAGGAGGGCCAACGGAGCCTGCAGGAGATGAACGTTCTAGCGTCAGACACCGTTGAGTCACTTTCAGTCTTTGCTTTTGATAGTATCTTTCTCCCTCTTCGTGTCACTGTTTCTAACTGAAATCTTTATTCTGCAGCCACAACACCAAAACCACCACCTGGTTGGATCCTCGTCTCTGTAAGAAAGCGAAAGCCCCCGAGGACTGTGAAGACGGAGGTAGATACAGAGCCTTTTATACCACACTCTCGTAGTCGCGTCTCACTCTCCTCGCGCAGACGATGGGTGCGTTTTCTGAGGTCCTAGGCAAACCGAGGTGTGCGGCGGTGCCTTAGCACCGGCCAGACCTCGTTGTCCTCATCCGAACCGCGGTCCTGTCGCTGCCTCTGACTTAGTGAGAGACTTTCTTTCTCTCTTTTTTAAGGATTATGTGATTAAGTCTCTTGTGAAAAATCTCAATACAAATACATTTGTCACCTTTTTTTACATGTACTTTAAAGGTAACTGTTTAAATAATAGACCAACTTGACAAACTTCAAAAGTTCTTAATAGCTATTTTAAAAAATTAGGTACATTTTCAACCAGAGTAGCCTCATCATGCTTGTTAAGCTTTCAAAAATATATTTAATTTAGTGTCACAAGGCTAGGTATGCTGGTATCTAGGGCTAATTTTTAGCCGTTTAGAGGAGCATTGGAAACCCCATGAAAGTCTTTAGTAAACCCACCACCCCACAATTTGTACTGCTTAGTACTGAAATTCTTTAAGAATCATTGGATGATACTGCTTGTCTGTGTTGTATGTTATTGATTGTGTTTAGTGGTAGAGTCTTGCAAGTAAGTATAGAATTTACCCTAACCAAAATCGCTCACTATGCCTTCTTGAGTATAGGGTGCAGATGAAAAGAATTGTGTTCATTATGTGTCACTCATCAGAAATGAAGTACCTTAGTTTAAAAAAAAAAAGTGGCTTAGGATGAGGTTCAGATAGTTCCCCCTATAGACTGAATTCCAGTCCTTTACAAAACATTAAACAGAATTGTTCAGCATGATCGCAGTGTTAAGAATTTTCCTAGGAACAAGCAGTTGGAAAATGGAATTATTTAAAATTTCTATCTGCAGTGACTTTTTAAAAAATTAAATATGGGTGAGCAAATATACTGAAAGATGTGCAAGTCTTCTACGCTGAAAACTCTAAAACGTCCCTGAAAGAAATGAATGAAAACCTAAAATAATTGAAGAGATATACTACGTCCATAGATTGGATGGCACAATATTGTTAATGATGTGAACATCATTAACATTTTCTCTAAATTGATATCTAAATCAAATACAGTCTTAGTTAAAATCCTGAAAATTTGCTTGGAAGACGTCAACAGGCTGATTCTAAGACACGGATGTGACCACAAAGGCTGTGTTCTGTTGTGCATACGCACTACGTCGTCTTTGTCCAGTCCTCGAGCAAAGGACACTTCCACTGCTCCCGTGTCTTCGCCACTGTGAATAATGCCGCAGTGAACCTAGCGGTTTGTGTATCTTTGCAAATAAATTATTCAGGCAGGTACCCAGGAGCTGGGTCCTGTGGTAATGCCGTCCTTCATTTCTGTGGAAGCTCCATATGTTTTCCACAGTGGCCATGCAGTGAGTGTATGCTCCCACCAGCAGCGAACGAGGGTTCCTTTTTCTCCACAACCTCTCCGACCCTTGCTACAAGAAATAATTTTTAAAATCATTTCTGTAACATACTTACCTTGTGTGTAAGGCTTCCAGCAGTAAGTTCTTTGTGGAGAGGTCAGCCGCTGTAACCTAAACTATGTAACACTGCAGAATTTGACTTTTCGAGGTAGTGAAGTGAACGTGGTGTTGGTCTTCTCAGCACATCTATTTGCTGGTCTCCATCCTCTTTCCGGCCCACTCATTGTTTCGAGTTCAATTCTCTGCTGTTTCCTGTTTTCCCTTGGAGAGTGGGTTCATTTTCATAGCTCTATCAATTGACTGTAGTCGGGTCCCTTATCTACATCTCCAGTATTGTTCTCTGTTAAATGCTATTTCTGTATTTCCTATTGACTTTCTGTTTGGTTGTCCCACTAGCACTTCAAATAAACGAATTTAAAAAGCAAACAGTTTTCTCTGGAAGCCGCCCCTCCCTCTCTCTTTCCCTCAGGGGTGCCGTCCTTACACACCCTGGCCGGACCCCTGCAGTCGCACTTGCTCCTCCCTCTCCTCTCGCTCCAGCACCTGCTGCTCTTTTCTTCCCCCTGCTTTGCCGCTGTATATATTAGTGTGAAAAGTGTTCAACGTACAGACAGAGTGGTGGAATTTTGCAGTGTATGCCCACCACTGAGATATTCCGGTGAACATTTTGCGGTGTTTGCTTTTCCACACAGTTGTCTGTCCATCTGTCCTCGCTTTTCCCCTTCCACCTTTCTCTCCTTTCCTGCGCTCGCCACGCACTTGCATTGTCTTCAGACTTTTTCCCCCCTGGAGTGACTTCTCCAGTGTGTCCCTCCTGCCAGTGGTCTCCAAAACGTTGGCATTCAAACTATCTTTTGTTAGAACTTATTTTTCATAATGTTTCTTTTAGGAAAAGAAAGACAAATTAAGCTTCTCTTACTGTTTCAGAGACAGGCTGGCAATTCTGTGTGTGACTGTATGTGATTATCACATTCACCAACCACCCAGAGTACTAATTACTCTTGTCAAAGGCACTGTGGAGTTTTGTAGTTTGTTTTGCCCAGTTTAGTGGATTTAGAGACCATGTTACATAGTTTTGGGGATTTTTAAAAAGAATTTTATCTATTTTAGAGAGAGGGGGAGGGAGGGAGAAAGAGAGGTAGAGAAATATGAAATTTGTGGTTGCCTGTCATGTGCCCCCAACTGAGGGGCCTGGCCTGCAACCCAGGCTTGTGCCCTGACTGGGAATTGAACCAGTGACCTTTTGGTTCTCAGGCTGGCGCTTAATCCACTGAGCCACACCAGCCAGGGCCATGTTACATAGTTTTTAATCCAGACAAAACTAAAATGTGACTTTAAAGCTTTTCTGCAAAGATAGTACCAATTGAAGATAATACAAACACACAAGCCCAAATGAATAGTAAGAAAACAGCAGAGCTGACAGTTTTCATATTTTGCTTATGCTTTATTTCATACATATTAGTAGAGTAGTGCATACATATTTATGCATAAATATATATATCTCGGAGGCACATGTTCAAGTTTTTTACTGATAAGGCCACAGGATCAAAAAGCTGTGGCTGCGTTGCCTGTTGACCTTTGTAACACATTACCACCTTCATGCCTGCCCACTCGGATGCCTGTAACGGCTCCCTGCTGTCCGCAGCAGAAGTCTAGACTGCTGGTGAAGAAGTAAAGGCTTTGTATAACTGCACCATAATCTGTATTTTCCCAAGTATTTTCATATCAGAAATATGAACTACGTTTGTCTTTGCCTTTGCTGTGTGCCCGTGTGTCTGCAAGGACCCAGCCCCATGCCCTGTGCCCACCCGGCTCATGGCTGCTTATCCTTCTAAACTCACATCCCAAGTACAGTTTCCTTGTCATCTCCTCTGTGCTGACCAGCACCGTGTGGCATGTGTCTATTCGAACACCAGTTACATTGCACTGTTACTGAATGCCTGTGTTCCAGAAGGGCAGTCATTTTGTCTCATTCATCTCTCTATCCCTGCAGCAGAGACCAAGTGTGTGGAAGGGTGGGGGGAGGGAAGGAAGGAAGGTGCCCTGCCCCCCAGATTGTTCTGGTCTCCCTTCTTGCGGAAGTTCTGGGCGAGGCAGTGAACAGTGAGTCCGTCTTCACTCACGGGTTTGGAGGCGACGAGAGCCGGCGCACAGGAACCGGAGAGACGAGCGACCGTGACGTGGCCCTGGCCCCGCATGTGTGCGCACTCGCCACGGCCTTTCCCCTGTGGGAGGTGGACTCAGGCGTCCGCCCGTGGCCTCTGCGTCCGGCTGCAGGCCCGCCCACGAGGCAGGCGCCGAGAGACCAGAGCGGGTTGCACACGCTCTGCAGGCAGGCCGGCCGGCACCCACAGCCCTGGGCCAGGCCCGTTGAATTCACTCAGATCCCACCAGTCAGAGAAGACATTTTCCCATCCTTGGAGAAGAAAATGAAAAGGCTCAGAGAACTGGCAGTGTTTCTGCCATTCTCACCCCTCGGTGGAAGGTGGGAAACTGTGTGACTGTGTCCCCTGAGGCTCTTTCCATCGAGGGTGACCAGTGTCTTGGTCAGCTCGGGACCAGCCCGCGTGTCCCTGTCGCCCAGCGTGGGTGTGAACAGCAAGCACCTCACTGTGCGGTCAGCCCACCACGGCCGCCCCGAGACAGAGCAGCCGGAATGGCATTGGGCTCCCGCAGTGCTGTCCCCCCGCCCCCACTTTTCCATCCATGGTTCGTCCGAGCAACCTCGTCGGCTGCCATGCCTTGACCCCCGTGTCTCCCAGATCCTTGTCTCCCCACACTTCTCTGCCGGGGGCCAGGTTCATGACCTGAAGAGACCGTTGGGTGTTCTGGCCGCCATGTGGCGCAGGCCCCCAGGCGGAGCCCCCCTAGACTGAGCTCAGCCTCCCGCCGCCCTTGGGTTCCTGCCCTCGGCAGGGGACGCCACCTCCTCCCAGTTCCTGGAGCTCAGAACGGATCCTCACCCTCAACTCTTTTCTCACTGCACCTTCTTCACTGCGGCCAGCCCCCCGTTCTGTCGGCTCTGGCTTTCGGAGAGCACCTGCCGTTTCCTCAGCGTCCAGTGGCACCGGCACTTCTTACGCATCCTCTGTCGTCCCCATGCCTGAGTCTGGATCCATGCCTCCTTCCTGTTCCCACAGCTCGTCCGCAGTAGATGTTTAACGAGTGTTCGACGAACTCTCTTGGTCATTTTCATGCCTGGGCATCGCATCGGCCTCCCCGCTCAAATCCTCCCGCCGGCCACCGAGCCCCGTTGCTCTGGCCTCCTCGTCCCTGCTCCCCGTGCGTCCTCCCCAGCCCCCCTTCCAGCCTTCACAGTCTCTTGTCTGGGCTCTTAATGGCAGGTTTTATTTGTCTGTCTCTCTCTTCCCTCCGCTCCACCCACCTCATCCTCTGTGACTGCTGCCCGTCATCTTCCTCAGATGTAACTGTCATGGCATCACCGCCCGGCGTAATCAGCCCCGTCACCATCAGGATGAGCATCGGGCTCCTTCCCGCGGCACCGCAGACCCGAGGTTTGGTGCTCGCCTGGGAGGGGGCACCTTGCGTACAGCCTTCACTGCAGCCCAACCCGGCCGTTTGTAAGCACGGAAAAGGCCGGGCGTCCTCACACCGGCCTGCTCCTCGGTGGGCCCGGACGGCCGCCCCTCCCCCTCCCCCACCCCGGACGGCCCTTCAAGGCATCACCCGCCTTCAGAAGGCGCTCCTGGTAGCTGCCCTCACCTGGCGGGCAGTGTCCTCCTCCTCCTGCACTGCCCGTGTTTATCCTGATGACGTCATCTCTCTCTCCTGTCTTCCTGTTCAGACAACTGTTGAGGTCAGGAATTGTGTTTCCTTTTTTTTTTTTTAATTTATTGATTTTGGCAGGGTTCATTGATTTGTTGTTCCACGTATTGATGCATTCATTGGTTGCTTCTCGTATGTGCCCTAAATGGAGATCAAACCTGTAATCTTGGCGTATTGGGATGATATACTCTAACCAAATAAGCTAACAAGCCAGGGCCAAGAATTGTTTCTAATTTTAGTTTTGCATAAGGAAGGAAAGAGGAGGAAGGGAAGGAAGGGAAAAAGGAAAAAGGGAAGAAAAAAGGAAATCAGTGAAGGCATTGACTCCCTGGTAGTGTATAAAATTGCTAGGTACCTTGAAATGGGAAAATAATCACTTCGTCATCTGTATTAAATCTGCCCTGCCAAAAAACTGGCTAATGGTGTCACTCCCTGGAAGGGTTGGTAGTGATTACTTAAAGGAACCTACACGGTAAATGACCAGTTTTACTCTCCTGAAGACAGGGCTGGATATACTTGATCTGTTTGTTGCTCATTGCTTTACGTGTTAACTAAAATGCTGAATTAATTTCCAGGTTAACTCTGAAGTATATTTATGTTGGTCTTTTGTCCTTGTTAAGCAATAATGCATTTCTTTTTAGTGAATTTTCCGGATAGCAGGTAGAGTGTTTCACCTGTCTCTGTGGTTCCTTCGATCACTGCAGACTTCCCGAAAGACAAAGTGGTCTGGTTGGGTGTGGTCGGACACTTCATCTCCCCACAGTACCATTCAGTTCCCGTGCCAGCTGAAGGAAATTTCTATTAAAAGGAAAAACTCTTTCCTGGAAGATTCTTAATGATAATGCCTTGGTAATATTATTATAGAACAGTTCTGCCCAGGTACGTAGCTCAGTTGGTTAGAGTGTTGCTCCGATACACCAGGGTTGTAGGTTCAATCCCCGGTCAGGGCACATACAAGAATCAACCAATGAATGATGAATAAGTGGAACAACAAATAGATGTGCCTTTCTCTTTCTGTCTCTCCCTGTCTTCCTCTCTTTCTCTAAAATCAATAAATTAAAAAATATATATTATTATAGAACATTTTTAGAGATATAATCCAACAAATACTCTTATCCATGTAACAGTTGCTTGTTCATAAAATATTGCTCCTAGTTAATTGGCAGCGGTTTGCGTCATAGATGTGGAAGATCAAAGTGAACAGAAATGTATCTCAGTTCTTCTGTTTTCACCCAGTAGTTACTTTTCAACTCTTCTCATCTTTTCCACCTCAGACATTTCAACCAGGGCTTTCAAAGGAAAACCACAGAACCTCACCACAGTTTGAAGCCACCAGTTGCTACACACACACACCCACAAACACACACACACACAAACACACACACACCCAGGCAGAAAACATGCTGGAGAAAGGGAGTGGATGGAGGTGATGGAGACACTTTCATCAAGAGCCTAGTCATCTATGTTCTCCTATTCGGAATGTGCAATAGTATTTTTTATTAGCACATAAGAGATTGCAAAGTTTATTCAGTTTGTTATACTGGAATTTTTACTGATGAAGTCGATAACATCATAATTGGCCAAATGATAAAATACCAACAAGTCTTTTGATACACCCAAGCCCATTTCCTGTCTGGTATGCGCCATCTGTGTGTGTGTGTGTGTTTTAGCACAGCCGAAAAGCACTCTGAAAGAAATGGAAGAAGATAAAAGTGGGGGGTTTCTGTTGAAAAAATCTTCAGGTTTTTTGGTTCTATTTTACACGTCAGTTACTGGCAATAAATAATATATAATGACCCCATGTAAGCTGTTTCTTCGTTACTACACACGAATACGGATTCTACCGAAGGCACTGTGGTGGTGAAGTAAAATTTCCTTCGGCCACTCAGATCAAGTTAATGTAAGGGAAAGTAGGTATTTCGTTGGATTTTAAGCAAATCTAGCTTGCCCACTTGAAATGGAAAAGATCCAGGGCTGGACTTCCCTCTGGGGAGACGGGGGTCAGAATACGATAGACGTGGTCGGCCCGTCTCACAGATCCTGCCGAAAAGCCTGGGGCGCGGCTGCTTCCCGCGCTGGGCTGCGGGGCGAGCGTGACTCAGGTCAGCGTCCCCGTCCCCGAGCTTTTTACATGAAAGGACTGCAACAGCCTCTCTCCTGAGCGTGGTTTCACCTTCCGCGGTTTCAGCTACCTGCGGACAACCGAGGTCCGAAAGTATTATAAACGGAAAAGTCCAGAAATAAACAGTTCGTAAGCTGTAGATCGCACATTGTTCTGAGTAGCGTGATGAAGTCTCGCGTTGTCCTGCTCCGTCCAGCCCGGGATGGGAATCCTCCCTTTGTCCGGCGCGTCCACACTGTATCCCCCCAACCCACGGTCGCTTCGTAGCCATCGGGGTTATCAGATTGACTGTCACACTGTGAAAGTGCTCATGTTCGAGTCACCCTTGTTTTCCTCAGTCGTGGCCCCAACGTGCAGGAGTAGTGATGCTGGCCGTTCAGACACGCCAAAGAGAAACGTGAAGGGCTTTAGTGAAGAGTGTGCAGGGATAGGAAACATCATAACATAAACAGGGTTCAGTGCTATCGGCAGTTCCAGGCATCCACAGGAGGTCTTGGAACGGATCCCTGAAGGATAAGGAGGGACTACTCTGTGCGAGGTGGTTTTTTAAATAATTAGCATTTTCATGGCTTGTGATTCAGATAAACACCTTTGAGTGTAACGTCCTCTCATGTTCTGAGGTTCTGGTCACTTGCAGAGACTCCCTCCCCTGGTTATTGAAGAGCCACTCAGACTCAAGCCGTTTGCTCTTTCAAAGTGAGCCCTCAGCTCTGTCTGTCTCCCAGCTATGCAAATTCACTCCCTGGCGAATTCTTTTCTGTTGGTTTTGAAGCAGGCATTTCGCTCAGTTCTTTCTTTTCTCTTGCAGAACTTCCTTATGGCTGGGAGAAAATAGAGGACCCTCAGTACGGGACGTACTATGTCGAGTGAGTCTGTTACCTCCTTCTCTGTTCTCCCTAACGTGGGGCTTTCACTGCACAGCTTTCAGGGCTGCTGACCACCTCGCTTCCTGCTGCTGCCGTCCAGCTGCTGCTGCCATCCAGCGGTCATGGTTTTCCGGGGAGGGGGTGAGAGGGCAGGACCTGAGCCTTTACTTCCCGGACTCCGGGCTTCCAGGAAGCTAGGGGGTGGTTGCTGGTGATGGGTAGTTGGAGACGTCACCCTCACTACAACAGCCTCTAAAGAGAAAGGCAGTGGACAGAGAACCGTGAAACATGAACGCTGAAGGTCACTTCCAACACGAAAGCTACTCGGTTTTGAAAACCAGGAGAGAACTTGAAGGGCAGTGTATCACATGACCCAAAATTCTGAGGTGTGTGATTAAAAGTGTTCTCTCTCTCGAGGAGTTATTCCAGGAAAATTTGGTAATTTGGGGGGATGAGTGACAGCTGCTCCTCCCACAGCTGTTAGGGTGGCATTTAAACAGATAGGTGTTGGCGTGGAACTCCAGACACCTGGCTTTGCCAGCCAGAGAAATGAAGGTAATGTCAGCACCTAATTTTTCCTTCCCTTTTCTCCATTTATCAAATTGCTACATTGTTATGGTTATTGGGGTTGCTTGTCTTCCAAATGCTACAGATACAATTTTGACCTGGGGCATCTCGTAGCAGACGGTAATTGCATCAGAAATGTTACTGTTTCCCTGGAAACTAGAAGTCTCAGCCTACTGCCTGTATAGTGAAGGCAAAATGATATTGTCACCTGGGACATGTAGCAAACCTGAGAAACTTCTAGTTTTATGATGACTTACTAGTTTGTTATCACGTGTTGGCATAAACAAGTACCAGTTCCTGATATTCATCCTTAAAGTACCTCAGACGCCTGTTGTAACTCTAGTCTGTATCCTAATGTGCGGCTCGTCCCTTGAGTCATTTTGCTGAGAGAGATTTTGGGACATGCTTAAAACTCTAACTTGTACCCTAAGGAAATGACTCAGTCAGTGTGGCCCTTAAATCTCTAACTTGTCAATGTCGATATTTTGGTTCCTTTGACAGGTGATGCTAATTTTATTTCCGTTGTGCTATTAAATATCTTGCTGGTACTGTGATGTGAAAAGTACATAGCAGCTCTTTGGTTATTTTTCTCTAACGCAGATTTAGTTACAATAAAGAAACAAACATTTTTGAAGTCCAGAGAATATTTGAAGGCCAACTAAAAGGGTTTTGTGAGATTTGTTTTTCTCCCTAGTAGTTTAGTCGATTTAAATTGGGCTTCAGTCCACTATTATGTGCCATGGACACTTTGAACGTTTCTGAGATAATGACTCTCATCCTCCTATTGTCCCTTCCAAATGAATTCGAACATGTGGTCAAGAGGTGAAAGTCGTCTGCCTGTTACAGACTCTTGGGCTGAGTGCTCTGGTTCTCATTAAGCAAAGCTATCATATCGTAGCGCAGCAACTTGGCGGCAGATCCTGGAGTGACCCGCTCCCAGCCGTTGCCGAGGTACGTGCACTCGCCGACATCAGCAGCGGCAGCAACGGGGTTCGGTCTGATTGTTCCCCGAACACGCTCATTTTGCAGGCAGATAATTCATTAGATGAAGAAGGAGCAGGCCGTACTGGAGACGCACGTGAGTGTGGAGTCGGCCGAGCTGTGGAATGTGGCTGCGCTCCCAGACCGGTTAGCTCTGGCACCGCGAGCACAGCCGTCCACAGCGAGTTTGCTGATGGAGATAAAAAGCTGTTGCGGGAACGGCCACTCTTGGCTCTCCCGGCGTGTCAAACCAGATGGCACCGTGATCGCTCTTGGCAGGGGCCGGCTGGTAGTAACGCCGGCTGCAGTGGCGGCGTTTCTGTGTGAGTTTTGATTTCCGAGTCTGAGATTCCGACATGGATTAATGTAGTCTTGAAAATGAAGTTGTTCCAAAAACTGAAAGGCAGGCCTTCCAGAAGAATGCCTGTATAAGGAATGTTGTCTCATTGTACTACGTTAAATGTCTCGGTGCACTTCGGTAGCCAAGGGAAAGCGCACGTCCGATCCAGCACCTCAGACTCTCCACGGAGGAATAATGGTTTTGTTTGCTGAGATGAACTTTTAAAACCCATATGGTGTACACAAAACTCTTAGCACAGATGAGATTCAAAATTATATAAATGTATTTAATCGTGCTTGTTGGCTACCCTTATTTAATTTTTCTGATAATCTTTAATCTCCTCTCTTCACATAGCCAGTCATATGGAAAACAAAATCTGTTACATCTTAGCAATGTTGCAAATATAAGTAACTAAGTGAAAAGGAGACTGTTTTTACTTTTTTGTTTTGTTTTGGGGAGGCATTTTAATCTAGGCAGTTTAAGGTGACAGATGCAGTTCCTTCACTACAATCTTACATTCTTCTGTCAGAGAATTTTCAGGAAGAGGATTCCTCGTTTGCATATTTCTATTCTCTTCTCCCACACATTGCAAAGAGGATAAATACGAATTACTACTTTTTATGTTCTTACATCTGGGAGGCAAAGTGAGTCATTCTAGCTCTGGATGACGTGAGGAGTGAGCCCAGGTCCTTTCTAAACAGGTTTATTCTTATTTTTTTGAAGTGCCAGTTTCTAGTTGTTTAATTTTTTCAAGGATAATGTCCGTATTGAATGAATACCTTTAGAAGTAGCACCTAGCTTAACACCAGTGATCTTCATTTTTGCCGAAGGTTGAACAGTTAGTTGATCAGGCGCCCCTCGCAGTCAGCGGCAAGAGCTCTCTCGAGCTTTTGTGCCGTCGGAGCCCGGAGAGTGTCAGGCGGAGCTGGCCAGCTGCAGAGCTCTGAAAGCAGTAACCGCCCCGGCCTCGGGGTTGTCGAGACACTGAAGTGACAGAGAGGCCTGGCAGCTGCCCCCTCCGCTGCCACCGCCATTAATGTTCACAAACAGCAACGGAGTTTTGCAAGTCCCGTGACTGTTCTTGTGCAGGTGTTTTAGTCCTCAGCCCGTCTGAAGACCATCAGTCTGAAGACGGTCAAACCTGAGATGCGACTGGCTTGGTGTTTGTCGGAGTTCAGTAACGTTGCTTTTTAAAAAGCGGATTCTGCTGGAAAATGCGTGTCATTAGGCTGAAACACACGTGTGCTTTGGGAGCGCTGGCATATCATTCCCATGGCTTCCGCACTGGACCTGTCTGTGGCCCTGAGCATCTTGCACGGCAGCTGCATTCGGAGCCAGGGTCCCCTGGCCGCCCTGCCCGGGGAACCCTGGCCTGTCCCCCCTGCAGCTCGTCCTCTCGCCCACAGGGTGTTACAGGCACTGGTGGCTGGTCACTCACCCCCTCTGTGTCCCTCTTCTGTGCGTCTCCCCCAGACTTGTGTGCTTTCCGGGTCAATGTGAGTGTCCCCAAATCAGAAATGCCCGTCAAACTTACGTTGCAATTACATAACTCATCTAATCATTATGTAATTAAGAAGAAATTTAAGTGCAGAGAAGTTGTTCTGTGAGAATGTAATTTGATAAAAGCAAGCCTCTTTCTGACTTGCTGCTGAATTGGCGTGGGCGAGTCAGTCAAAAAGTAACAGTGAAATTCTGGAAGGCTTCTGCACCCGGGTTTCTTCGAAAGTATCTTCATAGCTGCTTCATTTTAGAGAAACTTAAAACCCTCCTACTGTTAACTGCCTTTTTAAAAAGCTGCTCAGTTACCAACAGTTATGATTACATCTGCTATGAGGACTACTACAGTTTTTTGAGTATTTAGACTAAAACTTGGCTTTTATTTTTATTTGTTTTTTAATTTACTTTTTAGTGTTTTTTCCCCTATCACCCTGCGTTCACAAAGCTGTGTGACTGCGTCCGCGGCGTTGACTTCTAGGCCTCGCCTCTGGGCTTCACTTTGGTTGCCAAAAGCCCCTCCGCCGGGGTGTGCCAGCTCCTCTCGTCCCGCGCCTGGAGATCCGAACCGTCCCTGACACCGCGGTGACGGGACGGTCTGGCGGCCAGTTTTCAAATAGCGTGTAACTCTTTCATCTTAAACTGAAATTGCATGTTTTTCTACACTTTACAGTCACCTTAACCAGAAAACCCAGTTTGAAAATCCAGTGGAGGAAGCCAAGAGGAAAAAGCAGTCAGGACAGCCTGATGTGGGGTCTTCAAAACCAGGTAGGACCTTCTCCCGGCCTGTGACACACACGTGCTGACGGAGTTCAGGGTGACGACTCGGAGCTCTTCGCTGTCGGGGCTCTGAAATCCAACAGGGCTTGCCTCGTTTTTGTCGCCGTGAAGGTGGGGCGGATCTTGGCCCCACACTGGAATGTTTGAGAAGACTGACGTTTTCCTCCTGCCGTGTGAACCGCTGGGAGAAGGGCGTAACAGCGAGGGCATTGTTACGGGTCGAGGATTCAAAGATTGGTTTGATTCCTAATGTTTAAGGCCAGGCCAGTGATGGATCTCTCATTCGTTATGAGTGTCTGCCCAGTTCATTGCTTTAGGTCTGCTATCAGCCGCCATCCAGGATTCTTCATTAACTGATACCAAGAAATACTAAATAAGTCCATCATATTATTTGCCTCTCAAATGGGATGGTATTAATAATACTAAGGTCATTTAGGGAACATTTTAAAACTCAGTGGGTTCTGAGATTTGGGGGAGCCTAGCCATGTGTATTTTGAAAAAGCTGCCCAGCGATTTCTTACCTTCCGCTCTTCCCTCCCCGTCTCCTCCCCTTCTCCGTCTGTCATTAACAACCACATTAGCAACCTGTGTGGTCATATTATAATGACCCAGTAGTCTCCCCACCTCTGTCACCCATGAGAGAAACAGTTCCTTCTTGTAGCTACTTTTCAAAAACCTAGTCCCCTCTCTCAAGTTTTGCATTTGATTGAGCAAATATTTTTAGTTTAACAAATCTTTTGGAGCACCCACCTTATGCCCAGGGCCTTGCCAAGAATATGGTATTCAAAAACAATTAGACAGGCCTAGCCCTCAACAGATGACAGCCTCGTGTAGGAAATGAATGGTCACAACATAGGATGACAGGTGGCATCCTAGCATAACAGTTAAATGTGCACGGGTGCGCAGGGTTGAATCCCAGCTGTGTGACTTCGGGTGAGTTCCCTAAACTCTCTGTGCCTCTGTGTTCCTCGTCTAAAGAATAGGGGTGATACTATTCTTATCTCCTAAGGTGGTTCGGAGTGGCAGATTACCCTAATACAACTAAAGTGCTTACAGTGTGTCTGCAAATGGTGACAAAGAAGTGGTGCCTTTCATTGTCATTAATAGAGACGTACAAGGGGCAGTGGCGGCATGACGCTGGAGCACTCAGCGCTGCTTTGGTGGAGAAAGTCACGGGGGCCATGGGGGGCGGGGCTTGCAAAGCAGAGGGCCCATCACTTCTGAGCTGGGTCTCGAGGTGTCAGGAAAAGTCAAATCAGAAAGATGGAAATTTTAGAGGACATGAAAGTCCACAGCAACATCATCCACTGTAGCCAGAAAGTGGAAATAACCCCAGTGTCCACCCGCTGACAGATGGATGAAAGGAGTGAGATCTGTCTGTCCGTGCAGCGAGCGGATCGCTCTCTGGCAGTGGAAAGAGTGCAGTGCTGACACACGCTGCGACACAAACGAACCTCGGAAATGTTCGGGCATTGAGAGGGGCCACTCGGAAGACCTCATGTCGTGTGACTGCGGTTTTTGATAAATGTCCAGACCGGGCAAATCCGTAGACAGCTGGATGAGCGGCTGCTCAAGGCTAGGTGGGGAAGTGTTCAGGTCGGGAAGTGCAGTGACTCACTGCTCACGGGCCTGGGATTTCGTGTCGGAGGAAGGAGAAGTTTTCCTAGAATTAGGTCATGGTGACAATCCAGCAGCACTCACTTGTACACTGTAAGTGGCTGCATTCCGGCGTATGTGAATTATATCTCAGTAGAACTGTTAAAAAATATTTGGCAGAACATGTTAAACCATCTTTTAAAAAGTTTCCAGCGATGCTCTGGAAATTACAAATCTGTCCGTCCTGGTCCTCTCGGGGTTTCCAGAGGCGCCCTGATGGCAACCATCGTGGTGGGGGTGGGGCGGGGAGGTCCTGGGGACCGGAAGGGAGGTGCTCCCTGCAAACGTGGACCGCTTTCAGTCCTGAGACGTCTGAGGAAATCGCTAAAAATAGGCTTGTCAGTGGAGCTGTGCTTTTCTTCCTCGGAAACATCCACTAAACATAAATGAAAGAAACAGGAAGCTACTTCCTGTGTTTAGGGATTCTCTCCTCCCGTCAGACGTCCATGCAAAGCCACAGAAAGCCCGGGCTGTCCTTAGGAGAAGCTCTGCAAACAGCCCCTCTCATAGGTGTGTGGCGGCTGTCTCCATCTTCCCAGCACTGTCTGCACACTCGGCTCAGTGGGCGCCTGTGCAGGGGAAGGGCACAGCGCAATGGGCGTCGCTGGCTCTCAGGAGTTTAATAGTCCGGTTGCACCTCCCGTTTTGAGTCCAGACAAGGGGCTCCTGGGGTGAAAGTAAGTACAAACAAGGCAATGAGGGGGAGGAAGAAGTAGGTGCTTTTACCTTTCAAATAACAAGGAAGGATCCTAGAAAAGAGAAATAATTCACTATCATTTTTTTTTTTAGTGATTTACTGGTAGTTTATGAATTTAAATTCTAACTGTTCCATAACATTAGAGTCTCTCTGATTTTTTCTTCTCTGTGGTTCGTTGTGTTTTAAGTTACACGACTACCTTAAATATTGCCTTCAGGGGCCGTAGTCATTGTCACAGTTTTCGTTCTCAAAGCCGTTTCTCATTTCGGCCCAGACATGGAGAAGCCCCACTTCACCCGAGACCCGGCCCAGCTGAAGGGCATCCTGGTGCGCGCGGCGCTGAGGAAAAGCGCGATGGGCTTCGGCTTCACCATCATCGGCGGGGACAGGCCCGACGAGTTCCTGCAGGTGAAGAACGTGCTGAAAGACGGGCCTGCCGCTCAGGACGGGAAGATCGCACCAGGTGGGCAGCTTCTCGGAACGGCTTGAAGAGCAGTGATGCTAGAACAAGACTTAGCGTGCAAGGACACACACACACACACACACACACACACACACACACAGGGTGCGGCAGAAGTAAGGCCTGCGTGAGTGTAGTTGGTGGGGTAATAATATGGGCGTGATAGTGTGTAGTTTTAATTTGAACATTTCACTTAAAATGTCATATGGTGTGTTTGAGTGCAATATTGTCATGTTACAGAATTACATGCTTATGATTTTATAATAAAAGATTTTGTAATAAAAAGGGCCATTATTTGTACCAGACCCTGTACATCTGCCTTCATGATAAATATGTATGTGTACGTATTCTGGATATTACGTACCATCTGCATTAGCATCTGGGGCAATACTTCATTAAAAATGATTCAAGCATTTTTAAATTTCTGTAGCAAAAATGTATGACTAAGTATATAATACTATAAATATCAATATGTAAGTATATATTGCACTATATAATTTATATAGAGAGACAGAACTAAGTTATACAAATGAAGGAGATTTCTGTGTTAAAACAGCTTATCCTTTAAATTAGGTACATATTAGTTTTAAGGGAGAGCCATCTTTACAAATATGTGGAAACAAAAAAGGTATTATATTTATTAATTTTCAAATAGTTTGTATAATTTCGGGCTAACTCTTTGGCTCTACTAAGCTAGGGATTTACGAACCATCTCAGAAAACTACTTGATTGTTTGGATTTCTTCGGTTACGCGGGGTACTTTTGGAGCTACCTGACATTAACCTCTAATCTTCTTTGAAAAATGATCCATTGTTATGTTTATAGTGGCACCAAACAAATTGTCCCCCATTGTTCTCCCAAGTTTTTTTTGTTTTTTCCTTAGTCTCACTGATTGTAAATAAAATTAAGCAACTGTTTGGAGAATGATAGGCATACATTACCATTTTTACAGAGCTGAACCAATTTGTCTTTTCTATCATTTTCCTAACCTCATCATTTCTAGAAGTTTGAATGTGGCTGACAGTGTTGATAGCAAAGGGAAGTTCAAGGCTGGTTACAGATTCCGAAGGCGGTTGAAACGCTGTTTTCCAGGAGGGTTTTAGTATTCCACTGAGGTTGCCCCTCGCGCCGTTGACTGGACTTCCCTGATCCCCTGTCATTTCACCCGCCCTGTGAGCGCAGCCTGCAGGTGGGCAGTCCCGAAGTCATCCGACTTTCCACGGTGCATGTCGGCCTGTGTCCAGCCAGGATATGGGGTCTCTCAAACTATGCTTTCCCATGCAGGTGATGGGAACTTAGAACATACTTAGTCAAAAGTTATGTTTGTAAAGATCATTATTTCAGCCTTCCTCTATTACATTATAAAATAAGCTCTAGAGATTAAAATTAATAAATTTTTTTAAGTTTTCAGTTTTGACTTTTTGAGCATTTTGTCCATGGAACACAACTCGTAGCTATTATCTATGCTGTTGAGATTTTACTATATTCAGATTTGTCTAAAATGATCTTACTTGCATAGCAATACAATACTTCCATGAAAATTCTGGGGTTTTAACCAGGGGAGAATAAGTCAAAACTTTGTTTCTGATCAGTCTAATTTCTGTATCTTAGGTTTGGAAACAAATTTCCGCAGACTCATGTTTTTTAAAAAACATTCATGTTGACTTTTCTAAAGCCTACATGCAATCAGAACAAATTAAAGTAACTCTATTTGGCAATAATCTTTTAATTAGTTACATTCAAGTAAAAGCAGCAAACGGGCGAGACAGTGGAGGACAGATTTTAAAAGTGGAGGCTATGTTCGAAAAGCACAGCTGGGGAATGTCAAGTAGTTGTGGCCCTAATAATGTGAAATTGGGGCAGCGGAGCCAACTTTTACAAGGTTAGTTAGTTTCACTGGCTTCTCAGTGTCTTCATACAGCCTTTGCTTGTGTTGAATTTTGTGTTGCTTGTTTCTCCTTGTGAAATCTGAATTACAACAAGTTGAAACTCTAGAAAAAGAAGGATGCTTAAAAGAAACTATATTCACAACAACGCTATTCTAATCTTTAGCCCTACATTATGAATTTTTAATGACATCGTAATGGCTTCTTCAAAGTCAAGAAATGAGGTGGTATTTGAAGATTGCCTTTTCCTGCAGGGAGTCGGTGGGAGTTACTTGCTCCTCCCCTGTGTGCTGAGTGGCTGCTACAACGCACCTCGCTGGTGCGGCACGTGGGTGGGACGCAGAGGATATACTAACAATGATCATATGAATTTGCACTTATTTTTGGTGTGAGTCCCTTGAGCTTGAGGTCGTAACCCTTTGCTACAGAGATCATTAAGATTTGTACATTTATGCATTCTTTCTAGAGAGGAGTCGCAGAGGGAGAGCCACATGTCTGTATTCAAAACCAGCAGTTAGCGAGCAGGAAGAGGTTTCCAGAATTCAAATTCAGATGCTAAATTTAAGTTATTTCTGTGTCCCCTGACAACAAAAAAATGAACTTGTCCGGTGGTTTTAATGTCATCACCACGGTTATCTGTTACCAGGCGACGTCATTGTAGATATCAACGGCAACTGTGTCCTTGGCCACACCCACGCAGATGTCGTCCAGATGTTTCAGCTGGTGCCTGTCAATCAGTACGTGAACCTCACCTTGTGTCGTGGTTACCCGCTGCCGGACGACAGTGAAGACCCTGTCGTGGACATGGTGGCCGCTACCCCTGTCGTCAACGGGCAGTCAGCCGCCAGGGGAGACACTGGCGGGAGCACTCAGGACTTCAGGTCGGGAGCCCTGGTCCTGGACCAGAACGGGAAGTCGGGACAGCCCCTGGCCAGCGACCGCCTCAATGGGCCGTCGGATCCGAGCGAGCAGAGGGCGTCCACGGCGTCGTCGGGCAGCTCGCAGCCGGACCTCGTGACTGTGCCTCTGGTCAAGGGCCCCAAGGGCTTCGGGTTCGCCATCGCGGACAGCCCCTCGGGACAGAAGGTGAAGATGATCCTGGACAGTCAGTGGTGTCCGGGCCTCCGGAAGGGGGACATAATTAAGGAAATCTACCACCAGAACGTGCAGAGTTTGACCCACCTGCAGGTGGTGGAGGTGCTGAAGCAGTTTCCGGTGGGGGCGGACGTGCCCTTGCTCATCCTGAGAGGAGGTGAGTGAGCGCACCGCACCGCGGGAGCAGGCCTCGGTGCGCACGCATCGCGGTCTGCTGCTTGTCCTCCCTCACCGGTCAGGACGTCTTTGCCCTGCAGGCCCAGCTGGTCAGCAGGGGGCATTTCCAGAAGCTTCTGTCGGCTTCCATAAACAGTATCTCTTGCAGAAGATTCCTTAGTTATTGATAGTTTCACATATACATGATGGATTTCTTTTCCTCTATATTCTTTTAAAAATCTGATTTATGGCTTTAATGATTGGAGAGAGTCACACCGTGAAGTCGTCGTGTTACTTCACTTGAAATACGCCCTCTTACTTCCGTCTTCTCTGTGGAGGACACCAGCAGAGATGGACTCCCTCCATCACTGGCACGTGGGTGGGCCCCCTCCCCCTCCCTGAAGGCGTCTGAGAGGCCCACCCAGCCCCTCTGTGGAGGAGCAGCGTGTTGGGCGGCCCGCCAGTCTGCTCCGTGAGAGCGACCGTGATAACCTGCGCTCGGGAAGCTTCCGTCTTAAGCTCCAGTCCCCATCCTTAAATGTTAATTAAACCCCACAGTGCCGCCCGTGTGAGAGAAATACAATTTTTATTTTCCAAGGTCATCAGCAGGCACGAGCTGCCCCCAGACATTATCAGTTCAGGCCCAGGGACCGATCCCACAGTCTGCATGTTGATGGGCTTTCTGAAGGCTGTGCCTGCGAATGACTAGTGCGTGAACGGATCAAGTCTGGCTCTTCACTCGTTTACTTATCTCTCTGGCTTTTAGTTTTCATATTTGAGTCGTTTAACTTCATTGCATTATTTTGGTTTGCTTTTGCTTATTCTCATGTCTCTGAACTATTTTTGTTTCTTTTCTGTGATGCGGTGGCATGTGCTCAGGGGATGGGCCAGAGGGTTCTCCGGAGTTTGCGCAGATAAGACAGGGGCCAGCGTGTGGTTCAGGTTGGCTGCCAGTTCCTTGCCATGTTCCCTGCATGTCCTGTGGTATAGGGAGATAATGTTACTCTAGTTCAGCCTTATCTGTAAAACAGTGGTAACATTCAGGCCTGAGGACTGCCATAAAAATGAACAGTTCATGTATAATGCCTGGCACATGGGAGGTGTCAGACAGAGAGAGAATTTACTAGCCTTTGGAAAGTTGAAGCTAGTTTATCTTAAATGTTAAAAGTATTTGTAATCTGGAAATGCTTCCTCTGTTTTTAAAATTTGGCTTATTTTTTTAAGGTCCTCCTTCACCAACGAAAACTACCAAAATGGTGAGTACACAGCAGCCCTCAAATGCTTCTTCCCAACACACCAGAAGGGATGCCCCCGGCCCCTGTGTGAGGACCGCCCCCTGCAGCCGGGACTGGCCCACCCAGGAGAAGTAGGAGCCAGGCTGCCCTGGGCTTGTGTCCGACACTCAGAGGGAAGCGTGGGGGTTAGACGAAGCCCCGCAGAGAAGAGATGCGCTGTCCTGGTTAAGTACGTCTATTGGAGGAATACGAGAGGCCCAAACTACCAGTAGGCCTGTCCTCTAAACCAGCAATTTTCACCTGGCATGCCGCAAGAGTTTTTAAAACATGCAATACCTGACTGTTTATTCAGGGGCACTGACCTCTTTTCTCTTAGATCGTAAAAAAAAAAAAAAAAAGAAAGAAAGAAAGAAAATGACAGCCAACACAACAATAGCTGACTGGTGTGAGTGAATCAAAATTACACCTATTTTTTGTCAGATTAGCAAAAAATACAGTTTTTGGTGTGCTGCAGAATTCTAGTGATGCGTCTGTGTGTGCCGCGAGAGGAGAAAGATGGAAAACCACTGCTCTGAACAGTGAACTGTGGTCACGCTGCAGGGCCGGCTCAGGAGCCCCTCTCGGTGTGGGCGGGACTGTATGGCTGCGCCTTGGCGCCCGGGGGGCAGAGGCGGGGTTGCTTCTCGAATTTCACGGAGACCGTGAATACCCACGTTTAGACGACCTTCTGGGCCCAGTGTGCCGGGGTCACAGCGACAGGCCGTCAGAGGTGGAGCAGCGTTTTCATGGGCGTCCTGAATAACCGAGTAGCCGACTGAAGGGCGTGTAGAGAGAATGAGACCAAAGGAGGCGGCGGCACCAGACGAATGATGCTGTTTGAGAGACTGTGTGAGGTGCACACACGCAGCTTCTCCAGCAGCCACAGCCACCGGATGGGGACCAACGGTTTCGTGGGAAATCCCGAACAGATCTGCCGTGCTCGCGCTGGAGTCTGTCGTCTCACAGCTGAAGGACGTCGTCCATGACCGTGAACCACGGTGACAAAAGGGAAGACCATCATCGCATGTCAGATGGATAGATTCTTTCTAGCCCACCAAATAGGATCCTCTGCAGATTTGCTGCCCTGTGGACCCGAAGGAAAGAAACGCTGCACTTTAAGAGACTGAGCCACCTGGGTCCAGTGGACAGAACTTCCAGTTCAGTTAAAACTGCACTGTCGTTTTCTCCATTTCTCTGGTTCCTCTCGAGACCGTTCTTCCCTCTCGTGCCACCTTACCGATTTCATTGTGGATGCCGGTACGGCAGGGTGACCCCAGTGCTCCCAAGCGGACAGCAGTCCTCGCTGACGCTGGCTGCTCCGGTCTCCCTGCCATCGGCCTGGGTCTGAGTCAGCGAAGGGTCCCCTCCGGCCCCTCCCCGCTCACAGACACCAGCTGCCCCTGCACCCCGGTCGGTGTGAATTGTTTTATCACACACGTCTGTCATCCCCTTCTCCCCCCCATAACTCAGGGCAGCGAGCTGTTCTCAAAACCCTGTTTTTTCAAGCTGTTTGTTGGATTTCATTGTTAAGACACTTTGAAAGAACTCTGCTTGGATGTTACTTTGCTGCAAGTGCCATCTGAATGGAAAAACTGCAGAAATACTGTTTCCCCTCATCTGATTGGCTGGCAGTGGTGCTCGTCTCCCTGACACACTGGGCTTGGCCACGCAGGTCTTCCCGACCTAACTAGGGTAACCCTTCCTGCTGCGTTTGCTCGGAAAGAATGTTCTCCCGAACATCCTCACTGGGAGGCAGATCCAGCGAGCGGGGAGGCAGGGCTTCCTGAGGATCTTCTCCCCGCCTCCCTTCCTCCCTGTGCTCCACTTAGAAGCGCTGCTGGGTTGCGTCGCCACTCATCTTCTCAAAGGCGACTTGCGTCTTGCTTTTGGAGAGCAGGGCAAGAGGGCTCAGAGGACTGATTAAGGCCGTTCTCTTGATATCACTGTGAGCCTTCTCTAGTTTCAGTTAAATATGTTTCAGCCAAACTCCCGTGACCATGGAGGCCTGCCCCCCTGCAGCGCAGCCGCGCCCCTGGCTCTGACCACCACCTCTGCCCCCGGCATCAGTGACATGCGCAGTTCAGACAAGCGTTTTGTGAACTAACCGACCATCTGGCTTCTTAAAATACTAAGTAAGGCCCTTTTACATTTCAGAAAGCAGATAAAAAGGACAATTCAGGAAGTCTGGAGGCCATAAATGAGCCCATGCCCCAGCCGATGCCTTTCCCGCCCAGCATTATCAGGTCAGGATCCCCGAAACTGGATCCCTCTGAGGTCTACCTGAAATCTAAGACTTTGTATGAAGATAAACGTAAGTAGTTGTGCAGTATTTCAGGGGAGCATGTGACAAAATACATTTGAATTTTTTTAAACTGGGGCCTGTCCATCTTTCAAAACCATGTTGACAAGTTACTCCTTCATTCCCATTCTAATATCACTCCGGGCTTCTTCCGTCTGCATTCAGCTTCATTCATTCAGTCATTCTTTTCAGAAACACGCATTAAGTGCCTACTGTCTACCCAACATCAAAGTCAGTAATGGGAATAAAGAGATAAATACATAGGTTGCATAGGCCCTGCACCCAAAAAGATGGTTAAACCTAAATGGAAAAAACAAATATGTAATCAAATAAGTGTGCAAATAAGTACAAATCAGCCTGGCCGGTGCAGTAACAGAAGGGCGGACAGCACGGAGTGAGGCCGCAGGAGGAAGCGGTCAGTTTCACCACCATGGGTAGCAGGAGTGGCAGGCACTGCTTCATACAGGAAGTTGGGGTTTAGCCATGTCTTCGAAGACAAAGAAGCGTTTGCAGGACAGTTAGGAGGGAAAGAAAAGGAATAGCATTTGCACCTCGGCCTTGCATGGTCTGGGTGCTGCAAGAGGGTTGGTGTGGCTGGGCGTGGTTGTCAAGGGAAACCAGAGGGCAGGAGCCCGTTGTGGAGGCCCAGTGTCGGCCAGAGGAGTGGTGGGCAGCCACGGAGTGACTTCAGCTCTAGGGGTGATATCACTGGGCTGAGTTTCAGAAAGGTTTTCCAGGCCGGGCAGTGGAGGGTGATGAACCAGAGGGCTCTGCGACGTGAGGAGGAAACCGAAGCGCAAGCAGGCTCCTGCAGAGCCCAGCTGAGGGGCAAGGAGGGGAGAGGGTGCGCAGGGCAGAGGCTGAGGTCCACGCTGGTTAGTTACTGATGCTGATCCTTCCCGAAGGAAAGTTGCAGATTGGAATGGGTTTGATTTTCTTAATGTGTTTGTTTTTAAGAGATTTAAATCTACCTTGGAAGAGATGTACCCAGGTGGAAATATTCTGTATAATTGACTTCATAGTTATTTAACCAATTGTAGATCTTTGATCGTCCCAGGCCATGTTTAAGGAAGATGAGAACCAGGCGTAAGCACGGCAAGGCAGTGGTTTAAATTAGTGCAGCTGTGGAGAATCCCTTTCTCCAGACTCCCGTCCACGTCCTGATACTTTCTGAAACTTGGCATAAGCTCCCCGATCCCTTTGGGCCTCACCCATAAAATAATCGAGTTGGACTCAGGAGCCCTTTTCTCTCTAAAGTTCTCTTTTCCCTTTCTAGAAAACACTTCTTACTTACAAGTAACATTAGTAATAAGATCTTAGGTGCAAAGTAGCTTATCCTGACTTGATATTCTGACGGATGCCCCGTTCGTGGGGCAGGATGGTGGGGCTGGACCGTGGAGGTCAGGCTGAGTTTAATCCTCTGCTGTTTCCCTCCTGTGTGACGCTGGTTCCTCAGGTTCCCCAGCTAGAAAATGGGGCTAAGAACAGGTGTTAACTGTTATTTAATTGTCTTTTAAAATAATATCATTTTGCAAAATGAGGCTCAGTAGCAGCTCATGTGGAATGCTTTTCCAAAACAAAGGTATGAGGTTAGGAGTAGCATTAAAGCATTTTATGGTCTCTCTTTTTCCAGGATTTGCCCATGTTAATTGAGATAATTTGTACCTATCAAATATCAAGCTTAAATGAGATAATTCTGAATTTAATGTGGTAGTATTGATTTGAGGGCATGAGGAGTTAATGGCAGTGTAATGCTGAGAACATGGACATGAGAGTAAATATTCCTAAAGCATTCTTGATACAGAGTTTTGTTTGGGACTCAAAACAAAGGTTTATAATGGAATTGTTTGTGGTGTTACACGCCTATGTAAATTTTTGCATCTCAGAAAGTTCTGAGAATGTAGTTTATTGACCTCTATAATATTATCCTACTAAATACTGAATTTTGTTTTATTTTAATTCTTTCAAAGTAAACCAAAGTATTCATTCATTTAAAAAAAAATTCTGGTTTTCCCTAGCGCCAAACACCAAAGATTTGGACGTTTTTCTTCGGAAGCAGGAGTCGGGGTTTGGCTTCAGGGTGCTGGGCGGAGACGGACCCGACCAATCTGTGAGTTGAAACGCTTCGGGCTTGGGCTGCTCCTGTTCTCATTTTGAAGTGGCAGTTGGGTAGAATATGGTTTTTGTTGTTTTCTCTTTCTTTTTTTTTTGAATTTTGTTTTCTCTGACAGTTTCACTGTTATGAGGAGAACTGCGGTTCTCTTGGTGTCATGGTCCCTCCGTGGACTTGGGGCCCCCGAGGCTGAAGCCGGAGGCGCAAACCGGCTGTGTCAGCCATCAGTTGGGCAGGGATTAATTTCTCTGTGTGCTTAATGCGTGTTTTAAATTTTTACTTCCTTTTGCCTTCATTAAACAGGTTTTAAGACATTTTTCTTTTCTAAGGAAGCTATAATTCAAAACCCTATTTACCGCAGTCACTCCGGCTCCTGGATGTTCCGTAACCACTCGGCGTGAGCCATGAATGTCGTGTTGCCTAGTCCACATTACTCACCGCGTTGTTGATGGGCTGACATTTTTGTGCTCAGCGCTTTGCATGCCGTTTCATCTGTCACCTGTGAGACTAGAAGAATATAAAATAATTGTGTTTCTGTCCAGAAAGCACGAGGCTATGCTTACAAGGCATTTAAAATCTAGAATTTTATTTATACATGATGCTCACATCAAGTTAGAGAGCAAGTGTAGTGGGTATTATTTTTAAGTTTTGCCCTTTGAATGACAGAAATAATGCAGTTTGTAGAATTTAAGAATGTACTTAAGTTTTGGGGGAACATAATGTCAAGAATGACGATATGATTATCCTGCTGGCAAGTTAGGTGAGTAACAGTCATCTGTCCAAACGGCAGGCATTCTTCTGCTTCTGAACAGAGCATTGATTTCTGCGGCGTAAGTGTGCACTGGTGAGCCGCGTGGGGTGCAGCTGACACAGCTTCCCCGACGTGGGCCAGACATGAGGGGCCGGGATTATTTCCGAAGGGAGCCGGAGTGCCGTTTCACTGCTTCCGATTTTGGTGGTGCTCAGAGTGGTCACTTAGACATTTTCAGAATTTTTCTCAAACAACTTGAGAGGGAACTTTGTCTTAAATGTCAGGTTTTAGAAGCTCTGAAACTAGCGCCAACATTCAGGATGCCTAATTATTATAGGATTTTTTTGTAATCCTCACCCAAGGATACGTTTATTGATCATAGAGAAAGAGAAACATCAATGTGAGAGAGAAACATTGACTGGTTGCCTCCTACACATGCCCCGACTGGGGGTCAAACCCACAACCCAGGCATTTGCCCTGACTGGGAATCGAACCCTCAACCTTGTGGGTATGCAGGACAACCCTCCAACCCACTGAGCCACCCGGCCAGGGCTAATTACAGGATTTTAATTGCTGGCCAGCGGAATGACCTAGACATGTTCACCTAGATGCCCGTGAGCCTTAGGACACTCTGGTCCCCAAACATCCTGACTGCTTTGAGATTTGAGAACCAGAAACGTTTCTGTTTTATCTGCTGAACTTGTACTGTTAGCCAGACGTGGCAGCAGTACTGTGAGACTGATCCAGCTGCCGTGGACCCGGAGTGAGAAGTTTTCTCGATGGCAACAGACCTTCCTTCCCTTTCATGCTCACCCCGCAGAAGTGCGTTTTCTGAGTTTCATGTTGTTGTTTAGTTGTAGTGACGGCGGCACTCTTTCAAGTTATCGCACAGCTTTGCATTTCCCACCTTCTCTGTCCTCACCTCAGAGGACCCAGAACGGGTGATGTGGTGTGGTTATTTGCAGGGCCGATTTGGAGAATGGTCCCACTCTAAGGCATCCCCTCTCCCAAGCGTGACCGTTTCCGTAGCTGCACTGCGGGAACCCGTGGGTTTGCGCAGGACTGAGGCAGGAAGTCCTCGCTGCAGCCGCTGCGGATCCGAGCAGGTCCCGGCGGACCCGCAGAGCAGCAACCCGCGCTTTGTCGTCCTGGCAGATATACATCGGGGCCATCGTCCCCCTGGGCGCCGCTGAGAAGGACGGCCGGCTGCGTGCGGCCGACGAGCTGATGTGCATCGACGGCATTCCCGTCAAGGGGAAGTCCCACAAGCAAGTGCTGGACCTGATGACCACCGCCGCCCGCAACGGCCACGTGCTGCTCACCGTGCGCAGGAAGATCTTCTGTGGCGGTAGGCAGCCCCGCTCCCGCTCTGCCCGGTCGGGAAACGGCGCGCAGACTCCGCCCACCTGCCCTGGGGTTTTGCGGGTTGTTTTACGTATTTCGTGTTAGCCATGTATGAGACAGCGGCTCCTACAGAGCCGTCTGGTGCGGCCCAGGGCCTCATTGTGGGAGGTCTTGTACGGTCAAAAGGATTCGGAAATAGCACTACTGTCGAAAAAGAGAAATTGGGGTCTTCCGTGTTAAGGGTGTGCTCGCAGATTGATGAAGTCACCAGGTTCGGTCTGTTTTCTTAAAAACTAATGCACAGCCATTCAGTTGTCCTGCGTGTTGCAATAGCTTCATATCAAAGGTTTTTGGATCCTGGTGAATTCCTAACTATTCAGAGGACAGAATGTTTCTACCTGAGAAGTTGTGGTATCATTTAACCTGACATTTAGTGAGTGCTTACTGTGCCCTGGGCAGACGGATTGTTTTACTGAACCTTCACAACGCCGAGATGTAAATACTGCCGTGACCCAGCGCCAGTGACTCATGGAAAGGCTGGGACACATGTGGCTGGTCGGTCGTAGGGCTGGGATTAAAGCGGGTGTTTCACGCAGAGCCGGGCTCCAGATTGTACCCTCAGATACAAACCTCTCTTACATTTTGCTCATCGATAGCTTTGTGACTATCAAAGAGAAATTTTTGGAAGTGACTTCTTGCCACATAAAGTCATACAAAGCCACCCACCTGTAGCACAAGATAGGAAGCCCCTGAGGGCGGGGTGTTTGTCCATTCAGCCGCGTGCTGGACCCCAGCCCTCGGAACGCCGCCCTGGCACCGAGGGGATGTCAGTCCGTGTGTTGACTCGACGACTGTGGCATCACTCTGAACATGAGGCCCTGCTTTGACTGCAACGCCCCGAGTAAAGCCCGGCCTGTCTTCGGAAAGGTCAGGCGTTTGGAGACCCACACGGGTTTGTTGACGCGGCGTCACCTCCCTTCGGTGGTGCTGGAGTCGGCACGCAGCGGCCCGCAGTATAGACGTACCTCGCCGTAAAAACAGGGTGTTGGACGCCAGAGGCTGGCTCTCCAGGACAGCGTCCTGAGACGTTTCAGCCTCATCTGATGTCACTGCAGACGTTTTTAGCTAATTTGTTCCAATCTGCATGACACTAAAAAATGCTTTATTTTTCATTAACGATTGGGTGTTGGTGGCTTTTTGTTGAGATTCAAAAACAGTCTCAGAAATCAGATAGCTGTTGAGCCAGAACAGACGCCACCTGTGTGTACTCGTCAATGGCAGCGTGTTGTGGTGGTTAATGATGATTTGTATGAACTCATGGCACACAATTTACCTTTTAAAAGAATCAATTAGGATTAACTTGTACTGTTATTCCTCAAATCGTGATGCCATCCTTGGAGGGGAAGGTGCAGGCTAACTGGCCGCTCGCAGGGATCCCGGCAGGCAGGACCTCTGCCCGAGGAAGGTCGCTGTCCGTGCGGACAGCTTGTTCCGGGCCTGGGAGCTGCCCTCCCCGCTCCCGGCCAGAGGCAGCCCCTCTGTGCTGCTGCCACCGCTTCCCAGATGGCACGGAGCTCAGTCCCTGCACTCAGTCACCGTGCAAGTTGACTTTAAAAGGAAGTTCATTCACTGTGTCATTCCTCATCATCAGCTTTTGTTAGAGTCACTGGTCAAGGCTGAACCCTGTTCTGGAATTCAAGCAATGTCTTGAAGAACATCTTTTACTGTCAGGTGTCGCGGATGCTTCCAAAAACCCCCTTTCCCGTGAGAGTGCATTGTGCGTCTTTCCGGTTGCTTCCGTCTGGGCTTTGCAGCCACTAGACAGGCTGCTGCCCCATCTGCTCCTGCCCAGAGCTCACGTGGGTGGGGGTGTGAGGCTTTTCTGTTTCCTTACTAGAAACAATGTTTTCGTGAGAGGTTCAGCACAAAATGACTTTAGTTATCAAAAATTACAATGCGCCAGAAATATCAAAATCGGTCATGTTTATTGTAGAGAAACAACCTGAGGATGACAGCTCCCAAGCCTTTGTTCCAACACAGAACGGGTCTCCCCGCCTGAGCCGAGCGGAAGCGGCAGCCCGGCCTGCGCCCCAGGAGGCCTACGATGTCGTCCTGCAGCGGAAGGAGAAGGAAGGGTTCGGCTTCGTCATCCTCACCTCCAAAAACAAGCCGCCTCCGGGAGGTAAGGGCGGCTGTGTCCCGTCGTCACAACCGAGGAGTTCTGTCTCCTGAGTCTCCCACTGGAGTATAGGAAACCGAGCAGGAATTATGGGTGAACGGCCTTAGAGACTTCACTTTTTAAGAATGATGAAAATTGTCTTTGTTTTCAAAATCAGGTAATCTGAACCAAACCTCCTAGACTTCAGGTTTGTGTATCATCTCAGATTCCAGAAAAGCAGTGTTAGCAGCTGAGTTTGCATCAAGATTATCTTTGGCCTTGGCTGATGTGGCTCAGTGGGTTGGGTGCTGTCCCGTAAACCAAAAGTTGCTGGTTTGATTCCCAGTCAGGGCGTAGGCCTGGGTTGCAGGCCAGCCTTCCATTCAGGCGTGCAAGAGGCAAACACCTATCGATGTTTCTCTCACACATGGATGTTTCTCTCTTCTTTCTCCCCTCTCTTCCCCTCTCTCAAAGAATAAATAAAATCTTTTTTGAAAAGATTAGCTTTGACAGTATATCAGGAACAGGATCTAGTTATTAGTAAAAGAACTGTACTGAATTTTTTTAATATAGGGACACAGGTTTGTTTTTTAGTTAGGAAAATTGTGTGTGCAGAAATGAACTAAATGCTAAAAGTAGTTTATTTTTTTAATATTTTCTTATTTTAAATTTTATTTATTTTTAGAGAGGGGGAAGGGAAGGAGAAAGAGAGGGAAAAAAACATCAATGTGTGGTTGCCTCTTGCACACCCCGTACTGGGGACCTGGCCTGCAACCCAGGCATGTGCATGGACTGGGAATCAAACTGGCGACCCTTTGTTTGCAGACCTATGCTCAATCCACTTAGCCACACCAGCCCGGAAGAAGTAGTTTAATAATTGCCATATTCTAGCTCTAAAGTGACCTTCTTGAATAATAAGCATTCTTCCCTTTTATTTATGACTCGTTGAAAGGTAAAAATTTTGTCAGAACATTTAAAAATTCATCTAAATATCCTGAACCTGGTTTAACAGAATATTCTCCGGTGCAAAGGATGAATATGTACATATTAATTCCATCACCAAAGAGGAATTACCTTTAGTATATTCAGGGCTGTTAAGATTCAACAAATTAAATATTTGTCTTAGCGGTTCTAAGAAATAATTATCTCTAAATATAATTATAAAATCCAAACGCATATGAGAACGAGCAAACAAACATTTATGTTTCACGTGTGCCCAGTAACTTATGTTTCTAAGGCACACAGCCCCTGAGGACGCCCCCTGCCCTGCCCGTGGGTTTGGTCCTTTCCTGGGCAGTGAGACCCGCCCCTGGTAGACGTGACGGCCGGTCGCTGAAATCCTAGCGAACAAAGCAGGCAGTTCCAGGACAGTGCTGTGAGCCAAGCGATTTGGCGCAAATCTCGCCAAAGTGAATGCACGTGTGTAGAGCAAGAAGCCTGGGACCTGCGTGAGCTGCTTCTCTGGGATCAGGCCACTGCTCACGGCCGCGGCTTTCTGTTTTCCATAAGCAGTTGCTATGGTAACACTGGGAGCTGGAGCTGCCGCTGATGCTGTGAGGATGATTATGTGGCCTGTCTCAGAGAAATGAAAGAAAGAGCTTTTAGGTGGATTTCACGTTGTATCATTGGAAATAAGGATCTCCAAAAACTACCATTTCAGGTCATCGTATTCTCACTCTAATGCCACACAAGAATCCTAGGCTTTCAGACTCAGCAAAAACGGTGGTGAGATTATTACCCAGTATGATAGATGCTAAGCACTTTTTATACTGAAGATACTCCTTTTCTAGCACTATAAAAAATTATGGGAGAGTGTCCTGGCTGGTGTGGCTCAGTGGATTGAGCACCAGCCTGAGAAACAAAGGGTTGCCAGTTCAATTCCCAGTCAGGACACATGCCTGGGTTGCAGGCTAGGTCCCCAGTAGGGGGTGCACGAGAGGCAACCACGTGCTGATATTTCTCTCTTTCTCCTTCCTTTCTCCACTCTAAAAATAAATAAAATCTTTTTTTTTATTATTTAAAAAGTCCATTTTCACCATTTAACTAAGCGAGTTAGAGGAATTCGGTAAAATAAGGTGCATTACTCAAACATGTTTAACATCTTTATATTGATTGTATTTAAAAATTATGTTACATTTTAATATATATTTAATACATTCTTATTTGCATACATTATAGTAGTTTATATTTAAAATTTCCATGGTTTACACTTATCTGTTTAAACTCTTCCTGACTGTTGTGATGGTCCCGGGCACCGCAGATCTCTGTACAAGACAATCTCATTAGACGCTGGGCTTTGTAATCAGACAGACTTGGACTCGAGCCCTGCTTGAGTCTCGTACCGGCCGTCTGGTATCGGGCACATCGCTGACCCTGCACGAGCGCCAGTGCCCTCTGTAAAATGAGGATGGGGGTGCCCCTTGCTGTCTCTCCCGAGTCTGAGGATTATGGGAGGTGATGCATTGAGTTCTTAGCCTGGACCCGCAAGACGTGTTCACCGCTGGTGCTTGGCGTGAGCTTCTGCTGCCGCTGTCAGCGTCGCTGTTTATGAAACTGTTTGTCACCGTCTCTTGATCTTTTTTTAAAAGAAACTTTAAAAAGTGTATTAATGAGATGGGAAAGAAAGCCCAATTAAAATGTAAGATTGAGGCAGTGGCTAATGTGTGGCAGGAAATGAGTGTTTGCAGCTCATTAATTATCAGCTTGAATGGTAAATTAGGCTGAGGTTGGCAATGAGTTTTGGATAAAGCACTCGAGATTTTCGGTCATGGCGCAAAACCAGGACTGGTAATTCCGCTGAAATGCTAGTTAACAGTTCACAAAGCACTGAGCCCTGCAGGCGCTCTCCTTGGAGCTCCATTCACCTCTTACCGTTGGAGGAGAGGGCCCGGGGGAGGCCGGGCGCGGGAGCCGTCCCTCAGAGCCTGAGCCGAAGCAGCAGGGACCTGTGTCCGAGTGGGTCCTTCTTCGTGGACCTTGTGCTGTTGGTAGAGAAGGGTGTTTCGTGCAGTGCAGACTGTCTTTCCTTCTGATCAAATGTGCTTCTCGTGACATTCGTCGTCACGAGAAAAGGCCCCAGGGGCACCTCTAATACCAGTGCTGAAACCCTGAGACTCCCTGCCATTTTTCAGAGACGGGGGTCGGGGTCCCGCACCTTTGGGCCCAGCTGGGATCAGTGCTAAGTGAACGGGGTGCCCAGGAAAGATCTGAAGACGAAGAGCAGGACTTGGCTAGTTTTTGCTTTGCCAGCACCTGAGAGGTTTTCGTGTTTCTCTTTCCTACCACATGCTTTTCGGTTCTGGTTGCAAAGGGTCTCTTTGAGAAGGGGACATTCTCAGTGACTGTCCTTTCTTTCCCTGAGATGCAGTGTTTTCAAAGCACCACTGCAGTCTCGGCCTCTGGGCCGGCCAGTCTGTGAGACGCGGTGAGGCCAGAGGTGAAGGAAGCCGGGCACACCGACTGGCAGGGCCGAGGCAGGACTCCCGACTCTCCCTTGGCCGTGTCCGCTGAGGGGTTACCTTGGAAACAGTGCATCCTGAGCGTGTTCAGAAGCTGCCTTTCCACCAGTCTGTCTGCTGTTTCTGACCATCCTGCCGGTCCTGCTCTAAATGCCGAGACCAGGACGGCCTGAGACTTTCACCGTCCCTCCCCCAGGAGGCCGGCCCTCCAGGAGGTCCTTTCCTGCGAGCCGACCACACGGCTCGCCCAGTGAGGACGGAGCCACGGGGCCTCCGGAGGCTCGTTCTGTCCGATGGTGTCCCCAGTCTGATCGGACCCCGTCCCGTGGGCCAGGGGCTGAGTCATTTTCTTCTCGGGGGATCTGGAACGAACACTGTGTGTGAGCCAGTCTTTTCCGAGAAGGAGAGTCACCGAGGTATTGATCTGGGAAGTCCCCGTGGGGCCCGCCGCATGAGTCACCGGGCGCCTGCCCAGGCACCTGTTGTGCCGTCAGTGAGTCAGCTCCCGCACCTGGCGTGCACAGACCCTGACCCCCGCCCCGCACTCTCCTGACTGCTTTGTTTGTAAGGAAGATGGCATAACGAGGGCTTGAGATGGTTCAGAGCAGAAGGCACTTGCTTCCAACCTCAACTTCCTCTTCTTTGAGATGAAATCTCCCGCTGTGTAATCCTGGAAGAGCAGGAAACACGGCGTCCACCGGGACGGGAATCACGACCAGCAGCAACTTCCAGTTCCGAACGCAGGTCTAGTAAGGCGTCCCTCACACACACCCGCTGAGGCCCAGGCAGCCTTAGGGAGGTGCTCATCTCACTGGGGGGGCGAACATGGTCACGGTGCCATTTAGAACACTAACTGTCCCCATCCGAAACAGGCAGTCAGCGGGGCCCCAGGGCCTGGGGAGTGCACCGTCCCAGGCAGGGAGAGTCTCAGAGAACACACACAGGTGCCCCTCTTCAGGTGGTGAGGGGCACTCGGACGAGGCTCCTCAGTGTCGGAGAACTCGTTTTAAGCCACAAAAACAGCAAAGTGCCTTACCAGCCAGGGAAGCCTTCAGCAGTATGGACGGGGGTGGGGAGGGGTTGGGACCGAATGGCACAGAGGTGCACAGGGCCTAGGCTCGGCTTCGCACGTTCAGGGTAGGGTTTTATCCGTGAGCCAAATAATGGTAACGTAAACATTAGGGTTCTAACTCTCAGCTTTCCTGATTTTAGAAAGATCTAGAGGCTGGCCCTGGCTGGTGTGGCTCAGTTGGTTGGAGTGCCATCCCGTAACTGAAAGGTCACTGGTTCGATTCCTGGTCGGGGCACATGCCTCAGTTGAGGTTTTGATCTTTGATCCAGGCACGTGCGACCCCCAGTCAGGGCGCGTGTGGGAGACAACCAGTCGATGCTTCTGATGCTTCTCTCTCACATCGATGTTATTCTCTCTCCTTCCTCTCTCTCTAAAAAGCAATGAAAAATGTCCTTGGGTGAAGATTTTAAAAATTAAAAAAAAAAAGATCTAAAGGCCTAAATAAAAGGAATTAACTTTGTTTTACAACTAAGCAGGATTCATCTGAGTGGTCAGTCAGCCTTTCCCTGTACCTGGGTTTCTGGCAGACCGTCTGATCCCGAAACTTGAGTTTGAGCTGCATTTATGTACAAGGGAGCCAGTGCCCCTTCGATAGGACCAAAGACGGTCTCATTGTAGCAGTTTCTGAAGTAGCCCAAAATGTGCCCTGACTGGTGTGGCTCTGGGGGGAGCGTCATCCCACACACCGAAAGGTCGCAGGTTCGATTCCCAGGGCTGCGGGCCAGGTCCCCGGTTGGGCAGGCAAGAGGCAACCAGGTGGTTTCTCTCTCCCACACTGAGGTTTCTCTCCTGCTCTCTCCCCCTCCCTCCACTCTCTCTAAGAATAAATAAATAAAATCTTTAAAAAATCAAATAGTCCAAACTGTGGTGCAGCTGGGGTGGCCAGCAACAGACGAGAAACATGGGGTGAGTGGGTCATTGTCCTCGGTGCCGGTGAGGCCGGCCGGCTGTCTTAAGCAGGATGACGGGGGCAGTGTGAAAGCGGAACCGGGGTTATGGGGACGGGAGAGTGGAGGGGTGTCTCACCGTGGCTGCAGCCACGCAGGGCAGCAGGGCGGGTGCACGTGGGCGGAGCGGAAGCTGTTGGTGTGATACAGCTGTATCGGGCGGGATGCGCTTGTGTGGTACCGTTTTGCTGTATTCTAAAGGGGTTTTCTTCGACACTGTGTGAAATTTTTAAATAATGGTGATAAATCCAACACGGACAGATTTCTTAAATAATTGAAGAACCCGGGGATGTTTTTCTCACAGTCATTCCCCATAAAATCGGCCGAGTCATAGACGGAAGCCCCGCCGACCGCTGTGGGAAGCTCAAGGTCGGAGACCTCATCTCCGCAGTGAACGGGCAGTCCATCGTCGACCTGTCCCACGACGGCATCGTGCAGCTGATCAAGGACGCCGGCGTCACCGTCACCCTGACGGTCATTCCCGAAGAAGGTAAGGGCCCCAGCGGCCTGCCTCCCCAGGCGATCGGCAGGCGCAGAGCCCGCGGCGGTGGCGGGGAGGGGGGGCGCTTCCTCCGGCTCTGCCACAGTCACCGCGGCTGTGCCCAGAGCCTTGTTCTCTTGCCTTTTCCATTTAATGGTTGGGAAAGTTTATTCTAAAGTTGCCAGAAGCTCGAGAAGAATAATCCGGCCAGCGCGTGGTGGCCGTGTATTTATGGGCTGGAGAAGCAAGCACCCAGCAGCGAAAGAGGTTGCTAAGACTTCCCAGACCCTGGTTTCTTTTAAAATAGCATCTGAGGTCTCTGCCCCAGTGAGAGAGAGAAAGGCCTCGGGAGGGGTCAGAGCGAGTCAGCGCACACCCTTCGTGCCCGGCCCCTGGCGCCGTGTCCCTGCCTCGCGTGGGCTCTGCTCTAGAGAGCTGCCTCATGGACGGACGGACGGATGGATTGACAGATGGACAGGAGGGAGGGCGTCGGCTGGAGCGGCTGGTAAATGGCCTGAAGCGCACTTTGTGTCTTGCTTTGCTCCAAAGCTGCCTTTTGATCATAATGAATTCCTAATTGGGAGCCGTTTTCAATAGCGCCCGTTCGGAGTCTTTGTCTGTAATTACAAGGTAACCATTACGCAACGCTCCTCTCGTTTGTCCTGGTTCTGTGAAGCCGAGTACAAGCCCAGAGCCGCAGAATTAGGGAGGATCAGTCCTGCCTGTCAAATTTCTTGTGCTGCAGTGCGTGTTCCTGCCCCATCGCCCCCACCCCCACGAGCCTCTAACCCAACCCGTCCTTTAATTCTTTTAGTTCTCGGTTCTTCCCCCTTTCTCTTCCTACTGCCCCGTGGTCACAGGTTTTGTTCCAAGGTAGTAGGTGAACCTCCTTCCTGCCCAAGACCCTGGGCTGCCCGCCACCGAGGCCCTCCCTGGTTCTGGGACCCCACGACTCCCCAGCTTCGCCTCTTCCCCTCTCCAGCCTGCCGCACTCTCCGCCCAGGTCTGCCCCTGCCCGCCCTGCTCCCTCCGAACCCTCCCCGGGAGGGCTCCAGGGCACCCCCCTTCTCTGCACAGGAGTCGTCGTTGCTGTTTTTTTGCTTTCGCTCCCACCTGCCTTTTACGTTTGCCTCCTGTGTTCTCCCCAAACCCTCTCCTGGGCTGGACCTCACGTCGGCCCCTCCTCCTCCATCCCGTGCCTCTCCTTATCTCTGTGGGTCGTTGAGCATTACTAACATACAACACTCCTGCTTTTAAAAGGGATTGTCTGCTTTTTGAAGACAAAGAAAATACTACCAACTGCCCACGAAACTTAGTAGGTGCTCAGTTAATACTTTTGAGTGAAGGAATGAACGAACAAGGTAAAAGTCAGGCGCTCGTCCGCTCTGTGCCCACACCTGCCAGAGGCGGCACCGGCCCGCAGGCCAGGCCCTGGCAGCACCCACGGGCCCTGATTAGTGCGTCAGCCACTTAGCATCTCCTCCCTTCAGCCTTTCAGTCATGGAGTGGGAGTAACGGCGTCGGTTTGCGGGTCGTGGTGAAGGTTAAAGGTGAAAGTGTGCACAATCTGCACACACACCCCAAGGTGCTCGCCTGATGACAGCTGTCATCGTGGGGCCACGTCTCCGCACGGCCGGCTCCCTCCTTCAGGTCTTGGCATACATCTCGCTGCCTAAGGAAATAATAGTGGGATTTCATAAACACCTACTGTGTGGGCGACAGTGCCTTTCAGTGCTTTAAATCTATGAGTTCACTTGATGCTCCCAGTAATTCTCGGTAGGCTGCATTATCTTCCCATTCTGTCGGTGAGGAAACTGAGTCACAGAGCAGTTAGATAGCTTGGCGACGGAGCCAGTGTGTGAGCCAGACAGTCTGGCCGCCTGCCTGCGCCCCTAACTGCTGCGCCTCCCTAACCAGTCTCTAAAACAGCCCTGGGCCCCCTGCCCCCGATCCCTCACCTGCTTTACTTTTTTCCCCGCACTGGTCTTGACCTGAGATTATGTAACCATTTGTTTATTGTCATCTCCCCTGCCAGAACTCGAAGTCCTAAGGCTCATGACATGAGAGACTTTGAGACACTCGGTGCTCCGTCCCTCATCTAATGCAAGGTTAGGCACATAGCGAGTGCTCAGTAAATTTTTCAATGAGGAATTAGTGTCACTTAGTGGGACTTGGGTCAGATTTCTTTATCTCAGTTTCTTTACCATGATCTCCATAGCCCGCTTTTTAGCCTCAGATTTGTTCTGTGACCCACAAAGAAAAGCAGGCGTCCGTGCCACAGGAAGTGGCGCTTCGGGGATGTTCGGAGACTGGCGCATCTGGGCGCTTAGATCACCGTGCGTGGCGTGCAGTCGCGGTGGAAGCTGCTAGAAGGCGCGGATGCAACCAGCAGGGGGCAGATCAGTGTTTATGAAACCATACATACGAAAAGGACCGGTGGTTTTGTTCAATCTGTCAGACAGCATTTTTGTAAAACAGGATAAAAGTTAAATGAAAAAATAAGAACGAAGACATAAAATTACTGTCAAATTGTAGAATTTTCAAAATGCTTACTCTCAACACCCTATTGCTGCCTGACCCACAGGCCACACATCGAGACTGATGGAGTTCAGGCGCGGGAAGACTGCTCCTCTCAGTGTTTTGTTTATTTGTTTTCCAAAATTACCCTCATCATTGATGGTGTGTTCTCCGAGAGGCTGTCTGAAATCGCTCAGTCATTTTTCTTTAATGAATGTTTTATGTGTGAGCTCAGCCTCTTAAACTACAATCACATTTCAGTGATTATACCTTATTTTATTATACTCTTTAAGTTTTATTAATCAATGGAAGCATTCAGGCTCTTATTCTCTCAGAGAAAAATTACAAAGTTATCTACTACTGTCCATAAAAATCCGACTCGTGGCATTTGTAAGTCTTCCCAGTCTCTCCTCGTGCTTGGTGTGAAATCCACCGACCGCAGTGACGTCAGACAAACGCTGACACCTCGCACGTTTGCGGGGACCACAGGGGCAGACCGGGGACCCCAGAGCAGCTGCGGCGCCGTTGGCTCCCGCCTAGAACCGCTCCTGTGACGGATGAAGACAGTTCGCTGGAGAAGGAAGGCTTGTTTCCTTCATTCTCCTGTTCTCCTTTTGCTGGATAGCGTTTACTGTCTGGGCCGTTGGTGCCTATTTTGCAAAGGAAATGTTTAATGAAGCTCCCAGGCCAGGTGTCCTGTCTGGTATAAAACTCTCAGACATATCTGTGACCTGTGACTGTCTTTGTGTCGTGGCATTACCCAGCATACAACAGAAGTTGTTCCTTCTTTTCTCTCTCGTCCCTCTTTTTTTTTTTTTTTTTTTTTAACTGTCGTGAGTAATGCTGCCGTGACCATCGGTGCGCAGGGTTTTCTACAGATGCGTGTTTTCATTTTACCTGGGTGCACACCTGGGAGTGGTGAGTCAGGCTGACTCTGTGTAACAGTTTGGGGGACTAACTGCTTTCCGCTGTTTGCACCGTTTTCTTTTCCTACCAGCACACATGAGGCTTCCGATTTCTCCACATCCTCACCAGCACGGGTTTTCTGTTTGTTTTTTATTCTGGGCATCCTAGTGTGTGGGAAGTGGCATCTCAGTGGTTCCTATTGGAAGCCCCTTGACAACTGATGACGCTGAGGGGCGTTCCCCCGCGCTGTCGGCCCTGTGTGCGTCCTCTGTGGGGGAGGGGCTGCTCAGAGCCTGTGCTCGCTGCATCGGCTTGTCCTGTGGGTGGATTATGGGGCTTTTTATGTATTCTGATACACAGTCCTCATCGGATGTATGTATATCTTTGGTCACTTGTGCTTTGGTATCATGGCCTCATGTGTTTTTTAAGATTTATCCTTGTTGCTAGGCAAACTTAATCGATTGCCGGACAGTTTTTTTTTTATGATGTGTATTTACCCACCCCCTATGACCCGTCCACCCCCCACCCCAGACAGCCTGTGGATTTGAGCATCTCCTCAGATGCTTGTTTTGGGTTTCTTTTTTCTTCTTGCAAATATCCTCTTCATATCCTTACTCATTTCCCTTGTGGGACTTCTGTCTTTTCCTGGTTGATACGTAGCTATTCCTTGTTAATTATATAGGCATTAGTCCAAGTTAACTTAGAAAGCACAAATATCTTCCCCTGTCATCTGCATGTTAACTCTTGACATAACACCCTTCATTGTACAGAGATTTTCAATTTAGATGTAATCAAGCACAATCCCATATAAAATTTTTACCTTATGGCTTGTGCTGTGGAAGTTTAAGGTAAGTTACCCCTCCTTGCCCAGTGTCAGAGCTGCTGTCTGACGTCATCATCTGCTGGGCTCGCAACTTTGCACTTTGCATGTAGGCCTTCAGTCTGTCTGAGCCTCCCTGGACTGTGTGTCGTTCAGGGGGGATCCCGGTCAGTGTTTGTTGTTCCCACGGTGAGCCGCTGTCCCTGGCACCAGCCGCCAGCGCTTGTTGCCTCGCTCGCTGTGGGGCCGTCTCTGCGCGTCAGCTTCCCCGGAAACGCGGTCTCGGTTCTCTTCTGTTGACTTACCTGTTCTTGGGCTAACTTACGTCTAATATTTTTAAAGTGTGTGTGTGTGTATTTTTAATCTTTAACTTTGTGGTGTATCCTAGTATCTTTTCAGGCAAGTCTTTCATCAACATCCAATCTATTTGGAGTGGGGGAGGGTTTGCAGAAACTTTCATATAAACTTTTAGAGCAATTATACTCTTCAAAAAAAGTCCAAGTGCAGTCTTTGTTGGAATATATTGAATATACAGTAACTTGGGGGAAATTCATATGTTTAAATATTGTCATTCTACCCTAGAGCGTGGATGTCTCCAATTATTCAGATCTTTTATGAGAGGGGACCCCAGAAAAACTGGAATTATCTTCTGGAGGGCAGGCCCCTTGTAGTACAGGCCTCCCCCACTAGGTGAGTGTTCTAGGAACCCATCTATATCACTGTACCAGCTGGCGTTGTTGTGAGAGGCTGCATTCCGCTTCAGTGAATTTTTTTTGAAGACTCAACACATTTGCCCATTTCATGATGGGTGGTTTACGAGTGCACCTGCCCACACCACGCTGAGTGTTCAGCAGTTTTTGACCAAAAACAGCATGACCCTCGTGCCCCACCCACCCTATTCACCCAATCTCACCCTGAGCGACTTTTGTTTCCAAGATGAAAAAAGTCCTCAAATGGAAACGGCTTGCTGATGATGCAGAAGAGGCGAAACAAAAAAATGGCAGAAGCACTAAAAGGCATCAAAATTGACACGTTTAAAAACTGTTCTGAGCAGTGGAAAAAAAGCCTTGTTAGATGTATTGCATCAAATGGAGAGTACTTTGAAGGTGACCGAAATTTAAACATGTAAGAATACAGAATTTTTTAAAAATAAATTCCAGTATCTGGGGGTCTCCCTTTGTCCTTTACCAGAGTTCTAGAAGTTCTCCCACAGGGTATTTATTCTTGGCAAAGGTGACGCCCAGTACACTGTGTGTTGCTTAGAGTTGAACTACAGGAGTTTGCGTTTATTTTCTGGTGATAATACGCTTTTTGTTCAGTAGCTACATACAGAAACTCCAGAAAAAATCCCACTGTCATTGAAGACTAGGGCTTCCTAACCCCTTGCTTTACTCGCTGAAGAAATTTCAGATAAAATTCAGAGAGAACAAAAGCCTGTTTGACATTTGGAGTAAATATTTAACTTTGAGATGTAGAACAGCTTTTAACACAAATAAGTTGGATGACTACAACTGAAAGAAGAGTGATGACAGAAAGTGTGACGTAGCCTTGAAGAGGACCGTGAAGACCACGGAACTGAGAGAGCAGCACCAACTGGCGGTGCCCTCCCCCCGCCGTGGCGTCTCGCACCCTCGGGTGCAGGCGGAGGGGAACTTGAAAGTGACCAGCATATTTTTGCTGCCCTGAAGTTTCACGCCCCTCCCTCTAGCCAGGCTAGTGAAGCCGAAAAATTATCTGCATTGAACTTGTGCAAAGGTACAGGAGTCTCCCATTCATCTTGTGGGTAGATGGAATGATTTCCATTCCCTGAAGGGTAGCCGTGAATTTCCGATGGCAGAGGAGATTTCACCCCTGCAGTGAGCCTGAAATGGACACACCCAGCAAGCAAAGGCGGAAGCCGGAAGCCGGAAGCCGTCCTGGGATACAGCCCGAGGTGAACAGGTGTGGTTCCGGCCGCCCGGGAGTTCAGTCCGCAGGAGGAGGGCCGGTGCGCGCCTCGCCGCACTAGGTGTTAACCGCAGGGAAAACTGTGCCTCAGGAGCCAGGTGGCGCTTCACCGAGAGGGGCCGTTTCAAACAGGAGATGAAGCGGAAAGGCAGGCGTGCCCAGGTCACAAGTCGAAACAGTATCTGATGAGCAATAAAAAGTTAGCAGATTTTTAGGCAAGGCAGTGATGTTTCGGTTCACGTCTGGAGTCCAGGAAGCAGAACGGAGATGAGCCTGGGGCCAGGCCACCGGCGAGGAGACCGGCGAGGAGGTTGACAATGGGAACCAGCCGAGCTGATCAGGAAAATGGCCTTCGTGGTGGCGATATGAAACAGCAACGAACAAGTTTGCAGGCCACGCCTACCCCCCCCCCCGCCCCCACAGAAGTTCACAGTCCCCTCTTCCGGGGACTTGCGGCTCTGAAGAGGGGAGATGACCCTCAGGCCCCCCCGCCTGGAGCAGCCCGGCCTGCGTGTCCACGTGCGTCGGCGCCTGCGCACTGAATCCCGGCAGACGCGACCCCGGCCGCTGGGCCGCACGCCTTCCCCTCCTGCCCCCGCTTCCCACCACCTTCCCGTGTTCGCAGAGCGCTCTCTAGCCCAGCTGCAAGAACGTGTTGAATATAATTTCATCTATGTTTTTAGGCCCAAGAACTTTGAAGAGAAACTTAACCTAAGCCATAAAGTAGTAGCGCAAGTCGTAAGGCCTGAAGTCTCGGCTTCCTCAGTAGAAGCTGCTTCCTGGACACTCACGTCCCTTGTCCTTAACGCTGGTCTCGATCTCCGTCGTATTCCGGGGCTCAGTTCATGTCCGTTTCCACGTGTCCCCATCTAAAAGTGGCATCCACCGCTAGCGTTTTTGCTAAGTGAGGTAAATAATTCAGAATGTACACTTGAAGAGAAATGTGGCCCCAAATGAGAGTTTACTGTTTTGATGATGATGCTAACAGTGACGACGGTTGTAACAGAAATGTTTCCATCGTGGATGTGTTCTCATCGTGTGCTTTCTGAGCTCACTGACGGCTCACCGTGACCCCACGAGGGAGCCCGCACTCCCCGTAGACGGAGACGGGAAGCGCAGAGAACGTCAGTGGCTGGCTCAGGCGGCGCAGCCAGGGAACGAGGGCGTCGGGCGGGCGGGGCTCCTGGTCCCAGGGGCCCAGCTGCGCTCCGGCTCTCTGGTGCCTGCGTACCCGGCGTCTGCATTTGGACAGGAGGAGTCGGAAAGCGCCAGTGTCAGAAACAGGAGTCTGGCAGCCTGGAGTCCCGTGACTGCCCCCCCCCCCGACTCGCGGTCCGGCCCTCGATGCTGTGCTTCCCAATCTGCCGCCAAAAACAGCACAACCGGAGCTGTTGCAAAAGATACTGAAACACGTGCTACATTTCTTTCACCTGCATCCGTGCTCTTAGAAAACCGAAGCAGGGAAATCTTTACAAACATCTGTCAGCTCTCGGGATTTTTCGTACGCTGCTTGTTGGGTTCCACGTCAGGCGAGGTGACTGCCCCCACATCGAAGAGGCAGGTTCCAGTGCGTGAGTGGGACATGCAGGCGGCCCCTGAGCCAGTGTTCCAGAGGCCTGTCACCTCGTGGTTCACGGTGACAGGGAGTGTGCCTGGTGCTGCTCCTCGGTGTGTGTGTTCCCGCCCTGTCGTCTGGGTGGCCCGACGAAAGGAGAGGAGGGGAGAGTGTGGAGTGAGCACAGGACTGCTCTTCTCGTCCAACCTCAGCATCAGTCAAAACCCAGGCAGGGGGCGGGGGTGTCCCCTTCCCTTCCAGGCAGCCGGGAGGCGCACTCGAGCTGCAGCCGCTGAAGTCGGGGCAGCGGCCACCATTTGTTAGCATCTCATTTTCCTAGACCTGCCCGGCCTCCCCGTTTTTACGCGCACATTCTCACGTCTACTGCTCTCTCATTCCAGCAGAGCACCACGGCCCGCCGTCGGGAACCAACTCAGCCAGGCAGAGCCCAGCCCTGCAGCACAGGCCGGTGGGACAGTCTCAGGCCAACCACATGCCTGGGGACAGGTGGGGCTGTGCTTCTCCTCATCTCCCACTCCCCACCCCCACCCCCACCCCTTCGCCCCAGCGTGATGCAGAAGCCAACTGCTGAGGTCCGAATGAGGACCTTGTGCAGACTTTCCACCTTCAGATGCCTTCCCCATCCCCTCCGCTCCCTCAGCACCCTCCCATCTGTGTGCCCCGCCCACCCGGGAACAGCCTGGTGTTCCCATCACCATGCCCGATGGGCGGGGGGTTGGAAGGAAGCCGCAGCCCGAAAAGACTGCTGTCCTCTCCGACGACCTGAGCAAAACAGAGCAGTATTCGCACCTATTTCTCTCTCGTTGAAAGTGCTGGCCATAAAATAAAACCTGGGTTTCTAGAATTCCACACAGCCTCTCTCCACGGGTGCTGGCACCGCACAAGCACGGAGGTCGGCTAGTGCTGCCTCCGGGTGCCAAGTGCAGTTCTGCCCGATGGAAATGCCCGGAGGCACCCCGACAAGAGACGGGGCGCAGGGTGCTGCCCGACCCGAGGTCCTGCTGGAGGGACGGCCAGGTTCGCCTCGCCTCTCTGGGTCTGGAGCTGGTCCGCCTCTGCGACACTTTGTCTAGGGGAGAATGGCCAGGTCCAGCTTTTAAGGGAAATGAGATTGATCTGCCCTTACTTTTAGCCTGTTTTTCACGTGCTCAGCTCAGGGAGGCCCTGGTTTCTGTCTTGCAGAAGTGCCCTGGAAGGCGAGCTGGGGAAAGACGCCCCCGCTTCCTACCGACACTCGTGGTCCGACCACAAGCACCTCGCCCAGCCGGACACTGCGGTCATCTCCGTGGTTGGCGGGCGGCACAGTCAGGTACGAACACCCCCGTGCAGGCTGTCTGCTTTCTTCATTGGTGAATCACTGGCACTGGTGGATTTTTACTACAAATTAGATCAATTTGTTCCTGAAATTAATCATTCCTGAGGACCTACTGTGTGTGTGTGGCGGGGGCATTCTGTTAGCTCCTGGGAGAGCATGCAGAGTAACAGGAAAGTCTGCTCCGCAGCTGAAGGAGCTGGAACCCCTGGCCGAGGACTCAGAGCACCGCCTCAGTCCGTCAGCGCGGGGCTGGGCTCTTTCGGCTTTGGGTCCCACACCGCCGGCCAGGAGAATCAGTCAACATCCGCCTAAAGTAGGCACGTCCCAAACTCTGTTCCCCTGCGGTCCCACTGACCAACCGACCGGTAGAGAAGGCGGGCAGTGCAATCTACGGAGTTGGTCACATCTGCAAAGTCACCCAGCCCCTCAGCCAGAGGCCCACTCCTTCCCCACGACGCACAGCTGTCTGTCGGGGGCACGACCTGTATGCCCAGCTGTGACAGCAGTTCCCCCTCACGCCACAGAGCGAGCAGGCTGTGAACACTTGTTTTCCTCGCTCCTCTCCAGAGCCTGGGCTGCTACCCGGTGGAGCTGGAGAGGGGCCCCCGGGGCTTCGGGTTCAGCCTCCGAGGGGGCAAGGAGTACAACATGGGGCTGTTCATCCTGCGCCTGGCCGAGGACGGGCCCGCCCTCAAGGACGGCCGGATCCACGTGAGTCGGCTTCTTTCTCCACCGCCGGTCTGGGCTGCAGGGCGGGAACTCGTGGACAGAGTTGATGGGAGGGAGCGTGGAAAGCTCTTGGATCCGAGAAACGAGACCTCCCACGGCTGAAAGGTGAGCGGCAGACGCTCGCCCGCGGGTGTCCTTTCTCCTCTCCTCTCGGTCTGCCGTGCTGCACCGCGGCCGTCCCACCACTCCAGCACCTCCGGCCCCCGGTGCGGTGCCTTAAATGGTCACAGCAGGCACTCCGTAGGGTTGGTTCAAAGACTAGAATAGATGAAGAATACTTCTAGCTAACGAGTTATTTTTCCTTTTCTTTTTTTTTAAAGATTTATTTTTAGAGAGGGAAGGGAGGGAGAAAGAGAGAGAAACATCAATGTGCGATTGCTGGGGGCCATGGCCTGCAACCCAGGCATGTGCCCTGACTGGGAATTGAACCTGCGACGCTTTGGTTCGCAGCCCGTGCTCAATCCACTGAGCTACACCAGCCAGGGAGAGCTATTTTCCGTATTTAAGATTAGCTTCAAGCCCTGGCTGGTGTAGCTCAGTGGATTGAGCGCGGACTGCGAACCAAAGTGTCGCAGGTTCGATTCCCAGCCAGGGTACATTCCTGGGTTGCAGGCCATAACCCCCAGCAACCGCACATTGATGTTTCTCTCTCTCTCTCTCTCTCTCTCTCCTCCCTTCCCTCTCTGAAAATAAATAAATAAAATCTTAAGAAAAAAAAAAAAAAAGATTAGCTTCCAGAACTTATTACTGAGTAGGTAGGATTTGGGTTATGTGAAACAATGCAATTCACTCAAACAAAAATGCTAACTTGCAATATAGATGGGAAGGGTGCTGAGAGTCACAGAGAGGGTTTTTAATTTAGTGAGTCTTAGGCTGATCCTTAAATCTGCTCAAGATTCAGGGCGGAGAAGGGAAGGTTCTCGGCCAAGGTAGTGAGGGGTGAGCTGAGTGGGGGAGTTCACAGGAAGGAACAGCGTGGGACTGACAGGGCTCACACGGAGCAGACCGGGGCTTGGAAGACACCGGAGGCCGCGCTCTGCGGGCCCCTCGCTGTCACACCCGTCCGCGTCAGCCTCTCGAGAACCAGGAGGGAGGCGCCCTCGTCCCCACTCCCAGACTTAACGCCCCGGGCTCGGGAGCCCTGGGCGCCTGCTGGGTTCGCTCACCTGTGCGGCCGCGGTGTGACCCAGGCCTGTCGTCCTCCAGGCCCCTTGGGGTCCCCTGGCACCTCGCAGGCTGGGAGGCAGCGTGAGCAACGGGGTGGAAATGCTACTGTGTGACCGTAACACATTCTGAGTGGGCAGTTTACAAACTGGGAGACCGCGGCCGCAAAGGGGCCCGAGCTTCCCCTGTCCCTTCTCCTTGCGGGTCCGCTGCTCTTGGTTTTCTGCCCTTCGTCTCCCTCCCTCCCTGGGTCCCCAGATTTTGTCAGACAAACCCGAACGTGAAGTTGCCCTGTTTACCAAAGGATAAGTTCCCCATCTTATTACCACATTTAAAAATTCTGAAGTAACAAAGTTTGAAAAGATTGTTTGCATGCTGCATCTCAGAGGTGCCGTTTTTTTCCCTTAGCCTTGTGCAGTGGAGGCCGCAGCTGTCTCTCCGCCCACTCTAGTTTTAACCTTAAACAAACCTGACACCTGGTGGCAGATCTGCTCAATTACAAGTTTTATTGTAATTTCTTCGTTGGGCTAAAACAGATGTATAAGGTTTAGACAGTGAATTTAAGCCAAAAAAGTGATTGAAATTAACTATAGTTTTACAAGATATACTTAAAGCAGGCTTCCAATACTATCTAATTTCCTTTTTTGTAATTATCAGCAGGATTATATATCTAGTGCTAATTTGTCATCTGTAGTTCCTCGCAAAAATTTTTCAGTCACTTAAAGGAAATCTGGGTATAAAAGGAAATCTGGGTATAAGGCCTTTTTTAAAATGTTTATTACTTTTCCTTATTCTATTATCATCTTTGTGAAGGTGTCCCGTTTAAATGTTAAATCCACTGATTTTGTTTGTTCAGGTGAGATGCTCATTTTTTCATAACTGTGCAACAGAACACACCATTAGTTCACTTGAAATTTTTTTACCTTGTACAGTCTACTATTAATTCTTATTCATACTGATACACTATTAATTCTTATTCATACTGATACACTTTAAAAATTGGGGGGAAACCAGAAAATAGATCTGGTTTCTGCTCAGTGTGTTGTCATGTCCCATCTCATGGAACTGCCCCCGTGACCCCGGGAGGGAGGGACCGACACACCACAGGAGCCCAGGGTCCCGCCGCTGCGCTTGTGAGGACACAGGCTCGTCCCACCCACCTGCGTTAGACAGTCACCGCGTCCTCGCCTGCTGCTTCTGGACAGTGTCCGTGAGCTCGTGTACGTGTCTGAGCTACTTTTTGGGATTTCAGTAATTTTCATTTCAGTTTGGTTTTGAAGCCACACCCTTCAGTTGCTTGTCACCCTGAAGTATGTTTTCAAATCTGGAATCAAATCACTACCATCATTATCTTTAATCAGGCCCTTTGCAAACATTATACTTGACTCATCCACACTGTCTTTTAAAATAACAGACCACATTTCTAGTAAATACAAATGGTACTGAGGCATCTTCTTCTAATCACTAGGGTTTTTTTATTATTTTTTAGGAAAATTGTTTCACACTAAAGTAATGAAGTATGAGGTAGTTATTAGATTTTTAGTAAGGATTCATATTACTATATTCTCCAGGATGAATTTTTTCAGAGATTTAATCTATGAATATGAATATTTCATTTGGCTCTTGATTTCAAGATACTCAGATCCTGCTTACTAGTCACACAACATTCTCCCCTGGAGCGTTTTTATAGAGTAAGTAAACAAAGCTGGACGTTTTCTCTTCCTGTGGCTGCCATCTGTCCGCATCTCGACTCTAGCCTGACAGCACTGCGCACACGTTAAGTATTTTACACATCAAAGAGGCTCTCGGCAACAGTGGGCAGCTCTAGGTTGACAAAAGCAAAACCTGACGGCAGACACGTGGTCCCACACTGTTCCCGTGAATGTGCCCTATCTAGGTGGGCGACCAGATTGTGGAAATCAACGGAGAACCCACCCAAGGCATCACACACACCCGCGCAATCGAGCTCATTCAGGCCGGTGGGAATAAAGTTCTTCTTCTTCTGAGGCCAGGAACTGGCTTGATACCCGACCACGGTGAGTAGCCCACCTGCAGCTACAAAGTGAAGAGACGGTTAGGGAGGGGTCAGCAGCAGGGGAGGAGCTACGTCTTTGGAGGGGATGTTTTTCCAGCTATGTCAAAGGTGAACACCAGAGCTATCTAAAGCTAGTTACATAGCACAGTTTTTATTAGCTAAAAATAATATAACAGAATGCATTGCTGTAGGCAGGACTTTTGCTGGAATGGAGTATGTCGAGCTAATTTCAGTAGAAAAACCCAGGTGGTTTCATAGAGAAATGTGCCTGTAAAAAACAAGGATGTTAGAGGCAAATGAATTAAATGCATGAGAAACATTTGAAATCTCATTTTTTCATACAGTAAGGTATGCTTCTCTTAGCGAGTCGAGTAAGAACGCCAGGCCTTTGTGAGTGCTCGTGCAAAACGGCGCTACAGTCCCTGTCCGCACTCCCGTACTGACCTTGCACTTGACCTTGCTTGGTTTCACTGTTTTTGAACTGTCCCAGGATTGAAGATCACTATTTTTAAACTGAGTGCACTAGTCTAGAGACAAGGTGTCACACCACTCAGTACTGGTCCCCTCTGGTTCCGTCCCCTTCCAGCCTGTAATTCTCTGACTGCATTCCCTGCCACCACCTGCTTGTGAATCACCCGACCCCGGCGATGCCTTTGCTGTAACTGCGCTGTGGTTTTTTTTTTACATAGTCCTAGGCTTTTTCTCTTCCTCCTTCAGGTCTGGCTCCTTCCGGTCTGTGCTCCTACGTGAAACCTGAGCAGCACTAAGGCTTTCAGGGCTTTTCTTGGTCTTTCCTTAAAAAGACTTGGTAAATCTGCATGTCTTGTAATCACTTCCTTCTCTTTTTTCTTTTTAATTAAAAATGATGCTATTAAATACATCTAACTCTATCTCCTGCACTTTTCCGTTTCCTTTTGACGTTAAATTTGACCACTTAAAGCAAGAAAATTACTTACAAATGCCCATGAACCTCATTCTGGTCAACAGAAGTTGGTCTCCTTTACGAGTGATTTTGGCATGTCCTTAAGCTACGTGCCCTGATAAGACCTAAATTAGTAAGCTTCTTGGACCAGGTAATTTGGTCTCATTTTAAGTTTTACTGGGCTTTACTACTTACAAAGAATTTACACACCATCTATTACTAATTGTACATAAGTAATTAGAAAAAATGAGTACTGTTACTTCATGTGTATATAAACCACCTCTCCTTTGCATACAAATATAGCTGTCTGTATGCATCTGCCTTTATAGAGTGACACCCAAACATACATAAACTATAAGATACTCATACTGTTGAAGCAATCAGTACAATTAAAATAGCTGTCAAAGCTTGAAACTTCTCGCTCCTTGCTCACAATTCTAAAGCTTAACAATGCTCCACTCAAATCCCTTCTCCTTAGGTCACTGGGATATCACTCAACCCTCATCTTCAAACGTGATTTACGACGAACAGCCACCGTTTCCCCCCCCTTCTCACTCTGCGTCCGTGTGTGAGGAGCCGCCCCGCGTGCCAGGAACCGAGGAAGCCTCCGCCAGAGCGCGGGTGTGTGAAAAGGCGGAAGAATTCAAGGACGTGGGGCCTGAAAAGAAGGGCACTTTAAACCAGTCTGAGATGAAGCGCCAGCCTCTTCTGCAGAAAGATGGGAGTAAAAGGGATGCCCCCGGCAGCCACGGGCACAGTGACAAGAAGCATCTCTTACAAGTAGAAAACGGTGTTGCCCAAAGAGGCAGGTCCGCTAGTCCCAAAAAGTCAGCCGGTCGCTACACAGAGGAACATTTAGAAAAGACTCCAGGCCCTCCCAAAAACGACCCCAAAAGGAGACCCCGAGAGCGCTCGCCCAGCCCTAGGAAAGGGGAGGCGAAGAGCTGCCCGGGCAGCGCTGCGGCGGGCTCCGGCCAGGGTCGCGCCAGCAGGGGCCGGGGACGCTCCTCCAGCCCAAAGAAGCAGCCGAGAGCGGAAGGGTGGCAGGACCAGCAGGACCAGCCCAACGCTGAAGCCGCAGCCCCCGAGGTGGAGGGCCGACGGGCCCCGGGGGGCGGGGCTCGTGGGGGTGCCCAGCAGACAGCGGACGGGAGGGGACGGCCGGGTGTCGGCAGGAAAGACACAAAGCAGAGGCCGCGGTCCCCGGAGGAGAAGAGCAAGCGAATGGATGAGAGGTCCCCGGCGAGTAACTTCGTGAGCAGAGGAGCACCCGAAAGTGAAAAGGGAAAGAGGGCCCCCTTAGGAGAGACGAGCAGAGAGCGAGCGGCCCCGAACGCACTCGAAGCCGACCAGGGAGAAGGCGAGGTGGCCGACAGGAGCCGGGAGCGTGGCGGCGGCGGGGCGCAGCCCGAGCGGGGCTCTCCGGCCAGGAAGCCGCCCATCACCCCGGGGCCCTGGAAGGTGCCCAGCGCCGGCAGGGCCTCGGGCGTGACTGGGGTGGTGGAGAAACGGCAGTGATTCTCAGTAGAAAACGAAGGAAAACAGGTCGTGACCTCTCCTTACAAAAAAGAAAAAGCGACGTTTCCCCCCAGAAATTCGGAAATACATTTTGATTATCAAGTTCCCGAGGCTGCAGGCAGGGCCTTCAGGTTCGCAGAGCAGCCCCGGTCCCCAGCCAGCTGCCCTCCGTCACCCTCACCCGACACGCCCAGCCCGTCCTCCGGGTGTCGGGACAAATGAAGGACGTCGATGTGAACAGTGTGGTCACAAAGGACTCTAGCTGTGCCAAGGCACCTGCTGCATCATGTCTGTTACCCTCCCCACTCAGCTGTTTCCACGGTAACGAGAAAATGACGCTGGGCTTGGAAGTCGACCTTCTCAGTAGCATGTTGCATGTTTACGGAGAGAACTACTTGAGTCCCCGCAGGAGGAGAGGAACTCACCCTTGGGGGGGCGGGGTCCCTTCCCGCAGCTCCAGGCGAAGTCCCGTTTAAAGCCGCCACACCCCAGACCTCTCCACTGCAGAGAAAAACAGGTAGTCAAATATTGACAGTTCCGGTCTTGTATTTTAACTCAGCTGGGCAAGGTATTTCAAATAACTGTTACAGAGCTTACTTACAATTGAGTGTTGGAAAAGGAGGAAGTATAATTTGTTAAGCAATTAAGTTCACCTCCTGCCGGGTGACCCAGCCCCGATGTCCTCAGAGCAGCTCATGTGGAAATAGTGCGTGTTGCTATTTGAAGAAAAACTACCAAATTCCTATTTCTGGCTATTTTGGTTGTACCTGCTAAGTCATTCGTTGTTAATACATGTTTTAAGAGCCAAAATATTATGCGGACTGTGTGAGGGACTTAACTTGTGTGACCGGTTTCACAGTCTACCGCCCGGCCGCTCTGGTCGCAGGCGGACGGGCCCGGAGGGGACGCAGACCCTGCAGGTGAGGCCAGGCATGGGGACGGGCAGCACTGGCCAGATCTTCGTTTTCTAGCTACGTTAACTTTCTTTGTTAAAAACAAGAAAGGACACCCCTGGAGTGTGACTGCAGTTTAAGAGGCTGCGACTACACATAAAATACACTTTAATGAACACATCAGCGACAAAGGGTGGTTTTGGACAAGGTACGGGGAGAAGGAAGCGGTCCCCAGGCCGCTCCTGGTCCGTGGTGGTCCGCCAGCGGTGGGGCGTGGCCAGAGTCCCCCAGTGCTTTCTCAAAGTCACCTGGAAGGTGGAGACGGTGTTCCACTCCGCAAAACAGACCCAGGTTTTTCAGTCTCCTGAGGCAGCATTCAGCAGCATCTAGAAATCCAGGAACTCTCGGAGTGAAACCAGTTTAGGGAGCACTGGACCACACTTGTTCTGTCGCCCTGGTTCCACCCTGCTCCTGGGCCGCGTGCCGGGGCCCTTCCTCGCGGAGTCTGACCGTGAAACTCGCTGGCAGGAGCCCGGGTCAGCCCCTGTAGGTAGAGACGAGCCGCCCCGTCCTGTGCTCCCCCACCTGTAACTACTTGAATAGAGCAAAGTTAGAAGGCTTGGTAAATGCTAGGAGTTTATTACCACAGAAGTGATTTATTTCCCCTATAGACCACAATTAGTGATAAAAATCCTATTTTTATTGTTAACTGTGACGCAACTTGGCTGTCATATGTTGTCGGTCTGATGTGGCTCTTTCCTTTCCAAGTCCCCTGTCACTGTCTTGACTGAATACTGACTGAGCAACGCGGCCTTGGAACGCTGAGCAGACATGGATGTCCTGGTTGTAAATGTTTGTACATTGTACAGCACCTTTATATACACACTCGAGTTCTGATTAGAGAGAGAGATCTGTAAATTGCTCGTTATTTTTTATATAGATATTAAAGAAACAAAAACCAAACCAGTTCATGGCCTGCATTTCTTTCCTAGTTAAGCTCTCTCCTTCTGGAGCTGGTCCTCTGAGGATGGGGGCCCCCACGCAGAGGGTCCCTCCCAGTGACCAGTGACAGCCCTGCAGTCAAGACGACTCTCACGATGGTCACCTCACCTGCAGAGCCATCCTCTCATCCGTGGATGTTTAACTCAAACCGATTTCCAGCTTAATGTTATATAATACAGACTGTATACCTTTCATTGTAAAGAAAGTAGCTTTGCATAAGAATTCACTGCCCTCCCCCCACCCTTCCTTCCACTGCCAGGGAACCGCAGCTCTGAAGCGAGACAGACATTGTGCACGGGCGCGGTGCACGCCGAGGCACCGCGAGGCCACAGGGCTCTGCTACGTCGTGTTCAAGCCATTCTACTCACTGCAGCTTACACTTCATTTCAGAACAAAGTGTTCTGACTTGATTCCATTGAATTCTTGGTATGAATTTGCCTAAAACCTATTTTAAGACAGAGTTCATTTCCTACTTTCAGGGTATTAAATTAAGTCCTCCCGTTGCGTGAACTCAGCGCTAAGAGGAAAACCCCAGCCTCGGAGTGGAGACCTGTCACAGCGGAGGCCGCAGAAAGTGGCAGCGAACAGTTTCGTGAGGTCCGGACACTCTCCGCACTGACCGCAGAGGCTCAGAGGGCCTGGGGCGCTGTCCCGCCGTCCCACTGGGGAGAGCGGACTGGGCTCCCGTGACGCTGCCTTCTAACCGAGTCACGTCAAATGCTGTGGATCACGCAGCCTTTGAACAGAGTCAGCTATTTTGTTAGTCCTGGACGCAGAAAAGCACTAGGCTTTCTATTTTTTCATGAGACTATCTTGGTTATTTCTCAATAGTACGATATTCTCATGCAGAACAAGCCAGGTGCTTCTAAACCTGTGGACACCTGAGTTTCGCGTTTAATGGGCCCGATATTCAAAGAGAGCGGGGCTTAAGAAGCCAGCTCTCAAGCTGTGTGACAGTCCGACTAACGACTGCACGAAGACGTGCCTCAGGGGCCACGCGGCCCGCAGTGTGTCCCGACTGCGCTCCAAGGCCTGCGAGCTGTGTGCTGCTCCACGGGAAGGGGTGCATTTACTCAGGCGGCGCTCTGCCGGTCCTGCTGTGGAGGGTCATCAGCAACGCAGTGGCTTGTTTCCGGCACGCCGTAATTCCTGCATGAAATCTGTCATCTCTGCCGCAGTGAGCTGCGTCGGTTTTCCATGTTGCTGCGCAAGCATGAAGCCTTGGGACGTGTGAGAAGGGAACAGAGGCTTATGGGGAATGAATTCCACCTGCCGGAGAACGCCGAACCGTTCTCGCACATGCTGAGATACCAGGCACAGCCACGTGCTGCACTTCAGCCCAATCCGGAGAGTCCTGGGGGTGTTATTCCACAATGCCACCCTCAAAATCAAGAACTGTTAACACACAAATCAAGAGGCCTGTTCTGTCCTTAACAAACAGCCACTCCTTACCTTGAGTAATACCTGGTCTGCCGTGGGAGGACCAGGACGCGCTGCAGGGAAGGTCTGGAAGAATTGCTCGTCAGTGGGATGCAAGCCCCATTACTCCAGACGGGCGCCAATAGCAACTGCAAAGGAAAAGCATCACTTTAAATTACTAAACTAGCCAAAACGTGTACAGAGGGGATTATAAATTTAATAAGTTTTCTTGATAATCCCAGATCGTACATTATGTAAGAAAGTGAAACCATTTGGTCCATTATGAGCAGGTAGATCTGAAAAATTTCACAAGTGAATTTCTTCCATTTGAAAGGTTATTTGTACAGCGCTTGGGTCCACTTACCTCCAAATGCAATTAACCAAAAATAAAAGCATAGACCCGTCAGCTTATACTGTGTTTGACATACTGGTATTGAGAATTTTTCTCCATGTCTCTGAAAGTCAAGAAAACCATGCCCCAACTAGACAAGTATCGTGGTTACTCGACTTTTCAGAGTGTTCCCATTGCACATGGGCCGTAATGTGCACGTTCGGGAAGTCTGAGGTTACCCCTGCGCGGTGATTTTAGGGTGGGTAACTTTCCCTGACACAGCAAGTTAGAAAATGAAGTGAACAGGTATTATTCTGACCCTTCTGCGGTTACCACTATTCCAGTTAAATGTACGAATAGCCCGTTCTACTTCTTTTACATTTCGGTTCAGTAGCTCAGTCACAGGTAAACACTCTCGAGGTATATTATATCTCACTCCTTTTGGGGGATCAATACAAGACCCCAAATTCCTAGAATCATACAGATACAAATGAAGCCCTGAAGACAGGAGAATCGGTTAAACTCTTCCATCCTAGCAGAAAAAAATTGCACAAAAGTCTATTTTCACTTACTCTAGATTCATATCAAGCACCTACACAGGGTCAGGTACTTACCTTCCTGCATTCTGAGGACTTCGGTGTGAACAGCAGCAGAAGTCCTTGCCTCACGGGGCTGACCTTCTAGTGGGGACGGACAGAAACAGCCGACAATGAACGAGGCGGACAGGCTGGGACAGGTGCCGTGGCGTGCACGCCCTGTGTAAGCGGAAACAGGACATGGTGTGAACAGCCTGACCCTCGGCCATCAGAGAAGGCCCCGCTGAGGAGCCGACAGCTGAAAAGCCAGCCAGGGGAGCGCCTAGAAAACCATGTTCAAGGACTAACTCGGTGCAGCAGCGGGACCGAGGGAGGCCGGCGCGGTGGGAAGGTCTTGGGAGGGTGACGCTGGAAGGGGAGGCAGGCTGGCTCACGAACGGCCTCGACGGCCACCACAAGGAAAGCCAGGAAGGGTTTCAGCAGGAACAGCATCATGGGAGTGTCCTCGTTGTTCAGCTCATTCACGTGGCTGTGGAGAACCGATGGGGAGGCAACACTGGGAAGGGCACAGGGGGCCAGGACCCCAGCCCAGGGGTGGGCGAAGAGGCTGCCCCCAGGAGCCGTGGAACGCAGAATGACGACGTGGTGGTGGTGGCAGGTCTGGAGGAAGGAGAGGCACCGAGAGTAAACCCTAAGCCTTTGGCCTGAACAACTGGGTGAACTTGGTTCCGTTTCCCGAGGCGAGAAAAACATATTCTTCCACCTTAAACAACCCCACCACCTGAGAGGGGTTTTGGATGCTGCACAACAGGCAGGACAGGAAAGTGGGATAAATGGGGCCCTGTGCCTCCCCCAGCTTCCTGCTGTGACGCAGTTCCCAGGCTGTGGGGCAGGAAGGGGGAACCCAAAGCAAACCTCCTGGTTTTGCTAGGTTGGAGACCAGGGTCAGGAATTCGTGGGCCAGGTCAGCTGCAATCTGCAGGGCTGAGCACCAGAGGGAGCTGCAGAGCCAGATCCAAAACTGTGCGGGGGTGGGGGGTGGGGGGGGGCTTGTCTTTCAAGTCTTAGTGAGCACTGGGCAGCATGAGGGCCTACCCAAGGACACGGAAAGAACCACCAGAAAGGAGCAGGCACCTCTGCCTGTTCTTGATGCGGGAGCGGTTTATGGCCCCACTGTTGATTTGGAAAAACTCATAACAAACAAGACAGCAGGCAGCACACTTACTTGGGAGGACACCACTTCCGCAGTGAAGACAAGCAGCCCCAGGCTAAAGGCTGCTCCGACAAAGCTTGAAAGACTTGAAATGATCAAAGGGTTTCCAAGTAACTGCATTCCAAAACAGCACACGTGCGCACACACACACACAACCCAAGACCAACAAGGTAAAACTCACGTGCAACAGCAAGTCACCAGGCATGCAGAGGAGGAGGGAAATAAGACCCAACATGGGGGTGGAGGGAAGTCCGTGAAAACCAGCCCCAAGAACGGTAACGCTGAGGACGTCAGCATGATGGCAGAGCGAGAACAACTCCCACTTCTCCCCTTCAGTTCACAACAGCAGCTCAACGAAGGGGCCCCTGCTCATCGCACGAACGTGCCTGGAAGACCCACGCACACATCAGAACGCCCGGATTGTAAGAGGGGCTAAAGCAGTGGTCCCCTGGAGGAAAACAGTTCCCTTCCCCTTCCCCATCCCCGGAGGCCCCAGTAGAGGTGGCTAGGAAGATTCAAACAGCAAAGCCATACCAACAGCCCTTGCTGGTGGGGAGCAGACCCACAAAACTTGCCCCCCCTCGTCCCGCCCACCCTGGCAGAACCAGCTGGAGGCAGTAGCGACACCTCCAAAGCTCCAGCAGGGCCAGTGACCATCAGTGAAGAGGAGGTGGCGCGCTGGGAGTTGGCAAAACTGGTTCTCCAGCACCTGCCACGAACCCCCACCATGGTGGCAGTGCCCCATAACCCAGGGGTGTGAGTCACAGAAGGGACACCCACCGTCCCAGGGTGGACAACGCGGCACTCTCCTTTACCGAAGTGATGCTGCTCCGTCCACCGCGACCCTGGAGACGCAGAGCCTGCAGGGAGGGGAGAGACCTGCGCGGCAACACCAGGAGAGCAGCCTACCTACCAGCCTGCTGAGAGCAACGCAGTGTCTACACGAGAAAGCAGCTCGCCGCCTCAAATGCACAGAAATAATCCATGAAACACCATTAATGCCCAGGGTACCAGGCAGCACAGAAAGAAAATGAAAGGTCTCCAGGGGCCAAATTCAATGCCAGTGACTTAATGACAGAGATTCCAGATTGCAGCCGTGAAGAAGCTCGGTGAGAGACGAGAGCTCAGGAGAGCAGAGCAGTGAGCTCAGGAAGAGAATCTGTGAACCAAGGGCGTACTTTACCAAAGAGACTGGAATTCCAAACCGGAGCTAGGCGAGTTGCAGAGCTGGAAAACTCAATGAATGACCTGAGGGATGCAGCAGAGCGCACAGGAAAAGATCAGACCAGCCAGGAGACGGAATTAGCACGTGCAAGGCCGGCAGCCTAGAACGGACCCAGGAGGACGGGAGAGGAGAGTTTTTAAACAAGGGAAGAACTCCACGAGAACTACCTAACGCCATCAGAAAGAGCCACGTCAGGGTGGCGGGTGCACCAGAAGGAGGAGAGGGGGAGGGGACAGAGTCCACTCAGAGACATAATGGACAAGAGCTGCCCAACCCTCTGGAAAGCACTGGAGTTTGGAACAGAGACGGCCAGCAGAACACACAATCATACAGACGCAAAAATCCTCCTCCAGAGACATTGTATCAAAACCATCAAGACTGCCGCCTACAACAGAAGCCCCATTAGCTTACCATCCGATTTTCCTAACTGCAGACACAGTACAAGACGAGAGAGTGGAAGGGAATATTCAAAGCGCTGAGAGGGAGGAACCGTCAAGCCGAGGACAACATGTCCAGCAAAGCCGGCCCTTAGTTGGGACGGAGAAGTACAGGCTTCCCCAGAGCAGGAGGGGAAGGAACTGAGCACACAGGCCTGCGTGGCCGGAGCCCACGAAAGGAGCCTCTCCCCCGGAACCAGAAGCACAGGCTGACCGAGACGCCCGACAGAAACGGGGCTGCGTGTCCGCTTCGGGACGGGGCGCCACACGGTGACAGCGGAGCTTCCGTGGGGCGAGGGCATCAAAAATCAGTGTGACTATGGCAACTTGGTAGTGAGTCACAACACGGAAAGAGAATCTGTGACGACAACGTCGCAAAGGGGCGGCGGAGCAGGACTGCGCAGGCGCAGGTGGATGAAGAGCAGCCAGCAGCCGCCGCAGAGGAGAGGGCTGTTGCTTCCGTGAGCCGCGGGCCACGCGCCCATTTTTTAAAAAGTTTTACCGGAACACACATGCAGGTGACAGCTGTGTTAATGTCCCTGTTTACGATCTCCATTACAAATGTACTGTGTTAAACAAGGCAGAGAAAAGAAATCGCATGTTAAGGACATGAAAGATATAAAAAATAACCGAACTTCTGTAGGGGAAAACGCATTGGGTAGGATTAACGGCAAATGAGTGCAGAAAACAGGTTAGTGAACGGGAGGGGGGCGGGGCACAGAATAGAAACCATCCAAAATCAAAGGCAGAGGAAGACACTGGGAAAGCGTGTAGAGCGTCGGTGAGCTGCGGGCGGCCCGGTATCCGTGTGACACTTTACATGAGCCCCAGAAGGTGATAGGTGAATGCAGGGAAGTTTTTTTTAGAGACAAAACTGGTCCAATCTGAGAAAACGATAAACTCGGATCCGGTAAGCACCACACACCTCCAGCACGCGCGCGCACACACACACACACACAAAACCACAGCAGCACGCATTGCAAACTGCACGGATTCACTGATAAAAACCTCAGGAGCAGCCGGACATGCTGAGCCCAGACTCGAGGAGGACAGCAGCCTCCTGCTCGGAAACCACGCGGTCCAGAAAGCAGCGCATCGTCGTCTGTAAAGTGAGCACTTTATACTCAGCAGAAATATGTTCCAAATGTATCAAAAACCTCTCTCAACAGGGAGAGCCTGCACACCTTGCTAAACAGACTTTGGATTTTTTATCGTCAAAGTCACAGTTAGCCGTTAATGAATTCGAGATGAGGAGACTGTTCAGAAAAGGCACATCAGCTTTTTGAGGACCGACTGGGCTTGGGGGGGCTAGGGTTCCATGCAGATGTCAGTGCAGAGAGCTGCTTTCACAACCAGGGGTGCTGACAAATGGGGGGTGGGGGAGTGGGGGCTCGGAAGGGCTGACTGCTTAGGAAAGCATCCAGGAGACGGTTCCTCGGGTCTTGGTGACTACGAGTCAGGGTGAAGGACAGGGAGTCGGGGGTCACTCCCAGTCTCTGGCAGGGGCAACTCCGCCTGCCCACCCCCAGGGTGGGGCGAAGGTGCGCCGACAGTCCTGAGTACGTGAAAGTGTACTCTGCGTTATTGATTATTCATTGCTGTACTATTTTCCCTATGAACAGCTCCTCTTCCCTCACCCTGTATAATTTTAGCCACCTGAAAAATAATTTAAAACAATTATACACTATCAAAATTGTAACAGAAACAACACACAAGAGTATATACCATTTTAAATACCATTTTAAATACTCCATTTAAACTAGAGAAGCCACAATCTCAGCAGAAATCGCAACTTAAAAATAGAACAGCATGTTTTGCAGGAGGACAGAGGCTCCGGTCCTCGTCCGAACCCTGCACGGGGCGCACCCGTGGGTCTGAGAGCATCGCCCCTGCTCCTGCTGGCAGCGGCCGATGTCTCCGAGCCGCCTGCTGAGACAGGGCAGTGCCCGTGCAGAATGGCGCCTTCCAAAGGCTAAGTCACTGGCATGGGGTTTTACCTTTAAAAACATACATGAAATAAGACAGGCGATGAAAGAAATACATGATCTCACCTGTAAGTAGAACTTAGTCAACAAAACAAGCAAGCAAGCAAAATAAAACCAGAAACTCTAAAATAAAGAGCAAACTGACAGTAACCAGAGGGGAGGGCTGAGGAGGGTAATGGAGGAAAGTAGGGGAAGGGCCATCAAGGAACATGTGTCAAGGACACATGGACAAAGCCAAAGGGGAAAGGTCTGAGGGTGGGAAGCAGGGACAGGGGGCGGGGCACAGTGAGGTGAAAATGGAGACCACTGTAGTTGAACAATGATAAAAAATATATATATATAAATAAATGAGACTCAGGCCGTAGTTAGCATGGCTGGGTGTTTCTGGTAATCCACTTCTAGTTCAGCAGTCTTGCTTCCTATGGTTCCGTCTTCATGGTTAGGAATCTGTCAGTGAAAGATGTTTAAAGCGTTTTAAACAACAGTAACAAACGTTTGCTGCGGGCTTTCTAAGTGCTAAGAACCTAACACGACAACCTCCTCTGACAACCCTGTTAGGTGGTTCCTAGCCCCATTTAGCAAACAGGGACTGAGATACAAGAAGGCTAAGCAACTCGCCCCAGGTTATGAAGCTAGTAAGCAGAACCAACGGTGTGAGCCCAGAAGTGTCTAACCTCCACCCTGGTCTCTTGAGAAATTCATCTTTAAACCTCAGAGCCCCTCCTGCGTACTGGGACGTGGGGGACCCGGGTTGTGCCTGAGCACAGGCAGACCTCGGAGACACCGCGGGCCCGGCGCCAGGCCGCCACGGCGAAGCCAGCCGTGATCTTCCTGCCGGCGAGGGTCTTGCCTCTGATTTGTTAAGAAAGCGACATCTGTGAAGTGCAATAAAGCAAAGTACGATAAAACGAGGTATGCCTGTATATACTTTTATACATAATAACTATTTCTAACATTTAAAAATTCACAAAATCTTATTAAAATGTTCAGGTTTTCAATTTGCCTCAATAGATGCCCCAACACAGGTAACTCAATGACTAAGAATTCTATGTAGACCACCCCAGTTTTCACTGACACACATACATGCCTGCGTGTGTGACACGGTAACAGGAGGTGCTGGTGAGAGGAGCTAAGTCCTACTGAAAGGCACAGTGCGGCTCAGCACAGACACGGTGGGCCTGGAGACCACACCAAGGGCTGGGTCCCTGAAGCTGCACCGCGGATAAGGCGTCTGAGCTTCCCCTCCTGCTGGCACTGGAAGCAGCTCCGACGGCCTGGTCCGCGCGGAAACCACACCGTGGGTGGGCACGGCGAGCTCAAGGATATTTAATTTTCTCACGCTGAGTGACATGGCCATTCATACACGTGCCTCCTTCACCAACATCTGCACAGTTACCAAATTAGCCTCCAGTTTATTACCTAATTAAAAATTTACCCAGAGTCTAACAGAAACTCAGCTTAAAAGGTTTTTTTTTCAGTGACAAAAAGAAAAAGCCTAGAAACTAACGTTCTCCAATAAAGTTTTTATTTGAGTTCAACTTAAAATAGCTTAAGTTCGATCTCTCTGCTGGAGAAACGACACCGCCAGTCCCACACACCGTCACAGAAGAGGACTGAATTTGCGCATTTCCAATAAGGCAGGTTTGCTTCACGCTCTGGGCTTCTGCGTCGTACCCAAAAGGCCGTCTCCAGTAAGTGTACCTGTCACAGCACCGAAATGTCCAGAAAGAATTTCCTAACTTAGAACAGCGTCCCTGTGTCACCGTAACACAGTCTCCAGTCTCCTGACCATTCACATTGTTGGAAACCCGGGGAAGCAGCCTGCAGGCCCTCCGAACGGCCGGTCCCCAGGAAAACCCCATCCGCGAGCTCAGCAGAGGGCGGCCCCCTGCCGGGGAGCCAGGAGCCGGTCACAGGGGTCTCCCGGTACTCCGGCAGCCAGCTCCCTCCTCGTGGCTGAGCGCTGACACAGCAAAGGGGGTGGGTCCAGATGCACGGCTCCACTTAGGACTTGATTTTCCACAGCTGAGAGAAGAAAATCACCAGAATGAGTTAGCCTGACACAACAGGTGGGGTCTGTGAGTGCGCTTACAGGACCGTGAACCGAGCACCCTTTAACGAGAGGGGACGCTCTGGCCACAGCCACCATAAGACGCGCAGAGGAAAAGCGTGGGATTCTCAGGGCCCAGAGTGACAGACCGCAGTTCGTGGGTTTGGGCTTTTCATTCATTCCGACCCTGGACACGTCCCCAGGTCAGAGGAGACCCTCACTCAGCCCACCCTATTAATCTGACATGAGATTCGAACTTGATTTTTTCCTGCAACTCAAGAGCACAGAATACTGCACTGTTGTAAAAGGAGACGACCTGGGCTGAGAAGCCTGTGGACCACCAGTCCAAATGCCTTTCTTTACTTCGAGAGTTATTTCCACGCCAGACGCGCACACACACACACACACACACACAGTGAAGAACGAAGGTAATCATTCTACATGGTAGTTTTCAACACGAAGGCTGATGCCACAGAGCGGCGGCCACACTTACGCGTATATTAAACCCTAGAAGGTCACTGATGACGCCCGAGACAGCAGAAAGGATAACTACTCGGGTGATGTTGTAGATCAAGGGGTTCATTGTCAGCCCATAGAGTCGGAACGGTGTGTCCAGCTCCTAGGAAAACAGGGAAGAAGTAAGTTGAGATGCGTGGTTTCTCAGCACCAGGGACTCTGGGCCGTTAACCTGAAGTCTCGGGGGAGGGGACTGCGCGTGGCCGTGCCTTTCCTCCACGCTCACCGGCTGCCTTCAGGAGGGCTGCGGGTGGAGCTCACCCACTTTCCCGTTAGCTGAGTTTTCCAAAGTGCATTCAAGCAATATGTTGTGATTTTTTTAATCACGTAATTAAAGAAATGGGACAGGCATCAAGTATCGCCCGAAGCTGGGTGACCAATGGGAAATTTTTCCTTATGGAGTCATGAACCCAAACCTATGAAGGTAACACTTGGAACCCACTCAGCCTAGCGCCTGTGTGTCACTAGGGTCCTTCCAAGAAGCAAAGCATCGCCTTAGTTTCAGTGGCAGTAAGAGTGTCACAGAGTGTTACTTACTTTCAACAATTTGGTGGACAGTTTTAATACATTGTTTACTAGAGTAAGCTGTTCTTTCTTATTTGGCTTTTTTTCCATCTTAAGGTATAAATTAATCTAAGGGAAGGAATAGAGATTAAGATAAATGTCATAGAAAAAATATATATATACACACTGCATTAAATCTGACCGATTTCAAGAGTCACATTTTCGAGAAAAGTGAATTCTGAAATTCCGGCAGCTACTTCTATGGATCACACGTCACAGCCCAGCCCCCACCCCAATCAGTCCCATTTGGCAAAGACAGTCCATTTGGTGAAGAAAAGAAATGATACAGCAATTTAAATATCAAAACTATGAAAGTTTTCATATTAGTTATAACAATTAACATGTAAACTCCTTGAGTTCAAAAACAGTATCTTATCCATCTTGGTGTCCCTCAAATAATCTAATATCTTCATTGAAGATTTATGGAATAGGAGAAGATCGCTGCTTTTGAAAAGTACTAACTCTTTATTTTTTCCCTTCTAGGAAGAATTCTCCACTATAATTCTAAGGCAAAAAATAAAGAATAATGTCAAATGCTTTTATTTAAAACTTATGGATAAACAAATTTTTTAAATGTTATACTACTCTGTATTTATAAGAAACATTTCTCAATCTTAACAGCCACTCACATACTAAAGAGCAAGTGTTTTCCAAACACTGGATGCATCTGACGGCTGATACAGGAGAAATTCAAGGGGCTTGTTAAATATACTTAAATGAAAAGTATACTTGTCATGTAATACTTAATGTAGAATGAGAGTAACAGTATGCTCCATTCCCATCAATAAGAAAATGTTTATAGTAGACACAGTATTTCCAATCCATTGAATCACAATTCTAACGATCCTGACAGTAGGTGGGAAGGTACTGTGCTCGTTTTACAAGAAGGAGACAATTCCAGAGCAACGAGGTGACTTGTAAGTCATACAGCTAGAAAGCAACAGACCCGCAACTCAACCCCGAACCTTCTGCCCGAATCTTATTACACCATCTGTAACCACGGGGCGAAACTGGCGAGGCTGTGGCAATACCTGTTCCGTAAGCAATATTGAAACATTGCTGTATTTCTTATTGGTTTCAGACCCCAGTGAGGCCAGGCGTAGTAAGAAAAGTAGTAAAGCTGTTTCCCAGATCAAAAACTCCCAATTATAAGCATCATTCAGGAATGTTTTATGTCCTTGGAGAACCTATACAAAGGACCAAAAAGAAGCGAAGTTTTTCACTTGTCTTAAAATTTATAATTACTCCTTTATGCCAACTATTTAAAAACATGGACAAGATAGCAATATTTTAATACTGAAAAGCAGAAGAGTTTACACTCATAAGGTATTACCTATTTAATCAGTCATTATAGCTCTACATTTACTAGTTTTCCTTGGCATGAAAGCGTCCTGAAGCAACAAAGGAGAAAAAAACAACCCAGTAAGTAAAAGACAACCAATGCCCTTCTAGCCTCTCTAACCACCGTGTGCCCCTTGCAACTACATGGAGACCACTTTCCAAAGCACTGAATTTGCTCGTAACCAGAGAGCTCCCAGGAACGCACAGCCCAGCCCACTGGGACACCGGGAAACCCTGGGAGCAGGCTCTCACTCTGTGCCAGCATCTGTGGGGCGGCCGCAGCAGCAGTGGCTACCAGCTAGCAAGTGTTATGGGTCAAGTTTTCTGGTAAGAGTTTTTTTTTAATTTTTTTGCTATTTATTCAAAAGCAAAGAAATTTACTCATGTAAGTCCAAGGTAAAATGGAGTTTATCGAAAAATATACAGAGAATGCTCACAGAGACCAAATGTAGGCCTTCTGAAAAACAGGAAGTCACCAAGCAGCTGTCCTGTCCCCAGGGCCACTTGGGCTCCCATCCCACTCCTCTCAGCTGACTCCCCTTCCTTCCGGGACCGCTGTTCATGCCCCGCCCTCCGCCCCTGACTTGTCCCAGGCCTGCTCTGTCCCAGCAGTCTGCTGCCCCAGCGGTCCCTACTGCCCTTTCTTCTCCCAAGTCCACCACTGATATCTCAGATTTTCAGTTCTAATTTCCAAAAGAGGGAATATGTTTAGCTTAGTCGGGGCCAGGTGTTCACCTCTATCAGTCAGTAATAACTAGCGCAGGGAAGTAACAACCAGCAGCAACCTAGGCCCATCTCCTCAGCAGGAGATAGTTTCCCGTGTGGCAACAGATAACCAATACAGAAACCACGGCCAAACTGCTGTGAAGCCAAATAAAAACTCTTAAAACCAGCCAGAGAAAAAGAACATTACTTTTAAAAGAGCTGCCATAAGAATAACAACTGACTTCTCAAGACAAACTATGGAAATCAGGAGGTAATAGAACCCTACACGTGCTGAGAGTAAGTGGCAGCCTAGACATCTATACCTGGTGACAAGAGCCTTCAAACATGAAAGTGACAAAAGACATTTTCAAACAAAAACGGAAAGAACTCACCACCAGCAGATTCTTAAGTAGAAAGGAAAATAACTCAGAAAAACAGAAATACAAGAACTAATGAAAAGCAACGGAAGAGTAAATATGTAGATACATATAAATAAATAACTGATTCTAAAGCACATTAGTAAGTACATCGAGGGGTGTAAGAACTACATAAAATTTGAACGAAGAACACTAACAACACGAAGTGCTGACGGGAGATTGAATAAAACCGACCACATGCTGGACAACAAAGCCAGCCTCCACAAATATCCAAAGAACCAGAAACATTCAGAGCACGTTCTCTGACCGCAGTAGAATTCAGTTAAACTCCGTAAACGGGAAAGTACAAGACAAGCCCGTGACTTCCTGTAATCAAGAAAGCACAGACCTGCCAAGAAGAGGGGGGTGGGGAGGGGGAAGAGATGACACAGGGGCTGGTCAAAAGCTCGCAGGAAGGGTCTCCCACAGGCCCAGACCTGCCACCATGAGGGTGTGAGGCTTCACCACCACTCAGAAATTGCCGGCTAACATGAGAGTGACCTCGGAGTCAAAGGGCTGCCAGATCGCCTTTATTCTCATTACAAAAGTCAGGAAAATTAACAGGCATTCGAAAGAGCCAAAGACAGGCAGACCCATTAAAAACGTGCGAACTTGAGTGCAGGGAGCTGGTCCAAACGGACACGAGGGTTACCTGGGCACAGCAGATGAAGGCGATGGAGAGGGTCAGCAAGAAGACCGAGGACACCACAACATCCACGGAGCGCTGCGGGCCCCGTCTCTGCGGAGGGAGACGCGCGGTGCGCGGGTTAGGGTGCGTGAGGGGCGGCACGGGCCTCACACCACCGACGCTCTGACTCCCACCAAACTTTTCTTGTTTTTTTCCTTTTGTTTTTCTACATTAGTATTACACAGTTACACAAAGTTTCTGACATAGGGTTTTAACATCAATTTTAATTAAGCACTGCAATCCGCACTGTTCCCAGTTAAGAACATGACTGATTCACTGACATATTTTCAGCTGGAATGTTTCCCCAAAATGTCAGGAAAAGATGTAATATTCAATTTACCGCCCTGCTCTAAGAATCTGAATTTTCTTTTCCCTTTCTAAGCTCTAATTACTTGACCTCCCCCAGCCTGCAGATATATCATTTCCAACCTGGGGCACAGCAAGTCCGCCGGCCACAGAGACGGCCCGCCCACCGCCCCCTGCCATCAGGGACGCCAGGGGGCGTGTTTTCTGCACGTTCTCGCACGTATTCTATTGTTAATCAGACAAAACTCACCTTTAGGAAGGAACGCAGTGATAACCATATTTTAATGTTCTCTACTTTTTTAAGTCTGAAATGAGGTATTTCATATTTTCTAGCTTTCCTGGCAGAAGTAATATGGCTGAAGAGTTTTGCAAATAAAAATCTCTAGAGAAGGTTAGAAAAAAAAATCACAAAGTGAAATGTACACATGTGTCTCTGTGTGTTTATATATTTGTAAAAAATATTCCCAGCATATAAACATTGTTAAAGGGATGAAATTCTAATCAGTGTCACCAAGACAGTGAAAACCTTGTTGACAGCTCACTACCCTGGGGCTCCCACACTGCACGACACAGTGACCCACTTCTTCACAGCGTGCCACGCTCCTGACACGCTCAAAGAGTAGTCTTTGGAGACCTTGGTGAATCCCCGACTTCAAGAACAGATGTTTGTACAGAAATCTGGTTTACTCCCAAATTGCACTGCCATTCAAAACCCTATTTTTTGCATGTATCCCCCAATAGATGAGGTCCTCAATCCCAAAATCATACCAAATTGCAATCATTTTAATTCTCGCTTCGCCCTTTCTCACAGAATGGTTCCACCCTGAGACTCACTACACGTGCCGGACTAGAAAGCAGCGAAGGCACACTGAGCGCAGCACCAGGCGGCCAGCCAGACTCACTCCCCGGCTGAGCCACGCACTCTGAGCACGGGCTCCGCACAACCTCAGGTGCTAGGAAGTCAGTGTGAATAGTCCGCAGCACAGACGTTACACTCACAACACACACTCAGTTTCCCCTCCTCCATCCTTCATGGCACACGGCCACTTTTAGGGAAAGCACAAATCACGAGCACAAAAATAATTCAGTGAAGTAGATAAAAAAGCAGAGGTGATAAACTTTAATTTTCTACTGACCTGTTTATATGTCCTCTCTGCCACACACATCATGAAAAAAAACATCCACGTGAGACACAATCGTTCAAAGAAATTAATTATAGACAAAATAATAACAGGGGTAACCGGTGGCGCCCCACAAAAGAGAGTCAAGATCTCCTCAGTTGAGATGGACTTCAGCTGGTCAAGGCTCTTCTCACGGAAAAGTCGATGCAAAAACGGAAAAAATGCTAGCGCAATGGTGACGACATTTCCCAGCATTTGATACCCTACTCCTTGCTGATACGCATTAACCTGGGAATTCGAAATGTCCGTCATTATTGCACAGTTGAATGGAGTTATGTAGCATCTTTACCAAATTCTACTTAGGTAATTAAAAACTAAATCTTTAAATCTAAAAGTACAAATAAAAATGAGGTACAGCCCTGGCTAGTGTGGCTCATTGGATTGAGTGCTGGCCTATGAACCAAAGGGTCACCAGTTCAATTCCCAGTTAGGGCACATGCCTGGGTTTTGGGCCAGATCCCCAGCAGGGGGCGCATGAGAGGCAACCACACATTGATGTTTCTCTCCCTTTCTTCCTCCTCCCCCTCTCTAAAAGTAAATAAAATCTTTTTAAAAAGAACAGATTCATGATTTTTAGATCTTATTAAAAGTTAGGCTTTCAAGAGATAAGGAGTATTTTTAGAGTGTACCTGAACTGATCATGCTCATAGAAACCTTTGTAATAATAACAAAATACTACCACCTAAAGACTGACTATTAAATTAAAAATAAAGCCCTGGCCAGTGTGGCTCAGTTGGTCAGAGTGTTGTCCCACAAACCAACAGGCTGCAGGTTCGACCCAGGTCGGGGTGTGTGCCTAAGCTGCGGGTTCAGTCCCTGGTTGGGACGCGTGAAAGAAGCAATCAATCGATGTTTCTCCCTCAGACTGATGTTTCATTCCCTCACTTTCTCCCTCCCTTCCCCTCACTCTGAAATTGATAAAATAAAAAAAAAATTTAACTAAAAACACAAATTTGTTTCAAAAGCAGAGTCAGTGTATTAGGTTCTACGAAACTGCTGCTGGTCCCTGCCCAGATTTTTCGAAAAGCCAGAAACCACACCGCTAGGCCTCACCCTGCTCATGATGACACCGCTGATCTCCAGCACGGACATGTCCGTCTTCTTGCACTCGTTCCCTTCCCAGATTATCGCACTGACTCGGTCGGAGGCGGGGCTCGAGTTCTGAAGCCAGAATATGTGGTTCTGGGAAGAAAAACGACACTGTTTCTACCCACTGCTGTCTTTCCTCCATTAGATTCCCCCTCCTCCAGCCCCCAGGCCCTCTGCCCACGTTCAGCCTCATCCTTGTTCTCTCCCTCGCAAAGCTCATCACGCCAATTACCCCCTCGGTGATGCTGATTTCTGGTTCCGTTTTCCTGACTAAGCCATTTCCCTACCCGGAGAGAAGCTACATGTCTCCTACAGTGACAGCATTCCGTCATCTCCGAGGCTGCTTCCCTCTCTCTCTACACGTGCGGAGGGGGTACAAGGCTGGTGCGTTCATCGATGTTAAGGGGGAGAGTATTTCCAGAGGGACACGGCTCGACGGGGGCAGGAGGAAGTTACTCAGGAGAGGCGCTGGACAGGCCTTCGCTACCACGCGTCTGACTGGGGAGGCGAGCCCACCTCTGTTCTAACCAGGGCCAGAAGAGCACAGAAAGCTCATGGGGAGAAAGTGTCGGTGAAACAGCCCCCACTCTCCTCTGCATTTCATGTCTTCTGCTTCAAGGAGCAAGTCGCTCAAGCCCCATCCCACCAGCATGGTCCTCTCTGATCGCCACAAGCCTCACTGTGCCCTCCTCTGAAATTAAAATCCTTATGGTCTGTCGGACCCATCAACACCTAAATTACATGCTGCGTTTTCATGTCCTCCAAGAATTTCCCATATAGTAAGCTTACACCAACTGGACTCTAACTTTCTAACAAAGTATCGTGTATACCCTTTCCACCACAATGCTTAGCACAATGCTGATGAGCATTCACTGATTTGGCTGTTGAGCTGGCAAAAGCATTTATTAAGCACCTACTATGTAACAGGTAGCATGGATTCAGTGGTGAACGAGACAGATGTGGTGCTGGACAGGAAGGAGCTTACGCCCGAGGAGCAGGGCAGGAATGGTCAGAGATGAGACCGTCTCCAGACAAGTAAAGGGAAAGGGGCAAATAACCCAGAAGAAAACCAAAGCGAGGGGGCGGCACCGGGTCTGAAGCATCACTCGGGCAGCAGGGCAGAAGGGCAAGGAAGGGGGCAAGCCGAGGAAAGCCGCTGTGGTGGCGGGGGGGGGGGGGGCGCTGTGCAGCGAGGACACCAGAGTTCAGGCTCCGGTGACATGCCGCAGAACCAAGAGGAAGCAATGACCGGGGAGAAGCGTGGTGAAGGGGCCAGGCCACGAGGACCCCCTGGTTTCTGGCTGGGTGGCTGGTGGCGGCATTCAGAAATACGGGGACGAAAAGAACAGGTCGGGTGTGGGGCTGGGACACGAGGAATTCCATCTGAGATGGCGGGTTTCTCTTGTCTGGTTATTCTCACGTATGCCTTATACACTGTAAACCCCAAAGGTGCGAAGGTCAAGGTCATCGTGCCATGTGTAACTGTGGAGGACTAAAGTAATTCAGATGAATCCTCAGATGCATGTAAAGAATATTTAGTTTCAAACTTTGGTAACAAAATTGGAGAAAGAAGCTTAAAACTGTAATGAGAAAATGGATGCTATTTCTGATTAGTTTAAAAAAATTGTATGCATTTAATAAAGCAGGATTTTTTAAATAAAAATATTCGAGAATCTAGAAAACTCAATAATTAAACAAATACATACCCATCACCCACTACCTGAAAGTCACCGTGGAACTATTTAGCCTGAAGAACAAAACACTAAGAAGCAGGACCAGTGTCAGACATCGGGAAGGCCGACGTGAGAACACTACTTAGTCCTCCATCCGCCCAGCAGGGAAACCACCTACGGAGGGAATCCCTCCCTCCGGCTCCAGCAGTGCTGGCGCCGAGAGTTCTCTGATCATCTGGTGGGGACATAAATAGTGATGCTAACGTCTACAGGGCACTTACCCTTTGCCAGGCATTGTGCTAATAAGCATTTTATATTAGTCTCAGTAGATGAGACAACATTCTGAAGAAGCAGAGACCATCATGACCACAGGACGAAGGGTAAAAAAAAAAAAATCCTACGGGTGCAGAATGATTCCTACATCAGCCAGAATGGTGAAACATCTCGTAAGGAATCTCCAATTCCAGCCTATCCAATTTTATGATGTTCATACAAAACCTGAAGTTAAAAGCTTCAACTGGTTTATACATTAGAGAAGCAAGCAGTGCCACTTCCTAGGAATTCATACACAATAACATGATGTCCCTAAAACAGAACTTAAGGTTGATGCTCCAAACAACCCCACTCATTTAAGAGAAAAATTATTACGAAGAAAAATGTGGGTTAGGGCAACTCTGGAGTACTTCCCCACCAGCTCTAATCCCAGCAGCTGTGCTCGATCTCCTCTTCTCTAAAGGAGGGGCGATAACGGCGCCTGTCTAGTGGGGCCATCACACCGTTAAATGAGAAACACAGAGCCTGGCCCAGGGCAAGCTCACAGCACGCGTCAGCTACTATTCCCACCGCCTCTACAGACCTGCTGGAAAACATCCTCTTTGGGGTCGTGTTTGGCCCCTGAGTGCAGGGTGCTCGCGTGGGCCCCCTCACTGTCGCTGGTGGCTGACGACCTGCACTCAGGGCCGTGCAGCAGGTCGTCCCACAGCATGTCCTCGGTCTCCGAGTCGTGGCGGGTGCTTTCTGAGTCTCTCCTTGACATGTTCAGGGTCCGAGAGCAACCGCTCACACCAGATCGAGAGCCCTTTAAAAAACAACAAAGAGCGTTTTCTCATTCACTTTTGTTAGAAACAGTCCTCTACCTGAAATGAATCAATTATCCACGGCGATGGCTGGCAGGCTTTCACAAGTCGGTCGCCGCGTATTCGTCTGTTCGCAAGGCCACACAGAACAAGGATACGTGTTAGTATTCAAATGTTAAACCCTGCAGACTCCAACCAGCAGGACTTTAAAGCGACTCCCTCGGGACCACACTTCGTAAGCTATACAGGTGTCTGACCACAGTGCTGTGCACCGGAACTGATCCAGTGTTGAAGGTCAACTGTAACTGAAATTTTCAGAAAGTTTTTCTAGAGTCACGGGAAGAATGTGCCAGCAAGTATACACATGACAGGCAGGCAGGCAGAGATAAATCGACAAAAGGGCTTGCTCGGAGAAGTCACTGCCAGCGCAGGCACCCTGGAGGGAGCACGCCCCGCCCCGCTCCGTAAGCCCACATGGAGGACCGCCCCTGGACGCAGGGGCAGAGCCCCCGCACTGTCCAGTTTCCCCTGTTCTGGACACCGTGAGCGGGGAGGTAGGGCTCCTCACAGGCAGAGGCCCAGGTGAACAGGGCTGACCGGGCAGAGAAGTGGGGGCCCACGCAGCTCTCCTGCACCGCAGACGTGAACGTGGAAGCTCCCCCATGCCCCTGACCGCCTCGCCAGTCAAAACAAAAACCACACCGCCGCCATCCACTCCTCCCCCTCGGCATCAGAACATCCGCTGGTAAAATACGCCCGTTAGCGTTCGTCATGGGGTTTTCCGCTCTCGTCTCTCAGGTGTCCCTTCCCCAAAATCTGTCCCCATCAGATGTAAACTCCATTATTTCGAGTGAATATTAAGCAAGCTTCTCATGATTTAAGGACTGAGTAACCTCTTTCTGAGCATTACCCATGATACTTTTAAGATTAGGTCACAATGTTGGGTAGGTAAAGGGGGCCAAATATATGGTGAGGGACGATAATCTGACTCTGGGTGGTGGGCACACAACGCAACACACAGATCACGCATCATAAAATGCACACTTGAAACCTACACAATCTCATTAACCGGTGTCACCCCAGTGGTTTTACTGTAAAAAATAAGGTAAAATTCAAAATAATAATAATGAACAAAAGTGGCGAGGTCAGATGAAAGAGTTCCTTCCCTTTCCATGATGTCTGCGAGCATCATGCAGACCCGGGCTGATGGGTGGGCAGAGAGTGGAGGCAGGAGCGGGGCAGCGAGTGCGAGCACTGCGCAGGGACGGCTGGTTAGAGAGGACGGGGCGGAGCTACCGCACCTGAGACCACGCCTGGAGCAGCGACCTCTCCAGGCCTCATTACCTGGCTGAAGGCTGCGGACTCAAACTCCGATTCGGCCAGACTGTCCGAGTCCCGCACCACGTGACACCACTTGGGCGTGCTCTTCATGACCTGCCAAAATCAAGCCAGTGAACAACAGCGAAACGTGTTCAACAGTGTGGAACGACGCGACGACCCGGAAGCTGATGCCCAGATTCTGACAAACCGAACCGGAAGTCACCTGAGAGTTTAGGTGCCGGGGAAGCACTGACTTCCTGTTCTTGACCTCGCCGCCACCGTTGTCGCTGGAGGCCCCTTCCACGCTCCGGCGCAGGATCATCATCTGCGTCCGGGCCTCGCCGTCCTCCTCGCTCGACAGGTCATCCGACACCCCGTTGCCCACCCGCCTGAAAGCCCCCTGCGGAGAGAACAGCAATGCCATGCAGGGAGGGGATGGCCCCAAATACTCCGGTAGGCGACCCACACGTAAACGAAAAAGCGTGTAAAAACTCAGAAGCAGTAAAACGCAACTAAACCAAACCAAACCAACCTATACCAGTGTTTGATCTCAGTAAAGAAAAACGCTGCACTTGAGACAAAACAGCCCAGAAACGAGGCCGTGCTACGGAGCGGTGAGCAGCACAGGCGCGAGTCAAACTCTGCGTCTGAATCACGAGCCAGGTCAGCGTCTTCTGGGGCTCAGTTTCCTCGTCTGAAAAGCGACACTAACAAAAGCACCCGTGTCACAGACGTGTTGAAGAAATGAAATGAGTTACTACATGTAAAGACTTAGAATAGTGTCCATGTGCACTGACTCAAAAATACTATTTTTGTAATTATGTAATGCCAGTTTAACAAGAAAAAAAAATTCAAGATGATAAAGGAGAAATGCACTTCGTTTTAGACACAGAGCAGAACACCTGTCCCTGGACCTAGAAAACAGTGTCCCAAACCCCACCTCTCTGGACCAGACAAGGCGGGCGGCGGCCTGTCCCAAACCCTGCTGCTGCGGCGGGCTCAGCGGCAGGGGCCGGGACCAGGGCCCCAGAAACGGCTAGCCCTAGAAACCGAAGGATCAGCCTCAGTCTTCACAGGACCACTCTCCCGTCACGCCCTGCTGGTGTACACGTCCCTTCCTCGTTGAGACAAATCAGACAAGCCATTAGCATCTACTTCCCATCTCCAGCAGGGTCTGAGAATGGGGAAGTTTTACACGGGAAAAGAGAGATTCCAATGTACTTCTTTGTACCCATGGAAACCTTACCCTACGGCACTTCTCTCCATCGGAAAGCTTGGCTTTCTCCGCCGTTGGCCACGTTTTAATCTCCGGTCGACACTGCCTCTTCCTAATGATGGGACGCAGGGCACTCGTGTCACTGTTGGTTTCAGTCCCTTTGTTGCATATTTTTACTCTTTTACCCCTGTTTTTAAAAAGAAGAAGAAAAACACTGACTTGTATTCTGAGATTTACATTTTCTGTGAAATCATTTTTTTCCTGAGGAGCACAATATACGGAGGGAACACCCCCTCAAAACAGGAATTTATTAAAAAATTATGTATTTATTCTAGTATGTTTAAACTTCAGTCACCTTCAAAGTACTCTCCACCTGACGTAATACACCTTTGGAGACGGTTTCCCACTGTTCAGGTTTTGAATGCATCAATGTTGAGGTCTTTCAGTGCTTCTGCTGTTTTTTGTTTCGCCTCTTCTGCTTGGGCAAAACATTTCCCTTTGAGGACTTTTTTCATCCAGGGAAACAAAACAAAAGTCGCTCGGGGCAAGATTGTGTGAATAGGGAGGGTGGGGTACAAGGGTCATGCCATTTTTTATCAAAAACTGCTAAACACTCAGGATAGTGCGTGCAGGTGCACTTATAAATCACCCACCATGAAATGGGCAAATGCATTGACAGAGTCTTCAGAGAAAAAAAAAATTCACTGAAGCCAAACACAGCCTTTCACAACAACGCCAGCTGGTGCACTGATGCAGATGGGCTCTCAGAACACCCACCTAGTGGGGGAAGCCTGCACTACAGGGGACCCACCCTCTAGGAGATAATTCTGGGTATTTTTAAGCCCCCTCATATTACTCTGAAAATCAAAAAAATTCAGAAATCACACTGTTTTGATTTCTTGCTTGCTAACGCTATAAAAAGGAAGAAAAAAGTCATCTCTGGTCTCCAAAGACTCAGGTCAGTTCACTGGAAGGAAGCCTGTGCTTTCCAGGTCTGCAGGGCAGCAGGTGCAGTCTCCTCCACGCCCCACCCCACACAACGCCAGCCCCTGCCTCGCTTCGCCTGTTTGTGGCACCTCGTGGAACGTCCTCCCCTCTCCCGTCCCTCAAAGCCTGACAACTGTCGGCTCCTGCGTGGCCCCTGCCCATGACCGCGCTGCGGAACAATCACCGCGCCTGCCGGACCTCGGGCCCCCAGTCCGCACGCAGTCTTCGCCGTGCTGTCACGTCGCGGGGACTGCAGCTCCCCCGCTCCCTCCTAGTTGGACTTAGTGCCCAGCACCACACTCAGGGCAAGGAACTCACACACATCAACTAAGGAGTGGAAACGTATCTTTGGAAAAAAGTGTGACTGTACTTCATCTTCAAAAAAGTAACTGTGAAAGAACTTTACTTTTGAGTCACGCCCCTATGACAAATGAGTCTTTCCTGGAGTCATAGGAGTGCTGTCACAGCCTGCAAATCTTGAAGGAGAGGGGAGGTCTCAGACCGGCGTCCCTCTCTGTCCCAGAGGCTGTCCACCCAGCTCCCCTCCTGCAGCCCACATCTAAGGCGGCATCTGCCTTTATGCTGAACAATAACTCATCTCTTCCAAGTCCTCCTTTCCCTCATGAGGTCGGCTCACAGGGTTCAAGATATTTGCCCTTTCAGAGTGCTTAGATTTCTGTAATCTTGTAGTCTAAATAGTCATGAAAGATCAAAGCAGTGATCAGTTATGGTGGATTACTGGATTTACAGGTGACAGGACCGTAGAGACCTGTTGAGTGAGCAATTCATTATAGAGCCTTTAAAAAAAACCACACACACTGCACAGGTGCTAAGCTTGCACTCGGTCCTCCGACGGCCTGATCGGATGACACACTGTGTAAGCACAAATGTGGATACAAAGTCAAGAACAATCCCAGCGCCAGACTTCCCACCTGCTGCCGAAGAGAGTGCCCCAGAGACCTCTGACGAAGGGGACGGGCTCCACAGCTTCCACGCCTCTGACTTTGTCAGAGGAGTTGTTCCCATTTTCTCGGGTCCCGTCACCATTCACAGTTTTTCGTAGTTTTCTATTAAAAGGAATATTCCAACAACTTCAGATTATTTAAGAACTTTTCCATTGCTGCCCAAAATATCCCCTCCAGAAAACTGTATTAACAAACTACCACCTGAAATTAAGTACAGTGAACTTCACAGAATGAGGGTAAATTTGCAGGGATGTTTCCTACTGAAGGGCAACAACGGGCTCCAGGTCAGAGACCTGCACCACCATGTCATCCCATCACTGGAGGCCGAGAACTGCTATTCACACACATGACCACACATGGGAGAGAAACTCTCACACACACAACAGGGAGTCGTTTCAGGCACCTCTAGTAACGAGAACAAGTCTTTTAAATACGAATGTCAGAAACCTACCCACTGGTACATTTAATCAGAACACAAAATAATAACTGATCACGTAGCATCGATGTCCCATGCAGTTAAAATATATTTCCTGTAAGTACCACCGAGATTCACACAACAGTGGATGCTCTTGGCAAACATTAAAATGAATTGAACTGAATTTTCAAGAAATCTTTTGGGGGGAAAAGGTTTATTTCAAAAATAATACTCAAAAATAAGAATAAATAAGTTGAAATTTATTGCACCAGGTGAAAAAAATCTTATTTAGTAACTTCTCAGGGGAAACAGCCATGAACAGGTTCAGAACCCACACACAGCACAGAACCAATACAAACATTACATGGATTCAATGTGTAGAGAAGTCAAATCGATCTTTATTAAAAGTTTAGAACACTTAGAAATCCATTCTTATTACGCACTATTGAAAAAAGGCAGAATTTTTGGTAGCACTGACCCAATGTACTAAGATCCTTGTTTACAGTGAATTTTCATCAAATTTTGAATAAGACTGAATTTTGAAGAATACTTTTTCAAAATCAATATTTGATAAATTTTAATGAAGAATAATATAGAAATAGTACAGAAATTTCCTTTTAAGGCACTTAGTGACACTAAAATGACAATTTTAGTCATCTTAAGCCACTAAATGACAAAATCTCAATGCAGATTAAAAGTTCATGACCAAGTTTCTTAGCATCAGAGAGAAAAGTGGGAAGCAAAGCCTTTATTTTTGATTTTCAGCCAAAAAATAGAAAATATACACAAATCAAAGTATTTTTATTACATGAACCAAAGATGTCTCAGCATCTACGATGCCCCTCCCTCCCAGACAAACCCAGCTCCAGGTGCAGGCCCCGCTCTCACCTCCTCCGCCGACTTCCATTGCCTCCCGACGGCCGTGCTATCTGAGTGGACACGATCTGACAGTGGACGGTCCCCATGAGCAGCATAAGGCACAAGGGTCCAAGCACTTCGCTGACATTCACAATGGGCATCATCAAGTACAACACAAGTGCCATGACTGAAACGAAGAGGATTCACAGTCGAAGACAGTGGGGGTCGCCTTCAAACCAATTCGAGTGGTCATACAAATTATTTCTACCACAAATCTATCATTTTAAAAGTGCAACATAAAAGCACGTAATTTCCTACAATACTCTCTACCTGCACACGAGCCAAGTGAAAACCTGGAGCCTTTTCGGGCAGCGGGAGAACCCGGGGATGGGCACACAGGCTGTGGTGCAGGGGGGGCAGGCCAGACCGACACCCCGGGGTGCACGGAAGCCTAATACATACAGTTTACCTCAACATGCAAGAAATTCTTCAATTACACTCCTGTGGAAAATATTTAACTTTCCCCTTACAAGTGACCAAAGAAATGAGTATTAAAGGAGCAAAATATTTCTTGTCTATCAAATGAGGTAACAGTCACAATGATGTCTGTAAGAGCGTGGTAAAACAGGCACTCCCACCTACCACTTTCCATGAGAATGGTGTCACCTGCGGTGTCACTGTGCATGGTGGGCGACAGCAGGTTTACGGTTGTTTGTTTGGAAAATAATATAGTAATCGATCAATAAGAACACAAGAATAAACTCTGTGCTTCTCATACTCACAACTGTACACATACTTTGCCCCATCCTGTATGTGATGAGAGTTAATTCTGTTGCAGAGAATAAATGCTAAAGAAAGAATATACGATTCGAAAGGTTTTGTTCATGATGTCATTACTGAGAGAAAAAAATCAGGAAAAAACCCACCTGCTGATAATGTGGAAACAGTTATGTAAATTATGGATCTGCACAATTTTATATAATGGAATATTCAGCAACTATAAAAAGGAGTTTATGGTAAGTCCATATGACAGACTTACAAAGACATTATGTAAGTTTTAAGTGATATTCTCATACAATGGATTACATCATGACTTTAAAAATTAAACCTAGAGATTTGTAAATTCCTAGACACAGTTTCCATTACTATTCAAAACAATCAACACAAAGAAAACAAAAATCAGCCTAAATCCCTTCACAAGCCGACCCTCACTACTCCTCGCTCTAACGCACGTCTTCTGGCGCAGGCGTACCCACGCGCGCGCACTGCCCACTGTCAGCAAGTGTTCCCGGGAGGCAGTGGCCGTGCAGTGGTGCAGAGGACACGCCGGGGCCCTGCGTGTGCCCAGCAGAGAAAAACGGCATCAGCAGGGGCCTGCAACAGATCATTGAAGCAGCTTCCTGCGAGAGCGCCCGGGGAACGCAGGACGCCGCAGAAAGTCTAGAGAGGGACAGCCTCCCGATGAACGTTACAGCTCTCCTCCGAGCAGAGCATCTAGAGGTGAGAAAAACAAGACAGCCAAGGGAAGAGCTGTAAGATGGTTTCAAACAGAACAGCTGTGTGTGAGGGACAGAAAAAAGGGCGTGTGCCTGGAGTGAGTGAGGAGGAGCGTGGCCGGGCACGACCTCTGAGGGCCTGGCAGGGAACAGGTCGGGTTGCGCACTGCAGGCCCTGCTAAAGAGTTTGGATTTCCAGGAAATGAGAAGTCACGGAAGGGTTATAAGCAGGAAAATGACATGAGGTGGTTTCTGTCCTAAAGGACTTCTCTATGTGCTGTGAAAAGGGTGGCTGGAAGAAAGAGACTGAGAGAAGATGCTACTCCAATGGGCGGAGTGGAGGGGCGCTGGGGCTGTGGACAATGATGGCGGCTGGAGACAGACAGACAGACAGAGGCGAGGCCTGTTTTGGAGGTCGAGCTCACAGACCTGCAGAGTGGATGTGCAAGTTAATGGCAGGGAATAACAGACGATTTTTCACCTGAAAACTGGGTGGTTCATGAGAAAATTTAATGAAATGTGGGAAGTCCTAAAAAGCAGCAAGCTTGTACCAAGAAAAAAGTTTGTGGAAAAAAGAAATCCAGAGTTCCATTCTGAGTATGACTAGAGTACGACTAAGTTGAAGGTACCAATTAAATCTCCACGGAAATGTCAAGCACGTGACTGTATTTACAAGTCTGAAGTTCAGCAGAGAGATCTGGCCTGAAGATACACATTTGAGGGTCACCGGGATATCAATCCCATTTAAAGCAACGGGACCTGACGAAGACACCTAGAGAAGAGAAGGGAATCTGGGATCCCCACGGAAGACGGAAGACCAGAAGACGAGACGAGGCAGCCTGGCGGGTGAGGCCAGAGGGAAAGAAGGGAGGGAGCAGAGTCCGACAGCCGCACCTGCTCTCCCCGAGCATGACCTCCAGGGGGCCCGCATCCCTTCATTTCTTTGTGAATCAGTCTAATGAAAGGATAAATGTTGGAGCAGTAAGGCCTGGCCCTGGCTGGGTGGCTGGGTCACAGCATCACCCCATACACCACGAAGTTGTGGGTTTGAGCCCCGTTTGGGGTGTGTACAGGAGGCAACCATTCAGTGTTTCTCTCTCTCAAGTCAATAAGCATATACTTGAGTGAGAATTAACAAAACAAAACAAAACAGTAAGGTCTATACTATCTAATAGCAAAAGCAGCAGAAAGAAGTGGTCATGAGCTGTTCCAACTTCTCCAATTACCTTGCATGAGGTAAAGCAGTAGCAGCCAAACAAAGATTCTTACAGAGGTCACCTGAATCCACCAACTGCTGAACAAGGGGAAAAACACAACTCGAACAAGCCCCTTCCGGGTTAGAGACGTCCACGGAATTTCAGGTTTGGCTTTGGCAAATGTCGAGCCTTGAAATAGACAATAAAACAAAATGTCAAACACACACATTACAGGCTGACGGCCCATTTGTAACTCTATCAAAAGCAGCTGAGAGCAAAACCAGCCCGCAGCCTGTTCAGGTGAAAAGAACCCTCTTGGGATGTGATCGTTTCTCGTCTCAACCATGAGAACAGAAGCTAATTTCAGCCAGGCTCACGTGAACGTTATACAATACTGCATGTTTTTCTTAATTCCAAGTTCATCCCTCCCTCTCAACCCTGATGGAGACCATGCAACTCCCACAGCCACACAGCACCAAAGCAAGGGGGAAAATGCCAGAGCCTGAATGATGAAGAAGGAAGATCACTTCTGCAAGTTTAAGTTCGTTATCACATAAGGACGATATCTAAAAATAATCTTCAATACCACCATAAAAATAAGATGCATGAGAAACACAGCAAATCTGGAACTCACCTCTGATTAAGTCAACGTCTATCAGGTCTGGCTTTATGTGACCCATCTTTTTTGGTTTGTTTTTGAAGCCCTTGGATGAAACAGAACAAAAACAGAAATAAAGAAAAAAGCCCTTTTAAATACGAAAGGTAAACATGTTTCCATTTCTCTATAGCTGACTCTCTCTTCCTGGGGATGCTTAATCCTAACACTCCTTAAAGGAGCTTGTTAATATTTATTTTTGTTTCAGTTTTTAGTTTTATCAAGCAAGGCATACACTCGCTTTCATCACTTTTAAAAATAATCACACAGTGTCAAAATATCGGTCAGGGAAAAGCAGTAATCCCCTAACCCATCTCTTCTCCAAATTTCATTCATTAAAAACAAATAACTTGCATCTGATTTTAGTTGTCCTCTTGATATTTACTTCCATACATCTAAATAATATGTCTATACTACTATTTTTTTAATGTATGATTTTAGAAATCATCCTAATATTGGGGGGGAGGCAAAAGTAGGCTTACTGTTGTGAATATGCAAAAACAGTTTATTCTTATATTATTTATTGTTGTATTATTTTCCATACGAACAACTGTAAACCTACTTTTGCCCCACCCTGGGGTGTAAGAATTTAACTATTTCACTTCTAGTCCCCACACCCTAACTTCTACCCCCAAAACACACATCCTCCCAACAGAGTAATATTGATTTTTTGGTAAGTCAGTAATCAGTAGTTATCTATAGTATTATCACCATGAAGTATCATTCCCTGTGAGCTATATTTTATATTCATATATTCTATGAGGCCAGTCAAAATATTTACCATTTTTGAAATACTCAAATGCAAAAAAATTATCCGAAGTTCTTTTTCCTAAAAAAACAAAAACAAAAACAAAAACAAACAAAAAAAAAACCTCCTAGAAACCCCCTCCCCTGAACCCTCCGTCTTCCTGCTCCATTTGGACCCGCTGCGCTCGGGCCAGCAGCACCGCGGCATCGATCCCAGGACTCCCTCCGCCGTCACCCCGGCGAGTCCCTCCGCCGCTGCGAGGCCAGTCCCCACTCCCTACCTCCCATGTCTTCTAGGAGCACGTCCTTCAGGAGAAAGGGATCAAAAAAGGTAATGTTTTGAATTCTTGCATGTCCGAAAATGAATTCATTCTACCCTCATACCTTTTTTTGAAAATAGCTCATTTTTATTGCTTTCTTCCCATTACCAGGTATCTCCCCATACCCTCTCCCACCCCCACCCCCACAATCACCAGTGTGTCTGAGTCCACGAGTCCTTTTTCTTTTTTTGCTCAAGAGTTACAGTAGATACAGAATCCTAAGTTGTTTGTAATTTTCCCTTGAGAATTAGGACATTGTTCCATTGTTTTCTAGCTTCCAATGCTGTTCCTGCAGACGCCAGCGCCTTTCTGATTCCTGGTCCTTTGCCCGTGGAGTGTCTCTCTCCTCTGGTCTTCACTGTGTCCACGGTGCTCCTTAGAGCCAATCAAGAACTGGACGACGACGTGCCTTGATGCGAGTCCCTTACTGCGTGTTCTGGTGGGAGTCTCTCCTATATCAGAATTCATGTCTTTCAGTTTTAAGGAAGTTTTCTTGTAACTTATGTTTATATTTCTTCCCTTGTAACACTTAACTTTTCTCTCGTATTCACTTATTTTTGTCTTTTTGTTCTATTTTCTGGAAATTACCTCAAATTCTTCCATAAATTTTTCATTTTGATTTTTTGGGGTTCATTTCTTTCTATTCTTTCCTGCTGAAGGATTTCTCGAATATCTAGTAATCACTGGCTGTCCATTTATACACTAAAATGTTCACTGAAGTAGTATTAACAAGTGCCCCAGAATGTAAATTACCCATCAACAGCTATTGGAAACTTCCCATCAACAGCAGAACGGATTCATAACTGTGGTGTTCCACTGAATAAACTACAATTACGCAACAACGTGAGTGAAACTCATAAACTTGACACTGAACTAAAGACATCAGACTCGGCCATCACCCCGCTGCAGAAGACGCTGAGATACACCACCAACTGCAACCCTCTGAACACCCAGGGGCCCGCTGGCAATAAATACTGTGCCTGCCCCCCACACCCCCACACACAGAAACTAGACTAAAGTGTATGGTTGTATAACTTCACTTACACACAGGAAAAGCAAAATCAATCTGTGTGCTAGTAGCAGGGAACCGGCTACCCCCTGTGAGGGCGAAGATCAGACGCACGTGTGACTGGGGGCCTCTGTGGGACTCACCTACCTTCCATCTCTTCATCTGAGCTACGTGGGCGTGTTTAGCTTGTGAGAGGTTCTCCAGCTGTACTCCACTTATAATTCTGTTATGCGTGTGTGTGCGTATATATGGGCATATTCATACTTACTATGTTTTACTTCAATAAAAAACTGGAAGCTCATTGAGAGCTCTGAGTGTGGCTTACAGATTTGGGACGTCATATCAGGGTCGTCATGCAGGAAGCTGAAGGGAATCACCAAATGTCACCACTGGAGGCATTTTTTTTTTCTGTGACCATTCGCATTCATGGAATCATCAATTATCAAGACCTGGAGGTAGTTTTTCAGAGATCACTCAAAATAATCCTCCATCACCATTAACACTACAGATGACATGACACTACATACAGAAAACACTCAAGAATCCACCCAAAATTAAGAGAATGAATAATTCAGAAAAGTACTAAGATACAAAATTAATATAGAGCAATGAACCATCAGAAGGAGAAATGAAGAAAACAATTGCACTTACATCAAAAAGAATAAAATGGGATTTCTGGTCAAGAGAGTAAAGTAGGTCAATCTGTGCTCACCACCCCCCACAACCACATCAAAATTACCACTAAATTACAGAACCTTGGGGACCATCTGAAGGCCAGCTGCGTGGAACGCCTGTAGGTAAGAATATAAAGAAGAGCCTCGTGGAGACTGGCAGGAGGGGTGGGAATGCTGAAAGAGGCAGGTCCCATACCTGCCTGTGGCAGTTAAGAAATGGGATGGATATCTTGGCTAAGGAGGTCCCCCCTGAGGAGCAAGGGGTCTCAGCCATACACCGGGGTCCGCAGCCCAGAGTCCACTGCCAGGAAGTGAAGTCCCCATGACATGTGGCTGTGAAAGCTAGTGGGGATTGCATCTGAGTGAGAGGAAAGGCTGCCGAAGGATTAGGCACTGCAGGCTTTAAAAGGACCACGTGCAGACTCACAGACTCACTGCCAGGGGGCTCCGGTGCAAAGGCAGCACCTTGGAAAGAGCCAAGGATATAAGGGGGAGGAGCTAAACTGACTAGCTTCAGGGCAAGGGCTAAAGGGGCAAAAGTCGGGGCACCTCGCTCTAGGCACAGCAGTGCTGGCAGATGCCAATGTTCCTTTGTTGAGCTCTCCTTGCACCAATCCCACAGGCAAGGCAGGTGCCAGATCTGAGCTCTGAATTAACCTGGCTAACAGCACTCACCCTGCGCTGCTGATTCCCTGAGACCCAGCCCCACCCAGCTCACGCGCTGAGCCTGAACCAATTCCAGCAGCTCCCCCACAAGCAGCGGCCTGCCTCGGCTTGAGCTGCAACTTTCCTAGAATCTCTCAAAAGTCCACAAACCCCAAACACGCAGTGGCTGGCTTCAGCATGCCCTGTGCCTCTTGCTGAGCTATTCCAGACCTGGCGCAAGCAGTGACTGCTCTCAACTGTATTGTAACTCCCATCAGGTAGTCCCCAGGCCTGGCATAAGCAGTGGCCAGTCCTGACTTGGAACAGAGCCTCAAATAAGCAGCCACACGTGTGGCACAAGTAGCAGCTGGCTTCAGCTCACAACAGGTGCCCATCAAAGAATCCCAAGTGCAACACTAGTGGCAGCCGACTTTGGTTCGCAGAAGAGCCTCTCCCAAGCACTTCCAAGCCCAGCACAAGCAGCATCTGGGATCACTTTGTAGCTCCTACCAGACGACCCCAAACCTGGTACAAGCAGTGGCTGACCTTGACCTTCATTAGAGTCTGCCCACAAGAGGATCCAGTTCCAACACACCTGGCAGCCAACTTGAGACCACACCAGAGCACCCCCCAACAAGCTCCACAAATGACACGCCCAAAGGGCAGGCTCAGCTGGCACCAGACCCTGCTATGGCAGCTCCTATCAGCCGCCACACTATAGCTCATCCAACGTGGACATGGTCAGCTCGCACTTCCAGGCAGCGTGAGTACACGCACTGACGTACCAACAAGCAATCAAGGCTCCACCACAACAGGAGGGTACACACAGTCATCACAAGGGACATGCCAGGGGCACCCAGGTGCAAAAGGAGACTGTGCCACTGACCACGCAGGACACCTACTGCATATGGCCACTCTGCCAAGACCAAGAGATGTAGCAGCTCTACCTAAAACATAGAAACAAACACAGGGGGGCAGCCAAAATGAGGAGACAAAGAAACATATCCCAAATGAAAGAAGAGGATGAAAGTCCAGAAAGAAAACGAAACAAAATGGAGACAAGCAACCTACCAGATGCAGAGTTCTCAACTCTGGTTATAAGGATGTTCAATGAACTGAGGGAAAGAGTACATGAACTCAATGTGAACCCCAACCGAGAGACAGGAAACATAAAAATGGAGAGAGAAAACATAAAAAAGAACCAGTCGGAAATGAAGAATACAATAACTGAAATGAAGAATACACGAGAGGGAATCAAACTCAACTAGATACAACAAAGGATCAAGTCAGCAATCTGAAAGACAAGGTAGCAGAAAACACCCAATCGTAACAGCAAAAATTTTAAAAATGAAGATATTTTAAGGGACCTTTGGGACAACATTAAGAATACGAGGATTTGCATCAGAGGGGTACCAGAAGAAAGAGAGAAAGGGACTGGAAAAATATTACCTCAAATATTTTTTCATAACTGAAAACTTCACCCAACCTGGTAAAGAGAAGAGACACACAAACCCAGGAAGCACGAGGAGTCCCAAACTAAACAAACACGAAGTGGCCCGCAGCGAGGCACATCATAGTTCAAATGCCAAAGGTCAAAGACAGAGAGGATCTTAAAAGCAGCAGGAGAAAACCAGTTAGTTATAAAAACAGTTAA